ACACACGCTCGCGCTATCTCCCGATGGTTCTTGAGGAGAAGGTCGCGGGGCGGTTTCTCGCCTCTTGCGCAACATTCCTAACGTCCTCGTAGAAACTAAACAACCTTTTCTCTATTTTTTATTATATTTATTTACGGGATATCTAGATTGTACAGTGACCGTTTCGCTTTCGTACAGCTGTTTCTTCGCAAAGTTGGCTTAGTTTTTTTTTTTTTTTTTTAACTTTCTTTTATTTAATTACGATGTAGTTGTATGAAATGTTGAGTCGTGAATGTACGTGATGAGGGCTGTTTGTGCCTGGGTAGGTACAAAACGCTGAAACTAGGACCGACATGTAGAGAGCAACTGCGGTTAGCTGAGCTTTCACAAAGAACCAGTGGCGTTCCCGAAAAAAAAAAAGGGGGGGGGGGGGGCGTTTATAACGTGCCACTCGCCCCCCGCCCCCCCCCCCCCCCCCCCCCCGCAAAAAAAAAAAAAAAAAAATCTTACGCCACTGTTGGGGAACAGGTGTGTTTTGCGCCCGCACCCAATATTGGACTGGCGGAATCCAATGTTCCATTCTAGGATTTATTGGACGAAGACGCCAGTGGTTAGCCAGGCCGCGTGTCTGCTTGCCCTTGAGAAATGGCGACGCTGTGGTTCCCGCTGTAGATGAGAAATGTAGCCAGTGACACAAACCGGCACGATGTGTTACAGAAAGCCCTGAAATACATGTTGAAGACAGTTCACAACCCTTCGTTTAATGGTTGAGTGGAGAACGTATGACAGCCACTGCTGCACTTTAGAGCAACGACGCTTGAGCCATCGGATGGATGCTAATGACTGTACCCTTTATAACGGGCGGTAGCTTGCGCCACCTAGCGTAGACAGTAAAAGTATTATTCCTCCCTTCGGATGGATCGATGGATAATTCAGATAAAGCCTGGAGGTTTATCTGGAATGGCGGGAAACAGTTTTCCGTTGTCAAAACTGTAGCAAGGAGTCCGCGACTGAGCTAAACGATATCGCCTGAGCTTCCCGACGCCGTGTCTGTAGCTCAGAAAGTCACCTTTTCAAATTGTACCGCTCTACGCACCAAGATGGCGGCGGCGCCCACGAGAAAATTGGGGATGGAGTGCCGATACGCTTATTAGAGAAGTAGATCGTTCCGATACCTGAGATAACGATGCGATGCCTCCGCAAAGACGGCACCGAAGTGTCGGATAAGGTTATCGGAGTCATCGGAACGATCTGCTAAAACTCTCTATTTAGTGAGCAATGCGTCTCGTTTCTACGGCGACGCATATATGACACAGATCCGATGGCGTTTTTCTCGTTTTCGTTCGCCCCCGCCGACACCGAAACGGCTGTGGACCGCACATTGCGCGGTATTTCCGTTCCCCAAAGACCACAAAGAAGCGCAACCATTCCCGCCAGCGATCACGCAGGGGCTTCGTATTAGCCGTGCGTGACTGAGCGTGAGCCACTTCGCGTGCGTGCGCTCGATGCTGATGACGCGTCGCTGAGCTCCGCAGATCTCTGCTACAGCCGCGTGTTCTCATAACAGCGAACAGCGGTTGATTGGGAGAAAAAAAAACAGTGTTCTTTTTTTTCTTTTTTTTTAATCGGGAAAATAAGCCATGCGTCAACCATATGCTGAGCCTCCGCTCAAGTATAGCTTTTGCGGTCCGGACCAGGTGCCGAAGTTTTGGAACCATTCTAGATCTAACTTAAGCTGGTCTTTTAAATCAAGTAAGGCACGTTTATTAAATCAAATAAGGAACATTTTTTTTAATCAGACGAGGAAAAGATAATTAAAATAATCTAATTTAGGTAGGGTGCGAATATTCGAAATTTTAAATAGTAGTTTCGAATAATATACTATTCGATATTCGCTTCGAGATGAAGTGCGATGTTCGTTTTTCTCGAAGTGTTGATCGCGGCGGGTTAGCCCCGATGAGCACGCTTCCTACTGAGCATGAGTGCGCTGCGGAGAAGCAGCACAAGCAGAAGCGAGCTCCGCAGTGGTTGCTTCCTCGCAATGCACGGGTGTTCGGTAAGTAGCGCACTCAACGGGGTAATCGCCGCGATCAACACTCAGAAAAGCTTGAACATAAGAGCGCACTCTCAAAGCGGGACGGTGCACGCGCGCACCTGATGTATTTATAAAGAAACGAAAACTTTGTGAATGTTGGTATCTTCATTGCAGTAAAAATGTTCAAAATTATACTATGGCGTTAGGTAAGAGTTAACGTTAGGCATTGGATACTTTGACAACCTGCGTTCATCATTCATGATTCTTTTCTTTTTTTCAAGTTTGATATTGAAAAAAAGATAGCATTTGCATAGATCAAGATCCATATAGGTTTAATTTTATGTCAAATCCGTCGTTTACTTGCCATCCCAAGCCATCAAGCTTTCTGAGGTCACAATCCATAAATACGGTTCTTTGAATGTTGAGAACAACTTTTACAAGTTCAGCTGGGTTTTCGTTTTTAAGCATGGTGCAACTGTAGGGGAAGGCTTAAAGTAACTATTCGATATTCGATTCGAAAATATTCGGCGGAATCCACTATTTGCTTCGAATTCGCTTCGAACTCAAAATCCTCTCAATTCGCATAAGGTTATAGAGCTCCGCGTGGACTTCCCTGTTGGGCCGCTGCTGCAGAACGTATGGGAATAAATCATCTTGTTATCAGAGTTTTTGGTGAACTGTTTCTGCACATCCGATCCGTTGCGATGGGCCATCCGGTACGAACTGCGCATGCGCGACTGCGAGTCTTCTGCGAAAATTTACGGGTTTGTCGATGCGTAATTTCATTTTTATAGTGAGGGACTCCTTTGTCTTTAAAACGGCTGGTGAGATTTCACCAGTGCGCACGCAGAAGAGCCCTGCGCGTCGTAACGGTTCCTTCGCAGGCGGTGGGGCACCGTTCGCAAAGGAGTCCTTGGAAGTTCGTGCATGCGCACTGGCCGCATCTCACCGATCGCACATCATCATCATCATCACCGTCCTCAAAAACGGTTCCTTTCGCTCGTTCGGAAGCTTCCGTCTGGTTGAAGCGGAGGGAGGGCGGGAAGCTTGGAGGCACCATTTGTTGTTTTTCCCGCGGATGATGATTCGGTGGTCGGGGCTCGTTTTGAATCGTTTGCTCGCTCGTAGTGTACTTAGGAAGAAGGGCGGTCGGGAGGTACGCGAGCGTGGCCCCCGCTGCCGACATGATTCACGTTTTGAGAAGGAGGGGACGGCAAAAATGACGACGGCCCGATCACGCTGAATGACGACCTCACGCGCGGGGCGGGAGTGCGTGCGTGCGCTCTGCGGAACGCGGTTATTTCCAGACTCGAGCCACGCGTCCGTTGTAATTTTTTTTTTCCTTCCTTTTTTTACGCGTGTTATGGGTCTAGGCATTTTCGCGCTCGTCTCTCACACTTGGTCTCTTTCGCTATTTTGTTTTTTCTTATTTTCTTAACCAAATGCAAGAGGAGAAGGAAGGGAGACTTGTTTCGATTCGTGTCAGCTGCTTGTTGAACGCGGAGAAACACCCTGAACGCGATGGCGTCATTTTAACCGTGGAAGCCTTTCTGTTTGTTTTAGACACACGCACTGGATCGCGCGCTATCGCACGCTCGCTTTTACACGATTTTGAAACAGTTACTGCCCTCTGAGGATTTATGTTGGCATTGTGGAGTGAAGGCGGGATAATCAAAATATAAATCACACAGGTCAAGCTGTATCTGTAGTTTATATATATATATATATATATTTAATAAGCTTGGAATTATTTTGGCTGCTGGCTTGCTATTACATGGCCTCCGAGACTGACAGGAGCATGGCCACTTGATTCTGCTTGGCCGTAAAACCTTGGAGATCATGACTGTGAGACTGGCGCCACCATCAGTTTTTCAGTTGCTTTATTGAAATTACTCAATACAAAGTGCGCAGTTGTTCAAAAAGTGAATTGGTCATTGCGTGTTTGATTAGTCAGTCTTTATAGATATGGGCCTTGTGCAAACATTTTTTCCCAATACGTTCTTAGATTCTGAAGTTGTACACATCCTTGCTTTGAAAACATTGGCCTTTGCCAAAGGTTTTTTTTTTTTTTTTTTTTTTTTGCATTTGGTATGAGGGAATTGGCATAGGATCAGACGTGCTGCTTCATGCGACGTGGACTAGGTGTCTAGCTAATCTTAACTATGGGGGATCACAATATACTGTGGGCATTAATTTCTCATCAGTGATTGAGTGGTTGTTCCTTTTGTTAAACCCAGGTAAAAATAACCATTGAGAACCATTGGAATTTCAATTGGTATCAGTTGGTTCCAATGGGTTCCAGTTGGAAGTTCAATTGATGCCAACTGTAACTAGTTGGATCCAATTGGCAGTGAGTAAACAATTGTTTGTGACAGTTGGTTTCAATTGGAAGTTCAATTGTAACTAGTTGGATCCCATTGACAGAAGGCAAACAATTGGTTGTGGCAGTTGGTTCCAATTGGAAGTTCAATTGATGCCAATTGTAACTAGTTGGATGCAATTGGCAGTGAGTAAACAATTGTTTGTGACAGTTGGTTCCAATTGGAAGTTCAATTGTAACTAGTTGGATCCCATTGACAGAAGGCAAACAATTGGTTGTGGCAGTTGGTTCCAATTGGAAGTTCAATTGATGCCAATTGTAACTAGTTGGATGCAATTGGCATTAAGTAAACAATTGGTTGTGCCAATTGGTACCAATTGCAAGTTCAATTGGAATTGGTTATAACTAGTTGAATCCAACTGGTATTAAATGAACAATTGGTTATGCCAATTGGGACAAAAATGTCTACTTGATTACATCTCAACTGAAACTGTGCTTTTCAATTGGCACCGGACACCAAATTGTATCTTCAGTTGTCTTTCATTGGTTATTTCAATTAAAATTACTTTACAATTTGAATATGGTCCATTTGATGGACCATTTGAAAGGAAGGCTTGCATTTTTATTAGCATATTAAATCTATGCAATTGAGATAGGGACATTCTATTTCATGCAAATATGTAAATGTATTTTCTTTCTATTCTTGCTGTCACAGCTAGCCGAGATCTGGTAACACTAAAACATTGCTTGTTTACCTCACGAAAAGAAAATCTATAAATTGTGAGGTTCAAACACTGTGCTAGGAGTTTGCAAGGCTATTGGCAATAATTTGAAAAAGCAAGCAACCTTTCATATCGTAAAGAATCCAAACTCATACACATGGCTGTTTTTTAGAATGTGTTTATAAGAACTCTTACACATATGCACAGGAGTAAGCCACAATCATTTTGCCTATCCACATACTGTGATATCCCATCTCTACTGGATAAAATACACAGATCAGTACCATATCTCAGAGCAAATGAAGGTTAAAGCAGCATATGTTCAAACATTTTAAAGTGATTGCAAGACATACAAAAATTTCAAGTTTGTTATACAAAATCTGCATGTTTATCATAGGTGCCCACTGCCAATGTATCAGGAGTAAAAAGTAACTGAAAATGTGCACGCTACAAAAAAGATTTGTGAGAAAACGCAGCAAAACAAATCATGGCAGTCTACCTTCTTTTAAAAAAAATATATATATATATACAAAATGCAGAAATGAAAATTCACAAACAGTTATTTTCAGTGACACACAGAAGCAGAGCATGTGATAAAAGTAAAGTAACATAAATAATTTGACTAATTTGATTGTTCACCAAGTAAAAGGTTTTTGATGAGTCACATAACCTTACAGTGAGTGCCCTAGAAATCTTCAAGCCCATCAGTAAACTGCAAGAACAGGGTGGGATCTCTACCAACCTGGAATTGTCAGTAAATTTTGATCATCAGGATAAGTCAGGGAACTGCCAGTGAAATAGTAAAAAAGATGGCTAAATCAGGGAAAATTAACAGTGAAAATGGCATGGCAGTGTGTAACAAAGCCCGACGGTAGCACATTGATGCCAATGTGCTGAGTAACGTCGCACGAGGCGTCTAGGGAGTGGAAGCCACAACGTGATTGAACGGGAAGAGCCAATTTAACTCCACCTAATAGAAAGCCTGAAAACATGTCCAGCTATTGGCTCATCAAACCAATAGTCCTGACTGAAGTAAGTCATGGAATTTCATATAAAATTGTCAGGGTAAATCTGAAAAGGTTGGCAAATTTCAAAGCTATTGTGGTAAACACCCTGAAGAAATAACCTGTTTTCAAATAAAGCAATGCCCTATTTGTACAGGACAGAAACAAGAAGTGATTGTGGAATGGATATTAGACCTTAATATTTTATGAAACACAGTGCTAAAAGTATGAATAAACTTATGGGGCTCTTCACATATCAGTACATGAATAGCTATTATAGAGCTTTTATATTGTAGCATTATAAAGGACAACTGTAAGCATAAGCAGTGACACAAAAAAAAAACTGGGTAATATGCATTGGAATAATAATGGAAATGTGGACTTAAAGGAGTACTCCGGCGATTTTGTCATGGTCTCTAATATGCCTCAAAATTGGCTAAACACACCAAAACACAGTGCTGAAGTAGTATTCAAAATATACTGACAATATATATACATACATATATTTTTTTGCAGAGTTATTGAAGTTTTTAATCGCGCTCTTACCGGTTTTTCAAACTGAAAGTCATCATTGGTGGCACTGAACTGATGACTATATGTCATGTCTCCTTTTCACTGTTTGGGCCGTATAACTTGTTTCTGACCGATTAAATAAATGCATATTGGTGCAAAATGAATGGTGTAAAAACCCTCGCTGAGCAGCACGAAAAAAAAAGTGCAATGTACTGTTTTTTTAGGATTCTTGCCTTATCTGCGAAAATGCCGATTCATTACGTCATGCGACTAGAAACCGCAGTGAGATTTGAATGTTGGTTTTCGCATTGCCAATTCCTCAATAACTAATATGAATTCAGAGATCAAACTACTGTGTTGGGAAGAGCAATGTCCGGGTATTCAGAAATGTAGTTTGTTTGGGTAGCTCGAAAAATCGCCGGAGTGGCCCTTTAATAGTTTTAAATGGAGGCAAGCAGCTCTTGCGAATATGCTTTGGTAGTTCACTTTTTGTGAAATGTACGGACTAAGGCACACAGACTGTTTTAATGTAAATTTCGGTTTTGATAAGTGCACAGATGAAGCTTTTCTATGTGGCATTCATGGCTTTTGAAAGCTGGATTAAGATTGTGGGGTAAAATTACCCTAAGAGTAAAAATTAGAGTGAAGACTTTCAGAAAGGACATAGTGAGCTAGGCAGAGCTGTAAATATTGTCACGAATGACGGCGACGAGAGGATGAACAGTAAACTGAAGAATAAAAGTTTGATCGGCGTATTTGTACCTTAAATTCTGCCCCCGCCCGTTTCGCTGTGAACGAGCATTGTGCTGGCATACAATGGTGCATCACTACTGCACGACGCTTGTTAAAGGGATACTTCAACGAAATTTCAAATATTCCCGTCGAGTTCAAAAATAGGTTGAATATGATCCACAATATCCGTAAATGACAATCGCACGTTTGTATTTTGATCCTGGTGGCTGTATTTTTCGTTATAAACAGCCCACTCTGGCAAGCGCTCGGAGAAGGCCCAGCTTAGAGCATGTGACATCCAACGAAATCGTGACGTAGGTCGTCTCAGGACGAGCAAAGCTACGGCGAGGCTGACGTCGAGAGGATGGCCTAGTCGTTCCAGCCACCGAAGAGGCTGCTTTTGTACGAATTTCGAGTGACGGGTTAATCTTCTATAATCTTCTAGGGGGACAATAGCGACTTCTGTGACACACAAAAGGGATTCTCGGGAAGAGGGGAGTTCCTCCTTCCCCCTTCTCTCGTCGTGGCCGGAGACGAGACAACCTCCGTCACTAGCTGTCAAGGTTCCTAGACGAGCATTACAAACGAGGCGTTAGCGACATCCACCAGGTGCTCTTTGCTAATTGTTCAATTCGTCTTAAAATTCCTTTTTGAGATTTTTTTAACAAGATATTGCTATGTTCCATGTGATACTGCTCTTTTGAACACATATAGACCAAAAAATGAGCGCCGAAATTTCGTTGTAGTATCCCTTTAAAGACCTGTTCAAGACCCCAGCTTAGCAGTCATACTGCACTAGCTGAAATGCTGATCTGTGAACCAAAGTTGTCATATGTGGGCAGACCGACGTGATGCTCTATAAACATGAAAGCCTAATTTGCTACGTCAAGTGGAAGAAAAAAAAAACTGCTCATCCATTTGAGCAAATAATCCCATCGTTTGAGAATGGAAAATAAACCATTTTCATCTCGTCTCCGGCTAACCCAAAACATTCCTAACAACCACCTTAAAATGTAAAAGCACTGGGCACTGGGGCCACATAGATATCATCAGTGCCCATATAAACAACTGCACTGAAGATTTCGGAAGATCTTGCAATCTGAAATTGCCTCGGACGTCCATGAACCTTAAACAGAGTTGCCTTCGACTTTGAATAAAAAGGCGTGCATTCTAAAGGTTTCAAAATCAGGAAGCTTGACTCCTTGTCGAAGACAATTTTCTCAATTACTCCAATGAGACCACTGGTCAGCTTTACAGCCGAGCTGTTGCTTTTCTTCTTACCAACATAAGAAGCAGTCGTGAACACAGTTCCATCCTTCACCATACGTGGATACTCAACTGCTTGAGCACTGAACACAGCCTCTCCCCCAAGGTCACGAAAAGGACACCCTCTGCCTAGCAAACGCACTCCTTCCGTGCAAAGATTGACAGATTTTTGTGTTGAGCGGGAGCTCAGAGAACAACAATAGCTAGACACAGGTGCGCTGGTAACATGCTGCTCTAACTCAGACACAACAGTCTCTGCCGCTAGCATCCTACAGATCTGGTGAGGGATCCCCTTAGCAGCCTTAATGCATGTTTTCATTTTCCCATTACCCGCTTCAAAAGGGAAGGCCGAGTGTGCCCACAAAGGGCCCCAGAGACGAACACTCTTCACAATATGTTCCATCTGATGGATGTTAAACGTCATGCTGTCTTCTCCATAGAGGAGCTGAGTTTTTACAACGAACTCCAGCATGAGAAGATCGCAAAGTTCTATGTCTACAGAAGAAATCTGTTGTTGCAGCATCAGGTGCACAGCTTCCACCAAAAGAGCCCAGTGGGCAACATACTTTGTTGGCAATAATCCATGAAGTACAGGAATACTATAGTAGAGTACCCAGCTTTCCAGTTCCTTGGCTTTCCAAAATTTCCGCTCCCTCAGCGACCTCGGCATCCTCCTTACATCTCTTGGGGGTTTTATGGCCAGTAGCCTACTGTCCATCCTGTCAATCTCTCGCCCAATATAGAAATCTCTGTCGCAGCACTCGAGCCAATGCTCCAAAAACTGCCTAGCCACACCCAGCAAGACACAGTGCATGTAGTCGGGGACAAAGCCCCAGACTATGCTGAAGTGCTCCAGGTTAATGAGCGGAGAAACGGTCTTGACGCCCCGCACTACAGTACCAGTTTCAAAAGCCTTCTGCATGTCATCATACATTTGGTCATCAGTACGCTCATCGGGATCCACTGTCTGGACAGGATACTTTAGAGATCTTCCTATCCGTGTGCCAGGGTGCAAACACCAGTTGCAACCAAAATAACCATTAAATTGCATGATTCCCTGCATAGGGGCTCGTGCCACTGAGTCAACTGCAGCGCAGATACAAAAGGCTCTGAAAGTTTTAGTCTTCCCTTTAAAGCTTAAAGGAAATCCAGTCTCGGAAAGATCCTGCATCATGTCCACAAATGCCTTTTGGAAGATGTCCATCCGCGGTTTGCTTTTCCCAAACCAAAGGGCTGCTAGCACAAGGTTATTCATACGATCCTTGGGAGGAATTTCATTAACTGAAAGCTGGATTGGCCATATCGAAGTTGATGAAGACTTGAACACTGGGGCACCATCTGCATTCAAGGTTACACTAATCCTATGCCCGGCCTCTGCAGTTTCATTCACAAATGTACGGTACATACTTCCATCCGTTATGTCACCCATTGTGTGTCCGTCCCCCAAAGGTTCTGTCAGATCTAGAAAGTCTGAATTTTTCAGGATCCCCTGCAGCTGCGACTGAACGTTGAAAGTAAGAAAAAAAGGTGGCTCAGAGACATTTGACACCTGGCACTCCCGGCTACAATGTGAGCACTGGAAAGAACTGCAACTGTTGTCCAGCTTCCCAATGAAGAAAAAACAGTGAGGGCAGTAAAAATGAAATGTGGCACCACCATCACCAAACATCTTACTAAGAAAGTAACGAGAGTCTGGTAGAATAGGCTTGGAAAAAAAGCTATTTACCATCTTGACAAGATTTGTCAAGCCAGTGAATGACAGGTTGTTGCTGGCAACATACTTTAGCAACATTACCAAAATGTCGCCTTTCGACACAACGACTTGCTCGCCAACAATGCCTTGGAAAAGCTCAGCGAAGTTTCTGGCAGCCTGTGTTCCTTGCGGATCAGAATCCATTGCATCTTCATCCGAGATATCTTCATCTGAAGGAGCCTGGGATTAAACGATTGTCATTTTAAGAACCTAAATGGTAAAAGAGATAAGTGACACCAGTAACAATTATTTGTCTATATTGTGGATAATTCTCAAAAAACAAATTGCTGCTGTATAGCTACATTTTTCAGCTTGCATCCATTTTTTTTTGTGACGACAAATCAACTTATTAAGTGCTTGAAAAACACAGCCTACCACTGAGGATGTGTGTGACCTTGCATCATCCGAGCTGTACTCTTCAGTTGGGTCGTCTGGGAAGGCACCATGGTTCTGAAGCTGTTGGGGAGAGATCGACTATCAGAAATATTGCTGCCGTATAGTCACAATTTTCAGCCTGGATCAATTTATTTCTTGACGACAAATGAACTAATTAAGTGCTTGAAGAACATGACCTACCACTGAGGATGTGTAGGACCTTGCATCATCCGAGCTGTAATCTTCAATGGGGTCATCTGGGGAGGCGCCATGTTCCTGAAACGTTATGAAAGAGATCAACTATCAGAAATTTAAAGTCTAATGAACATAGGGCAGACCTCTCCCGCTGGCCTCGGTTACTTGTTGGGTGGCATTAATTGCTTGTACTAAATTTGGCCAAAATTCAAGTTTTCGCTCATATATAGCTTCTTTTCTTTTTGTGGCGAAAAAACACAGTCCGCTTTCTAGGGTTGAGAATTTGTAAATCGCTGCTGCTGTATGTGAAAAACAAATCTTAGCTTAAACTCGGGGGCTGCACAGAAACTAATTCTTTGAAAAGCCACATATTAAAATGTATGAAGAATCACTTGATTACTCATGGGGAATTCCACTGGTGGATTTGGAGCTGTTTTGAAGTGTTTTTATCTTGGTATCTTTGTGGGCATGCAAGCACAAGCCAGCATTTACTGTTCTAAACGTGCAAGTGAAGAGTGCTTTTGGATCGCTCAAAATCCACCAGCTAATTTTCATACTTTGTGTGGACAACAAACAATATATCAGATTTTTTTTTTCTTAAGTTAGACAATTACTACCAACGACTTATTTTTTGCAGGCTCAATATTTCACGATTTAGGTAAAAGCTAAAGTTTTGGAATTAGTTGCGGGTTCTAATTTTTGCGAGGTGGTGGGATCTCAATGTAGCTTCCAATGCATTTACATTTTACTGGAATCGTTTGTGGGACCTGCATCTGCAGTTTCAACTGCCCAAAAAGAGCCATACTCAACAGCTTTCTATTGTACAGTGGAAGGTAGGAACGACATAGTGCTATTAATTTCAAACCATGTGCAATTTACCCACCCTTACTCTTTTAAAAATACTAGCTGCTCAAGGATTTGAACCACATAGATTTTATGTAGCATATGCTCGCAGGCTGTCTTGGTTACACAAAAAACGAGGAAGCCCCTAACGGAAGTAGAGCAAAAGCAAAATACACAGGTTTAGAGGAGAATTACATAAATGACGAGGACTGCACAACACAAATCAAAATATGTCTTTGAAAACACATTATGAAAACATAGACTAAACAAAATAAAACTGAAATAGATTTACCATCCAGTTTCAAACTGAGTGCATGTTTTATTGAATGGTAATCAATATATTTACCATAGGAGAAGTGCAAGGATGTTCTGCATCATCAGAGCAGCTAGCGTTGTCAGTAAAATCTTCTGAAGATGAACCAGGTTCCTGTGATTCATTGGGAAAGAAGAATTAGGCACTCACTGCTATAGACTTTATTGTTCGTTATGTAGGAGTACAATGCTATATTAAGATTGGTATCACTACAATAATACAATGCTTACCATAGAGAGAGTTGACGGATGTTCACTGGCTTCACAAGGCAAGCCGCCTCTGGCTTGACCTTGTGCGGCATTTTGCTGATGTGGAAAGATGTAGAAATAAAAGTATGCATTTGTCCCAGAAAAGTTTAGTGCTTGAGAGTGGTATGAGCAACAACCAGAAGATGTACTTACCAAGGAGTGGGTAACAGTTGCATCTTCACTTTCATGAGGTAATTCGACATTTGTGGCTAAGCACGGAAGAACTGCACCATCCTGCGAGAATCGGCAACCAATTTTCATCATAACAAGAAAGCTAAAACACACTCAGCGTTAAATGAACTACCACCTGGGGCGGATTTATAATTCAGGCCTGGGAGGGGCGGTAGGCATTCAGCTGGCGGAGGAGGGGGAGGGGAGTCTGCTGAGATATGATGTTACCACGGAAACATAACCCAGATCTATATTATAGACCCAATATTTGCTATGTCACCAAATAGACCCCTTTCGAAAGTCACGTACCGATTATTAAAAGGCCGGAACCACTGCACAATGACGGAACAACCGCATCGAGGAGCGTTCAAGTCATCCCATAAGATAGCTAAAGTCGGAGTGCATCCAACGCTTCGAGCCGACGAGCCAATCAAAAAGCGTCAAAAGTGCAACGTCACTGCGCTCATCATCTTTTTCTGTGGGTGTGTTTTTTCCAGTGTGCCGTGACGTTGAAATTTTAGTCCGCCATTGTGCAGGAGTTCCACAGCTGCCAACAGAGGGCAGTATTTTGAAAGGGGCCTATACCAAACTTTTGCCGGGTGTATATCAATTATTTTATTTTAAAACGTTGACTTTGGTGAGCTTGGGGAAAGGGGGGGGGGGGGGGGCGGGAAGGAGGTCAACCCTTCCCCCTAAATCCACCCCTGATTACAACTAGGGTCGGTGACAGGTCAAGAACGAAGTGGAAGCTCCTCCTACCTCTTTCCACTTTAGTAATGCGAACGCTGGAGGGGAGGCGGCCTCCTTTCTATCGTTCGCTCCGCTGAAGTGGAAAGGGGTGGGAGGAGCTTCCACTTCGTTCTTGACCTGCCACCAACTATAGGTAGCTTGGTTTCTATGTGTTATTACAATTTCTTTCTCTAGTGTATATAGCTAACTGCAATCTGATCTAGCGAGCACACAAACCTTGCACATAGAGGCAATCTGCAGCCTAAGCTTCTGCAGTATTTTTTATGTTAACCAGAAATTCACTGATAGCAAACTTGTTTTGCCTCTTCGTTGTTTACAAACCCACAAAAGAAAGCTTTGCCTCATAGCTTGGTGGCCATGCTTGTAAGGAATGATTCAGCATCTGAATATAATAATAATTGGGGTTGTGGGGATATTTATACAGCGTGTAGTTGGTCTGCCATTAAAGTTGCGACGAGTCACACGCTGTAGATGAGCAATTTAGCCAGTGCAGTACAACCGCTAGCCTGGGGTCTTTAACGTGCACCACGCAGTAGTGATACACGACTGCACGCCGGTACGATGCTCATCCAGATCGAAACGGGCAGGGGTGGGGCTCGAACCCAGGATCCCTGGGTTCTGCAGCGCGAGCTTTCGCTCCACGCGCGTCGAGCTGGGTGTGCGCTTCAGCCCACTCGGCCACCAGATCCCCCCAGCATCTGAATAGACTATAGGAAGGCACATATGCTGAAGAAAATTCACGTTGGGCGTGGCAATAGCAATGCTGATGGGAAGACCGTTCCATTCGTTAATGGTGCGCATGAAAAAGATGTTTTTAGCATTCGGTTCTGCACTAGGGTGATGGAATAATTTGCAAAAGTCTGTCAAATAAGCGAGATCACTTGATCATGTACCAGGATATAAACGATTAATTCTGCACTGAGTCTTTCTTCTGCATTCATTGTACAGGCTGGGGCAGGTAACGCATGCAGCTGTACCATGTCTGCGGACGCGCTTATTCGCACCGATTTTACCGCTTCGTTCCGTGATAAGCCGCTGGCCCTCCAGGCCGCTCGGTGCGCTCGCGATATTAAAAACTGGATCACCGTACTATACTCCGTTTCACCTTATGTTCTACCGCAGCGAAGGCTAGAAGCGCGAGCTCATAGCGTTGGCAGCTGCACGGAATGCACGAGAGCTTGTGCCACCGACATGTGCCCCAGAGCAAGGAGCTCGCGCTTGTAGCCTTTCCTGCGGTACATCATAAGGTGAAATAGAGCATACCTGCCTCGAACAAGTGGAGCAATCTTGGCCTGAAGCCAGAAATTTCGAAAAACAATTTTACATGTGACAAAGGCGGGCCGATCGGGTCCGTTTAAAACAGTTTGTTGAACTGAAATTTCCTCTGCGCCAAATGCGGAATATCTAAAAAAAAAAAAAAAGTTTTTAATTTATTTTTTGCGAGCTATGCACCGGGTGCGGGAAAATTCAAGACACTCGAGGTAAACCTGTCTAAATTATCAGGTTAATGTTCAGACTGACGAAACCCGTGCATAATTTTATGCCGAACGTCGTTGCGCGCGGAGCGATAAATCAATACTCACAGAGGTCCCACATGCGCCGTCTTGTCTCTGGCAGTACTTTGTAGACTTCGGGATCGGAGCATGGGACCCGGGAACAAAATACTGCTTATAGGGCCCCCGTTTTCTCGGTCGTCTGGGGCATGGAGTCGCAAGATCCGGACACTTTGGTGGCTCCGAGGTTGGCGAATTCCCACCCGAACTCTCCATTGAAAATTACTGGCTCGCAGGCCTCGTGTAAAGACGGCGTGCTAACAAGGAAGAACCTCTGATTATCTATTCAGAACAGAAATCACATATTCCAGTTCCTAGAGCCATAAAATCACCAGAGATCGCCCAGCCAGCCGCACGGCCGTGTTTACGGTTGGCCGTGGTTTGCAGTTTGCAGGACATATAGCTGACATGGCTGTGTTCTAAATATGTACTCAATCTCATTTCAAAGGAGAGTTGCTACCTCGGCGTCCGAAAAAGTCCCAAATGCCATCCACGTTCAGCGTTATCCTATGTATGTAGTCACGTGATGTGACCTGCCCGAGTAACTTTGACCCACTCGAGTTAAACTTGATGTCACTCGCACTCCTACTACCACTCGTTGTATGAGTTATATACTCCTTTTTAGAAATCCAGATGGCGCTAGGGTAGTCTCATTGTTAAGCCCTTTTACTCTAATCTTCCTCCGATATCACAAAAAGTCCCTTTCCTACAAATTTTTTTTTTTTTTTTTTTTTTTTTTTTTTTTTTTACGTTTGATTTAGAACCGGTGCAGGGGTGGGGGATAATACCATTGTCGCATTCTTTTCGGATTAGGAGAGGGTGCGGGAAGGTCTCCATATTCTTGGGAACGTTGGTCATGACTCATGTCATGTCGGTTTTTGGCACACACCGCGTTCACTTCGAAGTTCGATGTAACGTTTTAGAACTGCGTTCTAAAGCCGTTTTAGAACTGCGTTCTAAAACGGCTTCGAATTTTTTTTGTTTTCCGCAACGCTATGCTTCTAAGAATAAAGGCGCGTTCACCGGCGATGTGATCTAATCGCGCGATAACTTTCATCGCAAAAGCGACCATTGCGGAAAAAAAGCGACGCGATTCGAGCAGTCGCTAGCTGACCCGACTTTTGCGATGCGATCTAGTCGCAGAGCAGCAGAGCCAATCAGCGGCGTATCAGGCATCATAAACGCATCATGAACGACATTACTGAACAACTTCCCAAATTTATAGTTCCGCTATGTTACCGCTGCGGTTACGACAATAGGGAGTTTTCGTAGACCGCGCTGCCCCCTCCGCTAAGCGTTCCGCAACGAAGAGTTGCTACTGCGCCTGCGCGCCGATGGCCTTGACTGTGGAGTTCCCGCTATCGTAGCGGGTTGCGGAGTGCCTTGCGGGACGGCGAAAACGATTTACGAAAACTCCCTAATAGGGAGTTTTCGTAGATCGTTTTCGCCGTCCCGCAAGGCCCTCCGCAACCCGCTACGATAGCGGGAACTCCACAGTCAAGGCTATCGGCGCGCAGGCGCAGTAGCAACTTCTTCGCTGCGTAACGCTTAGCGGAGGGGGCAACGCGGTCTACGAAAACTCCCTAATAGGGAATTGTAGTAGACCGTTTTTCTCCTCCGCTACGGTATCCCCGAAGAAAACACCGCAGTTGCGCATGGGCGCTGCCAGCCTTATCTGCATAGTTCAAGGTCGTGTGACGGATTACGGAGCGCTATCCGGGTGCTTAGAGGGCTGAGGAAACGGTCTACTACAATTCCCCAATAAAATGCCGTCGTGCGCTCGTATCTTTTTTTATTTATTATTCGGCGAACGCGATCGCGTGCACGCGTGTTTTAAATATTGAGTGCTATTTCACGCGCATTATGCTGCGAAAACGGGCGAACCCGCTTTGCGGCGGGGATCCCGTTGCAAATGTGTTTGAGCCTTAAATCAGGGCGGAAATATTCTCTAGAATATAAATGCCGATTGCAATAATTATATATTACCGCCAGTGTGCTTTTACAGCAGAGCAGCACCAGGGCATTGACTCAGAGTAATGACTATAGGGGTTCACTAACACACTCGGGGAATCGATGGTATTTATGTCACACACTTTGTAATTATATATGCCGTAATATGAATGTATAAAATGAAGAAAGAAATGGGGGGAGGGGTGACGACAATCTTATGATTGTCGTCACGACATGCACTATACATACAAATACGAAATATACCAACACGCTCGTTTTCAATTTTGTATGTAGGTGCGTTTCCTGACAATAAAGCTTCTATTGTATTCGCACAAAAGAAACACACTTCACTAGTACAATCGCGAGTTTTAGCAGATCGTGTTCAAAGGCTCGACACCACTCCTGACGCGCGCTTCATATATATATATATATATAGCATGCTTGTTTTGCTTTAAAAAAATAGCCTCTCGTGATATTTATTTACGATATAAATATCTACACTGTCTCACTCCCAAGCGATTATCAAGATCTCCGTTTGAATCTAGAAGCAGTAATAGCATTCCAGAAGAAGAGCTTGAAGAACATAATCCAGAGAAAGCCAAAATCCCAGTGAGTCTTGTGCGGTACCATACCCATCACAAGTTTTCAAATTAGTTGTATCCACTTCTTTCCCAATTTACATGGCTTCGAGAATAATGTATTCTCTCTCCCAATTTCTGTGGAAGGTTATCAAAAGACCAGGCACGATGGGGTGTGTACCTTGCAAAAAACTTAACTTTTCCGACAAAAAAAAAAAAAAAAAAAACACCTTTTAAAAAAAAAAGAAAAACAGAGCTGGTGATATTTGCATTGCAGCAGCAAACTTTTTTACTTTACCTGCAATTAATGAAAACCGGAACTGACGGTAAATAAAGCATTTTCACCCACTATATAGAAATAAACAAGCAAGTCTATACTGAAGTAATCAAACAGCGCATTCGTTTTAGGACTGAATATCGCTTTGAGAACGCGCGTGATTCTTATATTTCAGTAACGTTCTATGTGATAGCTATGTGAATGTGCAGGCTCCTGCTTTTATTAATTTCGCGAAACGCAACATTAAAGTTTTTGTATACGCGTAGTATTTTTTTGCGAACGGAATATTTCAGTGTTTTCAAACGCTGACATAATGGGAATTCCGGACAAAATGTTTGAAATGGTCCCAAATACATTTTGTGGGGTTTAGTATTGGTCCTAATTTTTTTATTGGCTTTATACTTGATAAAGTCCGAACGTATAAGATAAATATTCGCATAATACAATACGAATTTTATTTGGGAAATAAACATTTCACTACATAAAGGAAATGGTGGTAAATGTGCCAGACGCATGGCTTTCACTCAGCACGTCTTCTTGCTCTTTTGAACTAACGTGGAACTTCATTAAAACCTTGTTCACATCATCGAATTAAACTTTAAAGCTTGGACGCTACAAAGTAGAAGAAACACACATATGGGACGGGCGCCTGTCCTGTGTGTTTGTTTCTCCAAAAGTGCCCCGTGTCAAGCGTCTTTTTTTTTGTTTCGTTTGTTTCTTGTTGTTATGAAGCGTTCGAGCTCACTGGCATTGCTGCAGATGTAATGCAGCATCCACACTATACTTCGTCTCACCTTAGTATGGACTATACTTCGACTCACCTTAGTATGGACTATTGTTAGCCGCGCGTGCTAAAAGCGCGAGCTAGTTGCTTCGAACGAAGCAACTAGCTCGCGCTTGCGGCTGCATGAGCGCTCGTGCAGCGAGTGCTCCAGTCAAGGTGGTCAAGGTTAGCCGCTCGCGCTAGCACAGCATTCGCGGTTAGTCCATGCTAAGGTGAGACGAAGTATAGTGTTAGCCGCGCGTGCTAAAAGCGCGCAAGCTAGTTGTTTGGAATGAAGCCTCGGCGGCTGAACGAGCGCTCGTGCAGCGGGTGCTCCAGTCAAGGCCAGCCGCTCGCGCTAGCACAGCTTTCGCGGTTAGTCCACAAGCGGATGTTTTCAGCATCAAATGCGCGTGTATTTGAACTGGATCTTTAAGCGGTCGCGTTCGCAACCGCCCCCGCGAAGGCGATTCATCTTCCAATAGCGCATTAAAGTTGAGCACAGAAGCAATGTGATTTTCATTAGGTATCGGAAGCCTTTGAGCAATGAAGATGCGAGAGCCAGATATTTCATAATCCCCTCCGTCGTACTACAAAATTCGCATCATACGAACATTGAATGTCTGTTTAATAGAACTTCAAAGTAGCACCTCATTAAATATTAAACTGTGTCTAAAATTCATTTGGGATCATTCTGTCCGGGATTGCACTTGGAACCAATTTGTCCGGGGGCATTTTAGCGAGTGTCGAAATCTCGAAAAATAAGTCGCTTGCAGATGCAATAGATGACACATTGAGAAACTACATCAAAATAAAACAAATAACGAGCAATATTTAGCGATTTTTTATCATCCCGCAAAGTATACACGAAGCGAGTGTCAGAAGTAAAAACATAATATAGAAAAAAGGTGAACCACTCTGCCCCTTCGAAAAGCCCAAATCGCATCGGATATCACGCCAAGCGGCCAAGCCTTCTACACGCCAGCGCGTGCATGACGGCGAGTCACCCACCACATCCGGGTAAAAAAAAAAATTTTTTTTTCCTTTTTTTTTTGGGGGGGGGGGGGGGGGGGGGGGGGGGACAATGAATGTAGTTCGCCTCTCCTTTCGCGGAAAGACACAATTTCGCAGTGCAAACGCTTACCAGCATAATTTCCAATCTGCTCACCCTGTGGCGCCACCAAAAAGTTTGATAATCGCTGTTATTTTTGTTTTGGCTCCATTACCGCAATCCAAAGCCAAGCCAAGCAAACTGCCGATCTGATCCCCGGCCATTGCCAAACTTCTTTGTCCGTCCACTACGTATTTCACTCGCCGTGTGTTCCCTGTTCCAACCAATCTGCATATGAAATGATTACCCACGCGTACGTACGATACGTGGATGATAGTACCCACGCAATTGTGCCCATCTCGAGCATCAAAGATTTTCATCCGAGTGGGCCCACCGACTTCAGCGACAAAACGAAGTACTACGTAAGATGGCATGCTGGCGACAGTGAATTCTACAGAGCCCGGATACTTCTGTTGGGAGGTAGGTGTCAATGATTAAGCCGCATACGCTGCGATCGGGAAATTATATTTCCCACCCCTCGTTTGCGCCCGGTAATCAATGACTAACAACCGCGCATAGCTCGCGAGTGTCGTCGTTGCTGGGTACTGAAAATGATTTCTATTTGCTAATTCCTTCGAACCACGAGTTCTGCGGTGCGCAATTCTCACGACGAAGCCAAAGCTCGTGGCAGATAAAATACCGGTATGACCGCGAATGACATGGCGTGCATTTGTATTGCGGAGGCTATGGTATTGCACGTGTACGTTCTACCTGCAGCTTCTGCTAGCGCTAGCGTGGGCGGTCGTGATTTCAATAATGCTAAAGATATGGCGTACATCACTGTGTCTAAATATATGGCGGATGTACCCGGTACGGGGAGTTTTAACTTCTAAAGATACGGCGGACGTTCTAGCACGGATCATGGTAACATCGAACGCACCCGCTGGTTTAGGAGCAGTCCAAAAGCGCTCCGTGCTCGTGCCTTCTTGCGCTTGTATTAAAATAAATAACTAAAAAAAAAAAAGCTAAAAAAAAAAACGTTTTGCAGGCGCGCGGCCGCCGCCGCCGTCGTGTGCGTGTAAGACACTGTACTACTACACTAGGCTACACATGTCGTGTGCCTGCCCTGTGTGTCGGTAAATAAAAGCTTGGGACAAGTTTACGGCATTTAGTAAATTTGAAGCTGATCCAAAACAGTTTTGTGTATACGGCTGTCAATCCATCACAGCAGATTGGCAGGCGGGAGCTGCTGTCCACCGACACTAGCCGATGTAAGTCGTTTTCATGTCCGTACAGACCGCATACAGGCAAAACTTCCGAGCACCAAGGAAACAGCACCCAGGTTGGTACTCTAAACAGCTAGCTGAGTGCCGAGCACTTCAGACATGGTCGGAGAGTGAGCACAGACTAAAGCGTGAAAAACATGGTGGGTCATCCGTGTTTACATGCCAGTGATAAGCATTTAATTTTAACAGTTAGTCTGGTGCCCTGAATGCAAAGCTTCACTTTCGCGCTAAAAAAATTTGCCGGGCACGTCTGCTGTACTTTTAAAACCCCGTGTTCTGGTTATGTCCGACATATCTTTAGATTTCGGGTCCATCTGATCTCTTTACACATACCGTTTATGAATACCAGGTGTTTCAGAGAAAGTAGGTAGAAGTGTTTTTCTCACCACAAAGATAATGTATGGGCGCCATGAGCTCGAAACTGCCAGGATGTAGCCTTTGTCGTTGGAACAAGATGCCAGTTTCAAAACAGTATGATCTGACTCAGTTATAGGCAATTTCTGAAAACGTTGTATTAGAAATTGCCGGCCATTGGTGTTTGTGAATAAGAGACGCTACCAAGATGCAACACATTGGTCATTGAAATTTTCAGAAAATTGCTTCAATGTTTTTAATCAGATCACTCTATGTTCCAAAATTTTAGCATGTTGCATGAACTGCTAGGGTTACGTTCTGGTGAAATCTGAGCTGGCCATGATCTGTAGTTTATTTTTGTGGTGAGAAAAACACTATTATCTTTTCTCGAAAAGATGCAGTACATTGGCAACTTATTTTTGTAAAACTGAATGTCGTTTTAGAGCTGAAGCTAAAGCTTTCGCCGGAAAACTTTATCAAGATAGAGGACACACTAGAAATTCGTCTCTCAAACCGGATATGACCGGGTGCCCAGGGTAACTAAGACATAGCATAGAATTGTTTGACAGCTGTAACAGCATACTATTTAACGTTAAGATCCTTTGTTGAAAAGCTATCTGAGGATTTACCTGATGATTAAGTTAATATGATCTGTGAAAGTCTTCAGCAGCACTCTGCCCCCGTGTTTCATACAAACATACTTTTATCCATCTTATAGTCTCTGAAGAGGATGTCACGGTGAAACTAAAGAACGGGAGACTACGTGTCCGTAAAGTCATCGAGAGCTCCGACTACTCTGAAGAGGATTCACTGACCACCGAGAAGGAGAATGTCAAGGCGCAGAAGGTAACATTATTATACCATGGGGTTAGGTGTAGATGAACCAAATTGATAAAGCTTTCCCATCTGCAGAAACACATGAAAGAGAGACAAGCCACATCAACGAAGGCGGACTTGATGCGGATACTTGAGCTGAAGAAAAAACAAGCGACTGCAAAAAAGCCAGAGGCCAAGGGGGACCTCGAAGAGCTGCAAGCCAAGTATGACAGGGCGCAAAGGCATATCACACGGTTGGAGAGGGAGCTCAGCCAAGTTAGGCAGCTCAACATTAATCTGCAAGAGATTGTAATAAAGAAAGTGCAATCTTTAAAAGGTATGGGATTATAAAGTCCATTATATACAAGCATAGGATGTAATCTCGTGTTCAATGCCTCTGCAGATGAAGAAAAAAAATGTCAGTGCCAAAAAAATGAGCGTGCTGCATTTGGCTTTGACGCTGCAACTGGCCCTGCCCTGGTGGGTGCCCTCCCTGCCCCCGCTGTTCGTGCCCCTGCCCTGCCAGCTGCCTGTGCCCGTGTCCTGGCTGCTCCTGTCCCTATGGCCCTGGCTGCTCCTGTCCCTGCGGCCCTGGCTGCTCCTGTCCACGCGGCCCTGGCTGCTCCTGTCCCCGCGGCCCTGGCTGCTCCTGTCCCCGCCGCCCTGGCTGCTCCTGTCCCCGCGGCCCTGGCTGCTCCTGCCCCTGCAGCCCTGGCTGCTGCCCCTGAACTTGCCGCACTGCCAATTGCAGACCGTGCTGAACGGGACGCTCGCTTGGCAGAAAATGATGGTCATATGGTATGCTTGTGTAAAAGATTGTCTTTCCTCAAAGAATGTCTAAATAAGCAGTACTGACGACTATCAATTTTAAGGCTATTTCAGACAGTAACGTTTCGGACGCCTTGCTATGTGCTGGGAGGGGATCCTTTTATTGTAACAGGACTATGATACTCCTGGTCATAATGGTAGCTAGCATCATCACGAGCGGTCGCAGTGGGTTGCATTGTAGAAAAACATACATGTGTCAAAGGTGCTTTACACAGTAGGATCTCTCCTAGAAACCAACCTGAATCAATATCATTCGGTAAGCCATACAGGCTTACTGAGTGTGACAGAAGCATAGGCCTTTCTTCGTATTGAGCGCTTCATGGTTCTAGATCGTCGCGAAAAGTTGTTAGGAAATCATGATGGATGGATCAAATGCACATTTAGTTTCTTAAGGCTTGCTGTCATTTTATAACTAATTTTTCTAAACTCATAATATATTGCCTCTCTCCCCCCCAATTGGCATCCCTGCTCTGAACACACACACTGCAATCAGGAAAGTGCTGAAATAGCGTCTGTAGCACTGCTTCACATGAAAGGGGGACTACGGAGGTTTCTGAGATTGTCTCGTTATGACGTAACTCAATCTGCATGCTCTAAGCATTCCAAGAATGACAATCATGTGCGATTTATTTCACTATAAAAACGCTATTGAAGATTATGAATATCAGATTTACAGATAGCGCCACCGAACCCAGGCGAATGTGGTAGAACGACAAACAGCACCCGTCAATCAATCGTGAGCGTTAACTTGCCGTGTGGACAAGCAGAACAGGTAGGCTGCTTGTCTGCACAACAAGTCATCGCTTGCGACTGGCCGACAAGCGCCATTCGTTGTCTGATCACATTCGGCCAGGTTCGATGGCGCTATCTCTAAGTCAGATTCGCAACCTTTGAATACATAGTTTATAGTGAAATAAGCTGCACATCATTGTGATTTTCGGGATGCTCGGAGCATGTAGATCTAGTTTCAGCCATAATGAAACAATCTCGCCTCTGCGGTGCCCCTACAACACCCCAAGCGTGCACGCACGTATGTGTACATGCACACCCTCTCGTGATTTTCCCATGTCCATCTCTCAAAAATTCTTGGGGAGAACCTTGGGTCATAGGATAGTTAGATCTATTATTAACAATTCATGCAACTTTGGGGACCCCTAGCATCTGGGAATGGCAGTATTTCCATATCTGTGCTCAAATATACAACGATGGGCTTTTTTAATTTTGATCTTGGCTTTTTCTTTTATCATTTGGATGATCTTGTTTTGCAGGTGGACATCGGAAACGGTGTTCTTGTGGACCAGGCATCGTTGCTTCTGGCACAAGGGAAAAGAGATGCCTTGTTTGTGAAGGACCTGGCTGTGGCTGTCTTCGGATCTCGGCTGCTAATGGACAGTTCGGTCCTTGGTAAGCAGAACCGCATTTTTATTGGGAGTATGTTGTATGTTGCTGCATGGAAATTTATATTGTTTCTACGAAACATAGTGCCATATTTTCCAGTCTATAGTCTACACTCGGTATATAGACGCTTGGCACCCGCTCTAAATTAGAGCCACTGTAACTGACTTTCCCATATCTCGCCGAGAGGGAGTGCCAAAGAAACTAGTGGTGACAAGTCAAAACAGCCTGCATTGGTAAAAGGAACCCTGTAGTGTCTAGAAAGGCATCGAGTTCTTGTATGACCGCAGTGGTGATGGGAAGCAACTTAAAGGGACCATGAAATTACCTTTTTACTTTTGCCAATTCACTTTCACATTAAACCTTCAATGTTCACTGCACGCCGAACAGGCATCCGTTTGGTTGATTAACTTCTACACAATAAATTATTGAAAGTTTGAGTTTTTCTTCCTCTCCAAGTCGCCTCAAAACAAACATCGCAGCTGAGCGAAATTCAATTAGATGTGTTGCACTACAGCGACAGCATGGGACTGGTCCCATACAATGGTACGAAGCGCAGCAGGTCATCAGCACGGCAGGCGCTTCTTCGCCGTCAGCCGTTTCCGCGGTATCTCTAAAGGGATGCGCTGTCACTCATTGGCGTGGCAGAAAGTGCAGAGAGTTTTTTCTGGGCTCAGGCTTTATTAACTTTTACTTTGTCAGGATAGGCTCGCAGGACAGAGTGGATGAAAAGAGAAAAGAATATTTCTGATGTCTTGGGGTGCCACCACAACATCGCCGCACAAGTAGATGGATCTTCCCTTCTAGGCCGTGCTGGGTTATCATCGTCTAGCGACGAAAATTCAGTCAAGGATAGCACTCTACGCAGAACGATGCTCTTCCACTACGCCGACCTTGTCAACCATCACCACTGACGCCTTGTTTCTCTAGCAGAGAGCAACTGCGCAGGCACGGCCTTATTTTACCGCACAATAGATGGCGCACAACTCCTAGCATTATAAAATTTAGCAATTTCCATCACATTGCTAATTATTCAACAAAATATGCATCAGAATATCCTTTAACAAAGCTTTTAATAAACATTAGCTGGCTATTTATTGTTTATGATCGCGGTGCTGGTGAGGTAGGCTCTTATCCAATAGGCGACGTATAGATTTGGCTGACGTGCCGTGGCACCCGTGGATACATCGCAGTGAAAAGGCAGAGAGCTTTTGAAGGAAAGAAGGCGCAAAACAGGCCGGTTTTGTTTTGGAAGTTTTATAGCGAAGAATTTTTTGGCTCTCTGTTCTTGTGTTTTTTTGTTTTTTTTTACACCCTTAACGACGTGCGGTGGATGAAAGTTGATTTCAAATTCATTTAATGGTCCCTTTAAGTAAAAGGAAACTGAAAGTGAAGGTCAGCTATGGCCATGTCATGCACGTCTGCTGTAAATGGTGTATAGTCCTTGGAGAAAAATTCAGGCTGAAAATCTGCTTTGTTGTGGCGAGTTCAGCTGGTAGATCTGGACCACTTCCCAAAATCCTCGAGGGAGGAGATAATCTGTTACGTGGAGCATCCTCAAAATCGACCAGCCATAGGTATACCCCCACAGTTTTGGAGCGGCCCTACTGACGTGCACCGAAGACGGAGGAACGTTTTTTTGCAATATTTCATGGCTGCTGTTCGCGTAGCTGCAGCCTCAGTTCTCTGATGAATCACTTTCATACAGCAGCAGCAAAGCCGCACGCAAGTTCAGTGCAGATGCTCTTTCACACAACAACCCAGACACATGTCTGGCAGGACCAACAGGACGAGTGAGCGGAGCTTTAGTGACCTTGTCTCAAGAGGGATTTCTGCGTCTGGGTTGTTGTGTGAAATAGCTTCTGTGCCAGACTTGCGTGCGGCGTTGCTGCTGCTTTGTGAAAGTGACTCATAAAAGAACTGAGGCAGCGGCTTGGTGAGTGGCAGCCGCAGAATATTGCGAAAAATCGTTTCTCCGTCTTTGGTGCGTGTCGGTTGGGCCGCTCCAAAGCTGTGGCAAATGCAGCCTGATGGTGGCCAACTTGATTCGAGTCCATGAGTTTAAGATGCGCACTTCAAAAGGAGGTCTTTAGAGCGCGTCAAGTCTGACAGCTGAATTCACCATTAGACATTATAGACAAGGGATATTTGTGGACATGTACCCCTCTCATCGGTCAATACCAGAGCTTCTAAAGATTTATCTTGACACGCATTGGTTGCTTGGGGGCACCCAGGCAAACCGTGTGCCACTTGCAACATATCAAAAGACTTGGCGATGCATTGAGTTTGATTTTGCGGTTCTTACTTAACGTCCCTGCATAAAATATTGTGAACACGGCAATCTGATTGGAGCAGTCTGGAGGTAACAAACAATCTAATCCGCAACTGAAGATAGTCTGCACAGCATAAAGTATGCATGAGCCTTTAGACATGTATAGTCTAGAAAATATGGCAGTGTTTATCAGAGGTGGAAGCATCTGATTAACCTTTTATGAATTATTTCTAAGGACGTCATTGCCCGAAGAAGCCAGGCCAAGAGAGGAAGCCGGCCCTCTGCCCCACCAAACTCTCTGTCCTGAAAAGTGAGTAGTATTTTTTATTGCACTTCACAGCTGTAGCTGTTCACTTTTTTTTGTTTGCATTGAATTTGAGCTGCTTTCTTTTATGTAAGCTTAACTGCACACAGAAAAGTATTAAAAGCCATTGCAGTTTATTATGTGGCATATCTTTACAATACTAATATGCTTATGCAATGAAACATTGCGTTTCCACAATGGGCACCATTATTTGCCTAGGTCGATAGGAGCTTTTTCCGGTGTCTTTCCTTGCTGTTGCTATGACTTTCCTGTCAGCAGGTCATGCCATTGAAATAATCAGCCTCGGGGTGATGTAGTGCAGCACAGCTGCATTGATGGGGCCTGTGCTCAAGCAGAGCCTAGGTGCTTTCTTAAAATCTATCTTTATGTCACACTTCAAAGATAAATTCCACCAGCCAGTTTTGCAAGTCCACCACTGCTGTGATGCATTACAGGAACTTTATTCTTTCCACACGCGTGACAAGTCATGAGCGTGAAGCATGCACCTAAGAGTTTGAGAGATTGGTCTATTGTATTGTCATGATGTCATACTTGAACGGCTTCATGCCACCTTGTACTTCAACATCTTTGTGCTACCAAACAGCAGTCTTAAGCAGCAGACTGTTCTTTGAAAAGCAGAGTCGTGGTTGCTAGATTGTAGCTGCTATTTCATTATAGTAGTCAATCTTCACTCATTTTATTGATTTATACTCAAGTTTTCTGATGCAACGGTTTTGAGCCAAGTACCTTACTTTTTCATGCAGATGTCTACGTGGCTCGCCTTGTGAACAAAGGCATGCCGGAGAGGTTTGCCAAGGCCGGAGCCAAGGATGTCACCAGATTTATTAATGAAAAAATCACTGAGCTGAGGAGGCTTGACTCTAGGAGGTGCGTTATGTTTGTTTCATTTCTTCTCAAGGCAACATTCATCTTTTTCTTTTTAGCAGGCTTTCTTGGCAAATGCTGTAACTATGTGGTATATGTGTATAGTTACAGCATATTAGCGTGTAACCTCTTGCAGCAGAGAATGCCTCAGTGGTTCATAGGAAACAACTAGTCGTTGAGTATCCAAAATATGGAATCAGACTTAGTCAACATGGTAGCAGTTATTCTTTGCAACCACCAGAATTTGCCCATTGATTATGAATGTACTACACATACTGCCGAATGCTCTCCTTCAGGCAAAATAGAATTTTTATGGATCCATATTTCTGACTACCGTAGAATACCGTGCATCCACCCATTCTGCACTAAGCGCCCACCCCCAAAATATGAAACATCTGAAAAAATATGCACAGTACATATATATGTAAAATTGATGACCTCACATCTTCAAATTTTGAGTGGGCGCTTGCTGGGCATTCTACGGCAGTCCAAAATGCTGCCTGCAAATCCTTGTCGGGCGGCTTTGGCCGCCTTTTGCTGCAGCATCGAAGACTTGATTATAAATAAATGAAGTCAGGTTTTATGGAGGGAAAACATTATTGTTCTTTATCGCAAGCTAAATATGAACACTTATATCCCATTAAGTAATTTAACCTATATTGGTGTTTCTAGGAAAGCTGCACAGGAAAAGTTTGACCTGGAGGGAGGTGTGGAACCGGAGGGCAACGCCTGAGCAACAGAGGAGGCCGAATGAGTTCATTTCAATAAAAATTTCAAAAATCATCTACTAGTGTTTCATTGTCTAGTTATCACAAGCCATAAGCAGTTTTCCCATGTGGTGGTGCTCAGTTAGTTCCAATTAGCAACACTCAATTGGGTTTCGACAATTGGAACCAATCAATATTTTTTTAATGAGGAGTCCAAAACTGCAAAACGATTTTCCCAATTGGTCGTGCCCAATTGGTTCCAATTGGCCATGCTCAATTGGGTTTTGACAATTGAAACCAATTGGGATTTTTTCAATGAGGAGTCCGAAATCACAAATGGTTTTCCCAATTGGTCATGCCCAATTGGTTCCAATTGGCATGACCAATTGGTCATGCTCAATTGGTTTTCGACAATTGGAACCAATTGGGATTTTTCAATGAGGAGTCCGAAATCACAAACGGTTTTCCCCATTGGTTCCAATTGTCAGAAATCAATTGGACCCAATGGTTATTTTTACCTGGGAAGTGAGCTTGTCTTTCTCTTTTTTCGTTTTCTGCAGAGACCTAAGCCACAACAACCTTTCCAACCTGGATGCCATTGGAGTGCAGCAGGTTCCATCTCTCAGGCAGCTGTGAGTGCCTTGTTCGTTTTGTTTGTCTTGTAGCAGGTGCCATTTATTCATCTTCCTTCCATCAGAGAGGCTCGTGTCTTTATGCCCATGCTCATACTCTTTCAGAAAAATATCGCACAATCATCTGATCGAAATTCCTGACCTGGGCAACCTTCAGCATCTTGGAGAACTTCATCTGTAAGTCAACAGCAAGATTTTACGAAGGCTAGCAAGCGAGAGACGTCAGTTATATAGTATTGCTTCATAGAAATATATAATTTTGAACCAAACAGGTTGCTATCTAAATATATAAACACAAATTTCTGTGTCATTGCCCTTTTTATTTATTGCAGTCATACAATTGAGATCTTGCACATTGCAGTGAAGTAGCAAAGGTTGTCAGGAGGCTACCAAGCTTTTTTTTCCTCGCAATGATTCAGCCAATCAACGATCTCCACTGCTAGCTTCTGCAGAGCAAAGTTCCATTTTTTTTTTTTTGTTTTGTTTTCTTTGCTCGCCTAGGGCCCACAATGAGATCCAGAGCCTGGGGCAGAACCTGCTCAAGTACCCGAGTCTGAGGAGTCTCGACCTAAGCTTCAACAAGATCACAGTCATCCCCATGGGCGTCTTTACCAACAGCTCCAGGCTGCTTCAACTGTGAGTTGTCGGGAAGTGTTCAACATTTGGGATTCACCAAGGGTGAAAGCTGAAATAGTTTGCAATCATCTCTGAAGCACCGTAGAAAGTCTTGCTTTTCTTGTTTTGTTGCAGAACAAGACACTGAATTCTGCTTCACTAGAGTGAACCCTCAGAAGGAGCTTCTCTAAAGTGTCTCAGTTATAGTCAGCATTGCTTACAAACGAGACCGGCACATCTGCTTTCTTGTGAAGCATCTGGAGAACAAGTGGATCACTGTAAACTAAAGAAAGAGACTGGGGAATAGCCATTAGTTCAGAAGATGCTTGTTTTCATAAATGTGATGTGTGCTGTATTGGGCACCTGTAAAGAGTTATGGCTGGTGCTGCAGGGTAAGGGGCATAGTTGTTTTGCGGGAATATTTGTCCAGACACACCCCTTGTCTCGTCACTCGCTGGGCATCTTCCGCAGGGCTGCCAACTTGAGGGAAATTTTCCAGATTAAGGTAATATTCAGCTCTATGTGGGAATAGGAAAATCTTGCTAGAGTGAGGGAAATTTCGGGCACCGTATATATCTAGAATTTTATAGGTCAATTATGGTTTTTTTTTTCTCCCAAGATAACATCGAATTTCAGTGGCTTTGGCTATATTTTGGTTATTCCCTCAGCCGTTTGGTGGTTTGTCGTGTGACCATCTGGCAAAACTGAGGAGCACTCGAACAACCTTTTTCGGCAAAATCACTTTTCATTGCCCCCCGTGAGAACCATAGAGGGACCAGCCAAGTCGAAGCTTCTGAGAGCTCCGCTGTGCCTTGAAAAAGAAGCTTGAGTACAAGAAGAAATTCTGTCATGTATGGAGATACAGACTTATGTGTCCAAGATGCGGACTTACCATGATTATTAATGTTTCGTGAAATGCCGTGCGCGAAATGGTACTTACTGTCTGTTTGAGTTCGGGAAATCTCGCTTGTTTTACACCTTTTGTTTTCAACTATTATAAAAAGTGCTAATGTAGTTATAAAGCAGTACAGTGTTCTGATGGCATGCTTAACATATAATTGAAGATAGGGTTTCATTCGTCAGTTGGAATCTCCTGGTAACACTTCCCTTTGCCAGACTTCACTTTGGCCACGGTTTTGGCCCCATAAACTAATTTTTGTGAAACGTATGCGAGGCGTAAAGGCTTTATAATATATATCTCATCGTAAAAATGGGAGTGATACAGAAAACATTGAATATTTAGTATTGTATAATTATTTGGGCGAGGGAAATTTCGGCAGAAATAGAGAAATTTCAGGCGTCTGCTAGGCAAATTTTGACTTTCCGTGTTGGCACCCCAGCATCTGGGGCTAGTTTGTAAACTACGTCGGAATTACGTTTGGGAGAATACGGTAGTCCTTTCTGGTTCTGCTTCAATAGAGTATAGTTTAGTTGTGGTAATCCATTTGTTTGTCTGTTTCGTGTGTGCTGTTGTGCAGGTCTCTAAACTCTAACAAGGTGTCGAGCGTAGAAAAGGGTTCCCTGGACAACCTGACGAGCTTGGAAACATTGAGGCTCAACAAGAACCACCTTGTTACCATTCCCAAGGACCTGTTTCTCAAACTGCAGGCCCTCAAGCAGCTGTGAGCTCATTTGTCGTCTTTTGAAACATTTGTGACATCAGTAGCTCACAATAGCTTCACAACTTTGATGTAAATGTGTCAAAACAAGATAGTATGACTGAGACATATAAATGAAGGTGTATTCTTGCACATTAAGTACAAATTGTTTGCTGCATTTTTGAAGTTTCGCTTTTCTTCAAACAAATAGGGTTCTTTCGAAGAAACCATAGTCAATTCAAATATGGGAGATGGCAAAATAGAATTCAGTGCTTGCGGATAATATTAGGTCAGCATTCATAACTGACACCTAATTGTTGCGACCACTTCTATCTGTTTTTGCCCTCAGAGAACTGAACAAAAACCGAATCCGAGCGATTGAGGGCCTCAGTTTCAAGGGTCTGGAGTCGTTGGAGTCCCTGAGTCTCCGCAGGAACAGCATCAGCCACCTGTCCGACGGGGCCTTCTACTACCTTGGCAAGATCCAGAACCTGTGAGTGGCCCACGTTGCACCTTCAAGACATTGATTGGATCACACGCTCCCAGAGAACTCTGAAATAATAGACTGTTGCATGATTTTTTCTGTGCAGAAACCTCGACTTCAACAACATCACAGTTGTGACCAAGGGCTGGTTGTATGGCCTCTCTGCCTTAAAGTTGTTGTAAGTTTTTGTTTTTGTCTCCCGTTTTTGTTTACCTTCCATTGTTCGTCCCTGACGGGTAATAGTAATTGAGATAATAACTCGTTTCTTTACAGGGGAAGAATGAATTAACTGTGCCACTGAAGTGTCTGCTGTCCCCGATAACTTTGCTTTATTTTGTTCCTCTAGGAACCTGACCGGCAACAGCATCACCGAAGTGGGCATGGACGGTTGGGAGTACTGCCGGAAGTTGACACACTTGTGAGTGTGACTTAGTTTCATTCTGGGGGTCGGTTTGCTTTTATGGGAGTGCAATTCATGTCTCCTCATGAAGGTGATCACGGGAAACACCTCTTGGAATTGCTTTGAGAGAGATCGTCGGCTGACGGTCAGACTTTCTGGCGTTTCAGGGACCTGACTTCCAACAAGCTGCAGGCCATTACCACTAGCACATTTGCAAAGGCAGAGTCCCTTCGCTTCCTCTATCTTGGCCACAACATGGTCTCCTACATAGAGGAAGGTGCCTTCAAACACCTGAATCACCTCAAGACCTTGTGAGTATATCTCCTTTTATGTGTGTCTGATCCCTGACTTTTGGGGAGACATGAGAGTTGAAGGAAAACTATCAGATTATTGCAGGGAGTGATTGTGAGATTGTCAGCAATCAAACACTAATTTCTTGTGTGGTTGAACTGTTACTAATACTATGTTCAGCTAAGTTAATATCAATATTTTGACTTCGTTCGTTTCATAACCATCTGTGTAAAGCAAGGATGGTTCTTGTCTTGACCCAGGAATGTCTACAGCTCACAAAACATTTGTTTGCTGGTAGAATCTGCTGCATCAATTTCTATGACCTAATCTCATTGGATGTACCTTTGAAGAGTTTTGTGGACGGTAGTTTCTGAAAATCATTCACTCTTTTCATGAGCGAGGAAAAAGAGAAAAACTGTCAAGCTAACCAAGATATACCTATTTCTGAACCTTACTCCTGCTGATGTTTATGTGGTGTTTATATATTCGTATGAATTTTATCTGAAATTTCATCCCTTTCATCTCAACTTCACGTGCACATGTGTCCAGGCACCTGGACCACAATGAGATCTCGTGGACCATGGAGGACACCAACGGCCCTTTCTTGGGCCTAAGCAGCCTGGTGCAGCTGACGCTGTCGGACAACTCCATCAAGTCTCTGACGCCGAGGGCCTTTGCGGGCCTCGGGAGGTTGCAGTCCCTGGACCTCTCTGGCAACCCCGTGGCCACCATCCACCAGAGCACCTTCGCACCACTCCGCAGGAGGCTCACGAACCTGTGAGTGGTCACCCTCAAACTGTCGACTGATTTCTGCTCAAAGATTTTAGAAGAAATCCTAGTTTTTCATGCTGGCAACTTTGTGGTCCTCGTAATGTTTCAATGAAAGATCCCTTTGCTGCAATGTTGTGTTGATGGGCTTGATTGAAAAAGTTGGAACCTAATAGTGTTGTGTCACTTGTGGGTCCTCTCTGAACTGCAATAAGGGTATATCGCATTGACTTGCACCATTACGTTGTAGGGGCTGATTAGACAAAGCATTATTCGATTTGCATCTGATTCAGCGGCTCTGCTTTTTTCAATGCTTTGCTTAATTTCCAAGTTGTTGGGTCAATAAATTGGCTAAAAAATTTTGACCAGTTAATGGAAGACATGAATGTAACATTGTGGGGCCTTGCCTTGTTAAAAACGAATTACCATATTTTTCTAGGCTATGGTCCGCACCCCGTGTATAATCCGCAGATTTGGGGTAAAAATAAATGTTTTTGTTTGGATAGTCCGCTCCCGGTGTATAGTCCACACCTGGTGCTTAGTTGGCACAAAAATCTTCTTGTACACGGCCCACCTAGATAAATGTGTGCTTTTTTTAGCTCACAAAGAAGCTTGATGTATACATAAATCATCATTAACATACTCTTACATAGTCTTTCACTCACAAAATCTGTCGCGTCTCTTCATAATGAACAATCATAAAAAGCAACATTCCTGTATACACAAACTCGGCTCTGTTACGTCACGGCACAGTGGTGGCACGTCGGGCGCACCTCTGGTCTGGGGCTGTGGGCCGAAGTCACCATGTGAGACGTGTATTCCTGCATTGTTTTTGAAGAAACCAGACAAAAACCTGCTTTCTCGTCAAAATGCCGCAACTAGGACTGTACCAAAAACGTCGGGAAAGGTTTGAAGGTCAGTTTTCATGTTTTCTGCCTGCTCAGTTCGTCCGAGAACGTGGATAGGTGCCATGAAAAAGGAAAACCAGATGCTGGCAGACCACGATAGGTTGTGCAAGAAGCACTTTGGGCAGAATTCACGGATCCTTATGGTCATAAGATTTATTTGTTTTGTTCCAACGTGAATGCGGGAAAACCACAAAGTTGTGTGGACCATGTGCGGACTACGCTCAGTGCGTCTTCAAGTTCGAACGGCCGCCTGATCGTTCGAACTGTCGTCTGTTCTCAAGCACTTCTGCTTGTTGTCGCCTGCTCATTGAAACGATAGCAGCCTGTAGACCAAACGTCCGGTCATTGTGATAAGAAGTAGGTAAGTGCAGGACTCAAGACTTCTAAGTTTGAACGTTGGTTGGAATAAATAGGCTCGGTGATACAAGTATATGTTAATAATTGTTACCAGTGGCCAACACCAACTTGTTCTGCCTGATTCACTTGGCACGATTCTGCTTGTGATTTTCAGTATTGCGTCAACATCTCTGCTACGATTTACGCTTTTCGCAGCCCGAGCGACGTCATGACGGAAACTAGCAAGCAGAATCTCAGCATGCGAATCAGGCTTCAGCGTCCATTCTGCAGCGTCCACGCGGAAGGAATCGCCTCATGTCATGTTATTCACGCAAAGTTTTGCGGTGTAACGAGCCTCGTTAATTACACTGAGGCCGCTAGAGTAGTCGGACATTGCCAGAAAGACGTAAAATCAACAATTCCGATGTGTAAAAAAGCACGGGGACTCGTACCGATGCCGACGACATCGCATTCCAATGGTTTGTTTATGGGGGACTGCAAGCTTCTTGCTCACACTCCATTGCGCATGCGCGGTGCCGGTGGTGTCCGATAGGGGCGCTCCTGTTTGTTTGTAAGCATGAGTTGGTCTATAGTCCACATGCGTACATAGTCCGCACAGCCTAAAATTTCAACTTTTAAACATGTAATCTGCGGACTATAGCCCAGAAAATATGGTACCCGAAGGTCTTTTCGTGTGGGATTTATAAAATACATATTGCATTCATTAGAATTTTCTGGGACGGTGTAACATATTTAAAACGAAAGGCTCGCCTCATGTTGTATTGATGTCGTTACAACAGATTATTTAGACATGTCTAGGACAAGTGATAAGCAGTGGCACAGAGGGAATTTTACATGACGACGCATACCTTTGCAGCTGAGCTCTGCTTTAGCTGGCCTTTTTTTTGTTTCACTGATTGGAAAAGCCGCCGAAAAAGACAAGGACCATAGACAAGTTGAGTGTGTGCCTAGTCTTGTTCAACTTGCCCATGGTATTGAACCATGGTTAAAAGCGCTAAGAAGACGTACACAACAAGATAGAAGACAAACACGGGTGCTACTCGCAACTGTATTATGAATGTGTACGTTTTTTTAGCGCTTTTAACCATGATTCAATACAGTCAACACCAACTAGCCCAACAACAATTGTTCTTTTGCCCATGGTCCCCGTCTTTTTCAGCGCCTTTTACAATTGGCGATATGAACCAACTGGCACAATTATCCACACCGCTACCTTTTGTTTCACTTCCTGAGCCACTCATATTTCCTCCACACCTTATAATGGCTCCCTGGTCATTTAAAAGATCCAGCATATAAACTGATGAATACGCAATAATTTCTTTGTGCTGCTGGCTCGGAGACCATTTAAGAATCCAATAAATAGATTAATAAACGAGCCATAACTTTTTGTTTTGCTGCACGCTTTCTGACCTTTTTTTCCTTCCTCCCTGCCCGTGCGGCCCTGCAGTAAGCTGGACAGTGGGAGCCTGCTGTGCGACTGCAACCTGCGCTGGCTGCCCGCCTGGATCGTGAGCATGGGCTTTCAGGGGAAGGTGCAGGTGCGCTGCGGTCACCCCCTGCCCCTCCAGGGGCGCCTCGTGCTCGACGTCGGCTCGGAGAACTTCACCTGTGGTGCGTGGGGGTCTTCGCTGTTTCGCAACTTGTCACCACTTTTCTGCAGAAAATGGATGTAGAAAGACAATGCAGACAACATGAGCTATTAGGGAGTTTTAGTAGGCCGTTCCAATGACCCTGATAATGATACCAGACACTCCGGCGACGCCTCTGTACATGCATTGTGTCGTTATTGGACGTGTTGGAACAATCTACTAAAGCCCTGACGTCCCTTATGTTCCTCCTTTGGTTTCATAATTTTGTCACCAATGCGCTTGACCATCCAAATCACTTTTCTGCTTTTGCAAGGGGTCTCGTGAGAGATTGAGGCTGGAAGAGAGAGGACAGTGGTTAGTAATTGCCAGTGCGCGTGGATAGGCTGCAAAATGGCAAACTGCATAGCAAAAATTGGCTGCATGTCTGGTCATTCTGCCAAATGCATTTAAATGCAGTAGCTTTAATTATAGAGTGGATAGTGATCTTAGTTTGGGTACTGCCTAGGGCAGGAAGGCCCCTTGAGTCTTTCAGTGCCTGGAGTGGGTGGTGCTCTTAGTTCAGGTGGTGCCTAGAGCAGGGTTTTGTGTAGAAACAGATTATGTCACACCATTATCTATTTGTGACTCTGAGTACGCTCTTCGATCCTTTTAGCACTACCAGGATGCAAAACCTTTGCACTAAATCTTTTGGGTCGCCAAGAGAGGGGACGTGCGCTTTCCTGCCCTTCCTACTCGTTGTTTCGCACGCTCTTACTACACCACCCGTTTGCGCTCCTCTCTTTCGTGCTCCTCTCTTCACTCTGTGCGCTTTCTCACCCCACCTGCTTCTGCTCCGCCTGCTCCTGCGTGCTGGGTCCGTAGCTCAGTCAGAAGCGCACTCGACTTCCATGCCGGTGACCGGGGTTCGATCCCCGACACCAATTGCCATTTTTTTAAAGATTGTTTAGCGGTTACGGATTAACCGACCTGCACATTCCGTGCTTACGCGGCTCCTGAGGTTGGTTAACCCTATAACGCTACCGCTTTAATATATTTGTGAATCAAGTTGTCACATTTGGATGTGCTTCCTGATTTAGTTGCATTACTCCTGAGGCAACTTTTTGTAGCGGCTGAGTAGATTGGCGTCCAGTGCAATCAATTTAAAAGGGCAACTGCGGTCGAAAACAAAACCGCAATAAAGGGCTGGTATCGCTTTAGTGGCGCGAGATATGTTCATAGCCGAAATATTACGTCAAAGTGAAGCCGCATACTCCACTAAAACCGATTTTAAACATGCGACAAGCTCCTCTTAAGCGGGCGGCAAGCGGGTGAGCTTCTAGTCAAGGAACACTGGCACAGCACCCGTACGACGTCACATCGCGGTGGAGGTTGGTTGATTTTGCATGTTGTGCCGCATACCGCAGCACCACGGTGACGTCCCATCGCGACCATACGGCTATTGATTAGCGTCGCCATCACCAGTCGATTTTGCCATAGACACCCGAAACCAAAATTTGAGCCGTGATATTTATAAAACTACACACAATACTGGAAGAAAATAAAAAAAAAAAATATTTTGCAATTCAGGAACACTACTTGAGCTGAAAGCAGTCGTAATCCCAAGTTAAAAAATACTGATTGGAGTTGCCCTTTAAGTGCATTCAAGTAATTAACCTCATTTCTGTCACATGGCGTGACATCAGAGGCCGGCAGGTACAAGGCACTGGGGGAACAAGGCATTGCATTTTTCAGAGTCAAAATGAGTGCTTGCAAGTGCTGGGAGCTACAGGATTTTGGAGAAGTCATACTTCTCCAGAAATGTAGGCACGCTTTATCTGCCCAGTGTTTGGAAAGCTACAGAGGCCTAAAAAGAAGGCATGCTGCGGAACAAAACTAGACAGATACGAGTTTTTCAAGTCAACGTTGCCGGGATGAAACTAAAAGACTCCTTTCAAAATTTCCCTCTTTTAGTGATGGTAATGTTTTCACTCGTTCTTTGGGTGCCGCAGTAGTTGGAACACCCGAAGGGATCAGCATTTTTTATATTTTTAATTGTCTTTTTTGCATAACAGACGACTTCCCCAAGCCCCAGATCCTTGAGAGTCCAGAGACCCAGATTGCGCTCAAGGGACAAAACATCACCCTCGTCTGCAGGGCAGCCACGGCAAGCAGCTCTACACTGGAGTTTCAGTGGAGAAAAGAGCAGAAAGTGAGTTTATATTCCTTGTTTTTCTGTCTTTTAATGGGAAATATTTTTTTTTCAAAGGCACTGAGTTGGAGTCATAAACCTGATGCCTTTGAAAAAAAGAAATTGTCCTGACTTCTTCGATTTAAGTTTTCTGAGAAGGAATGGTTTTCAACTGTTGTTATAAAATGAGCATTTGCACCGTGTTCCCAGCTATTATATGTGCTAAAGTAGGAATGCCTTGTTTGGACACCAGTGCACCTCATAAAATGTGAGTGTGAAGTTCTTAGAAAAAGCTGTTGATTTTAGAAAGGGGCATTCAAAGATTTGTAAGGGCCTAAGCAGGTAGAATTCTTTCTCGGCAATGACATTTTGAACTTGTCTTCCTTTACCTAGAAACAATGACAGGCACTTTGTCTCCTACTCGTTTCAGCTTGTCTCTCTTAATCTGTTTTGCAAGCCTGTGAATAGCAAGAGCTAGTTATATTTATGTCTTGTATTTTGTAGTCGTACATGTTTTTTCTGAGCCTTTCAAGTACATGCTATTACTTTATGATTCATTCTAAGTGTATAATAGTGTCACAGAGTGGAGGTCTAAATTAAGTAAACCCGATATAAGAAACGCCCCGAGATTAAACGAGAAATTACTTAAGAATAACGAAAAACTGGGTTCGACCGGTGACAAGTGATAGGTCCATACCCGGTGTGAAAATCAACTGAGAGGCGGCGGAACGCAGGGGTTAAAATAAAAACAGGACATTTAATTATGTGATAAAAAGCCGCGCACGGTGACACATCAAAAACCTGACAGAATGAAACGCAAACACAGGTTACTCCAACAACAGACTCGCGAACCCTTGGGTCACGAAGAAAAACAAAACAGCAGTTGATTCCCGACACAATGCGGAACAACTCGCGCTCGCGGCACAAACTGCAGCTGAAAAACAAGTTTGCCAGTGCGAAGAAAATGAAAGTTCCGAGGAAGGAAAGTCTCCGCTGCTGGAACCAAAGTCCAAGGGAAAGTTGAAACGAAGTCTGCAGACTCACCGATGTCTTGGGTCCGGCAGACGATGAAGGTTTGGCTTGCCCGGCATGGTGGACCGGTTGCTCGGCGTTCGACGCAACGCAGCACCACAGACATACACATCTCCCGAAAAGGGAGAACCTAACGCCCGTAGGCAAGCACGCCACTAAGGGCGAAAGCCGAAACACTGGGGCAGCCTGTCGGAAAGAAGTCCAAAATCTTTGACTCGCGTACTGGGAGGAACCACGTCAAGCAGCGACACGGCCAGCTCCGAGGCTAGACTCCTTCCTTTGTTCCCAAATCCCCTTATATAGTCTCTTCTACTGAAAAAGGTGCCACTGGTCCTCCCGTCCCAGGGACAGTAGTCCACTGGAAAGACTTGGCAAGAAATACCCCCGAGATGACACCATCTTTCTGCTAACCAAAAACATGTGCGAGTACATTCGCTTGTCCGAGCCCCCAACCAAAAAACAAACAAGCAAAAAAAAAACCCCAAAAAACATTTCAACGACAACAACTTTCAGATGTCTGTAGGCGAATGAACAAAAACTATCCACATAGAGAATAAAACGGCAAAGACAAGAGATTGGGGAAAGCACCGTCTCGGCATCGCCTTCATATGCCCAGCGGTCACACTGGAAAGTCAACACGAACCCCCCCCCCTCTCTACAATCCGTCGACGAGACAACAACCCCAAACGCACAACAATGTCAGCAGCACCGAGGAGCATCTTCTTTAAAGCGGACCCATGCTACCTGCGCACAAATGCAAACATATCCGGGTCACCCATCGTCGCAGACAGACAAACACTGCTCCTCCTCCAAGACGAGGGACTCGTCCCGTAGTTATACAAAGGCCCGGCAGAAACGCATGTCTACAATTTCTCCCTTTTAGGAGAGAAGCAATGGGCTGCCAGACGGCCTTGTCCAGGCGGCAGAGACGCGAGCCCCTCCAAACACAATCCCATAAGTGGAAAATGAAATCAACAGGGATGAATTACAAAGAGTTCCGTATGGGGGTTTTTTCAGTGAGAAAGAAGAACATGTGCAGAACAGACACACAACCAAAATAAACCAACAGAAAAAAAAAGAAGAAAACAATGAAAAAACAGATAGTTCGCAGGCTAGCTGGTGGATGTCGATCATGATGTAGAAAACCCGAGACTGTGGTAAAAGCAGGGAAACTTGGTCGAAGAAGAAAGACAGGGGAAAAGAATGTCTCTTTTACTGCAGTCTCAGGTTTTCTACATTATGATAAAAAAAAACAAAAAAACTGAAATTTGTGATAGACCAAAAGTTGCTCCCTGGCCGCCATATTTTGGGCACGCACTTTGAGCATGCATTGGACATGAGTGCTGTGCTAGCGTTCAGTGTGTACACGGGTTCAAGAGCTCTGTCATTGCTCGGTGTGAACTTGGATCCAGTCAAACGCTTTAAGCAGGAAGCGATGCCCAAAATATGGCATCCACCATTCTTGCTCGGTGCATTTTTCGGAAAATGCCTGTCATTCCCTTGCGGTTCTCCTGAGCGAAATAAACATAATCATAGTGGACGCTTTTGTCGCCTTGGGGGCCGGATTGAGTGCAGCGTGTTTCAATTGATCACAAACGTGTTTGCAGCTGCTCTCGAATCTGGAGATGGAGCTTCACGCTAGTGCAGAGCCCAACGGTGTGACGGTGTACACGAGCCATCTGCACCTGCGCAACATCCAGGACAAAGACGAGGGCCGCTACCAGTGCGTCATCCGGAACCAGTTTGGTTCCGTGTACTCCAACCAGTCGCACATCAGCGTCTATGGTGAGGCCGACCGAAATGTCGTGCAGTGGCTTATAGTGGTCCTTGCACTTTGACGGTTGATGGTTTTAAGGAGCCCACTTAGCCAGTACTCGACAATTGACCAACTAGCAGTCTCTTACCGGAACTCGAGTAAAAGCCGAGTTGTTGGGTTGTTCTTTATGTTTGCACCCTGAACAAATTTAATGATCAGTTGGTTTAAAACCGCATTTCTCAAAATGTAGAAAAATCACGGTATCTCTGGCCTGATTTTTAAGACTGTTGGGAAACTAGATATCCAATATTTAGATTTAAAAAAAAAGAAAAAGAGGAAAGATCCTTTAGGGAAGGCTAGCTGAAGTCATTTTGCGTCTTTATGGTTGTGTAAATTATCTCTTCAGTAAATTAACAACATCTTCATGCTCATTTGAGTGAGAGATGGAAACCCCAGAAGCTCCCAAATCCTGAAATGGGCAGGGGAAATAAACTGTTCACTTTTGCTTTAAGTTTAATTTGGGAAGTAACCAGATTTTTACTCCCTAAATTTCATGAAATAGTATTATACCCGTAACGCATAGGATCTTAACGATTTCTTGTAGGTTTTTTAATTCTCGCTGGTAGCTCATCGCAGAGCTTGCAGCGATATTGGTTCTTGTATGTGCTTTTTTGAGAGAGGCACTATAGTATGTCTGATTTTGTTGCAATACGAAGTATGAGAGGACAAATTATGCACATCTGGATTGGGTCATGAATCTTGAAATGATGGCGATGGGAGTCTCGCGCAACATCTTGAAACAACCTTTATCAAGTTCTTGCAAACTGCAAGGTCTCGTCACAACGAAATGTGACCATGACGACGGTGAAATAGTAGCACAAAAGATGGGCTTTCTATGCAGAGCACAAGTTCGTCTGCTTCTTTGGAAGGGCTTGTGGTGACGTCAAAACACCAAGCTCTGATTGGCTCTAACTGAGGGATAGTGGGTAGACCTCAAGGCAACTTGCTTTGAGGTCTTACTATCCTTCAATCGGAGCCAACCAGAGCTCGGCGTTCTGATGTCACCACAACTCCTGCAAAAGAAGCAGACGAACTTGCACTTCGCATAGTCACGGGTGGCGGTTCAGATGTCGTAACCCGATGAGGGATGGAGGAGCCAAAAGGAAAATTTTGGGGTGTCAATGCTCGGTGTTTGCGCGCTTCTTAGCGTGCCGTCTTGTGCCCCTCTGCCCATCCAGTGTTCCCGATGTTCGTAAGGACCCCCACCAACGTGACGGTGCGTGCGGGGGGCACTGCCCGCCTGGAGTGCGGGGCCGTGGGCCAGCCGACCCCGACGGTAGCTTGGCAGAAAGACGGGGGTGACGACTTCCCCGCGGCCAGGGAGCGCCGCATGCACGTCATGCCCACGGACGACGTCTTCTTTGTCGTGGGGCTCAAGGCGGCCGATTCCGGGGTCTACACATGCACGGCGCACAACCCTGCCGGCATGGTGCGCGCCAGTGCCACCCTGACGGTGCTCGGTGAGTGCGGCGGCTGTTCCTCCCTCAAGCGTTTGAGCGTCGGGAGTCTAGGCACCAACAACCGTAATGTCCCAAGAGATAGCCCGCCTAAAAGCGAGAGAAAATACGTAGCATAGAGAACTGTCCTCCCTGTTTAGCAATGGTTGCCTGTTTCCTGCTGTGGCAATTAGTAACAACAATTCTGTCGACGTCACTGTTGGCCAGAGTCCTGCGGTTACTCCAGGGCCTTTCAAAAACGCCTTCTGGTGTTTTTGAAAGAAAGGCAAGCCTTTTCATGAATAGGGTGCAGGTCATCTTTCTGGGATGGGGCATCTCTCGGAATATTGCGGTAGGTATATAATCTATATCGGGAGTGGCTAAACTATGGCGCCTGGTAGGAGTCTTCGACAGGTGTGTTTAGTGTCCCATCCCGTATCAAAAGCGGTCCCGAAGTGGCAACAAATGCCGTTGCAGAAGCCGGAGTGTCACGCCGTCGGATGTCGCAATTCCAGCGCTTGGGCGTAGAAGCTCTAGAAAAACGCACGAGTGAATGCGAGTGTCGCTGTCTGTCGTCGCGGCGCACAAACTCCCTGCTACCGAAGCTTCCGTGGACCGTACCCACCTCCATTGCCATGATGCCACTAGGTTCGCGGCCGGTGACGGCACAATGCTTCCACGACGTCGTTGGGCAGAAGTCGAGGGGCCGCTTTTTTGGACACAATAAAGACGCCAGTGGGTGACGTGTTCCGGGCAGAATACTTTCACGCTGTTGTACTGTCGGCTTCCATTAATTCGACCTTGACGGGACACGCGACATTGGGTCGCATTATCCCAAATTAAAAGGTGCATGCAAAATTCCGAATCCCGTGCTTTAGATCAGGTGGGCTAACATTTTTATAATGAGCCGCCTTACAGCTGTGGATGTCCTTCGTGTGTTCGGTGCGGCCGGCGCTGCCACTTCTGCGCCGCTGTGAAGCATCTTTGTTGCAATGGTTGTTTTGTGTTGAGACACGGCCATGTCTTGTGTCTCAACATGTACTCTCTTTTTCTCTCTTCACAATTCAGTGTGCGCTTCAATATTTGAAAACATCTTTTCTTTTGCGACGGACATAGTTCATTGCACTCGTAACTTGCCCACAGCGCAATTCAAGGAAAAAAAGGCCTGTCTTCGTATGTCACGCACGGCCAATCGTGCTTGTAATTTGCCCACCGCCGATTCTCTCTAGGTCGGATTATCTGATATTTTATATTTCAAGATCGAAATAACAAGTTTTGTTCTTCTGTAGAAATATATGGGCTTTTGACGGGACCTTTCAACCGGGTCGAATTAAGCGACAAGTTGAATTGACCGAGGTTGAGTTAACGCAAGTCGACTGTACCTGTTTATGAGAGAGACTGGTGCAATGCACATTTATTTATGCTAGTAGCTTCGAGGTCCCGGCTCACCTCCATTTTCCCACGTTGCAGAGGCCCCGGCGTTTGTGCGTCCGATGAAGAGCAAGCAGGTGCACGCGGGGGACTCCGCGCTGCTGGAGTGCATGTCCTCAGGCAGCCCCCGACCCAAGCTGTCGTGGCTGAAGGACGGGGAGCCCCTGGTGCCCACGGAGCGGCACTTCTTTGCTGCCGACGCTCAGCTCCTGGTGATCATGGAGAGCCGGCCGTCCGACTCTGGCCAGTACGCCTGCGAGATGGCCAACACCTTGGGGGTGGAGAGGGGCCTGTCCGTGCTGAGGGTCCTCCCAGGTGACTATGCCCTCTCCTGGACAGACACAGCTCCTCCCCCCCAGTATGCCCTACACAAAGTACACAAACCTAAGGTGCCCCCCCCTCCTTCCCCCCCAGCTCTTTCCCGGGACCGCCAAAAGAATGTTCAGCTCCCCTCCCCCAGAAATGTTAAACATCTCCCCCTCCTTCTCCGGAACCCCTATAAAAACGTTGCCGCCCCAACCCCCACAGAAACATTTAAATTCCCCCCAGCAGTGTTACACATCCCTCAAGAAATGTTTGACACCCCACCCCCCACATACCAGGTTAAGATTCGTGGGTCTAATCCCAGTGACTGAACTTGCATTTGGGTTTCGCGTTGCTGGTGGCAGGTCGTTAGAATTGTGGGGGAGGAAAGAATGTAACTTGTGTGTACAGTGCAATCTACTTATAACGATAAAATTTGTAAAACTCGAAATGTCAATCGTTATAACCGGTTATCGTTGTATCAGGACTAGAAACTCATCGTTTTTAGTCACGAAGCTCGAGAAACACATAGGAAGAACAGACACCACGGAGCGCTAGAACAGACACCACTAGCGTTAGCGCTCTGTGGTGTCTGTTCTTCTTATGTCCCAGTCTTCAAAGCGCAATCATGTTTTCTAACGTACCATACCAACTTGCCTAACAATCAGCACTTATCGTTATAAGCAGTACATTGTTGTATCTGGTATCATTATAAGAGGATTGCCTTGTGTATACAGCAACAATATTTAAATTGACTCAAAATTTATCTCTGGTGAGCTCGAAAATGCGCCAGGAAAAGGGAATGATGTCGATGCTGTTGCAGGAGGCCAACGCATAGTGCAGTTTACGTTTCAAAAGACAAGGAAAATACAAACATATTTTCACTCTACGTTAGTTTTTAGTATAAATCTGTTAAAAAAATTGTGCGCTTTTATTTGCCGACTCGTTCATTGCGACTATAGTTGCCGACCTGTGGATTAACCGCTGGCTTGCCCTATATTGCATGAAACGGATGAGTTTATGCATAAGGCTGCACAGCAGTGTGTAACAATAAACATCTTGAGTGCCACTTAAGAATCGAAATACCATCATGCATTGTACATCAGTGTAGTCTAAGGGATGGCATGGCAGCATCAATACTATGCCACCCCTTCTACCTTTAGCCTTTAGCTGTGTCCCCCAAGACAATTGGACATTGTCTCGAATAAAGCCTTTGTATTTATGTATAACTGTAATGAAAGTGTGCAATAACTACTTTGAGTATTGCTTAAGAACCACAATTGTATTTTGTCAGCAGCACATAATTAATCACTGTGTGCAACAGTTTATTGCACTTCACAATGCACTGCTTGTCTGACCCGTTCTTCTAACTTCTTCCTCCAGCGAAATCTCCACTGGGGCCGATTGGTTCGGACACGGACGGTATGACGACAGGCATTGTGGTAATCGTGGTGGTACTCTGCATTGTGGGCACCTCCCTGGTCTGGGTGCTCATCATCTACAAGACGAGAAAGCGGCAGCGGAGGGACTGCGGTGGTGCTCTGCCACCTGGTGACCACCCCTCAGCCGCTAGGCCTGAGCACGAGCCCTTCCTGACGACAGGCGCCCACAACGACATTGAGGCGTCTGCTCACGACCTCTGCACCGACACTGGCTCCGGTGAGTGTTGCATTCAAGGTCGATCCTTCTGGACACCTCGCACGCTCCCAATCCATGCAGTGTCTGGACATTGAGTGCTGGAGCTGTTCAGGGGTTTCAGTTTGTCCTTACCTTCGAGAGTTATTCAACAAAGATTCAGAACTTACCGTATTTGCAAGAATATAACGCGGCCACAAATAGAACCTGCGAGGGCAAAGTTTGAAGCCCCCACAAAGAAAAAAAAAATTATTACTTAATTATTACTTTTATAACGCATACATAAAGTTACCGCACTTGAGGGCATAGCAGAAGTGAAAAGGGGACGAGAATGGGGAAAATATTGTCTACGTTTTGACTGCACTCATTGCCACTTCTCAGATCTTTCTCGCTGTCACATTTACAACTTCAGAGACATTCTTGTATCAATTAGCTTTTTTTTTGGGGGGGGTGTGCTCTTTGCCCACAAGCTATCCCTCTTGAACCAAGGTGCACCATGTCAAGTTGGTTGGTTTACTCTGACTAGGTGCACATGAAGCAAAAACATTAAAGTACAAATGCCAGAACATTCTCGAGCAGAAACTAAAAAATGCACAGGTAGAGCAAAGACTGCTGGAAGCCATACACGAGATACATGATCCATCCATCCATAGCTCTGACCCTTGCTAGGGTCCCTCTGCATAAAGACACACCTCATGTTTCATGATTGCGTAAGCACGGCCAGCCTCTTTGGCTTGGCTTGTGTCTTGACTTGGCCTGGCTTGGCTTCAGTGTCTTGCACTGCCATCCTGGGCGTCGTCGTGTTTTTGTCACTTTTGCCGCTGCCTGCGTTGTACAAACATGAAAAGGACAGAGAATGCTTTCAACATTCTCTACTCCTCCTTTTACCTGGCGTGGCGCAGGAACTTTCCTCCCCACACCCCTATTTCTTTTAGCACCTGATCTCCCACACTCAGACAGAGGGATGGCTTTCTCCCGACTCGCGTGCCCCGTGGCTGAGCTCGATTCCGAATATAATGCAACATGTTTTAGAGCACGTAATTTCGAAGAAAAAAAACAACAAAAAAACAACCTTGCGTTATATTTGTGCAAATACGGTAACAGCTGTGCACTTCAATGTCTAAACCTTATTTTGAAATGGAGAATAGCCACCAGAAGCCAAGAAGAAACATGGAATCGGACAACCATTTTGCCGTTTCACCCATCCAGCAAACCTTGCCGATCGACGTTCCACTGAAAGAGAACCGACTGTACGAGCATGCTCACATGTGCAGTTATTTTTGATGTCTGGACATCCAACATGTTTTTGTTAGCGCTACAAATATTGACGTACGAAACAGAACCGTGCACTGCAGTTTGTGAACCCAAACTGCAGTCAGTGGATGTTCAGGAAGTAATTACGAGTCTATACATGGGTAGGTTCACTTTGAAACAACCTGGGTAGCATTTGTTGCTTTGCACGAGGAGGCCTATTAACTTTTTTGGACGTGTCCGTGACTGGCTGGAATTCTCCAGGAAACACCTCATGCTCATTCTCGCTGTTCGACATCCTTTCTGCCGCAGAGCGCTCTTCGAGTAAAGAGAGCGGTCATCGGAGTACAGAGGACCTGGCTTCCCAAGTGGACAACAGCAGTCAGGTGTTCATGCTGGGGGCCAACAGAGCATCCTACTTCATGAGAGGTGAGTGTGTGGGCTGCCCTCCAGGTCTATGGTGCTTCCTTGAAATGAACGAGGGCTTGCAGATTTTGGCATTTATATTATTTTCACGGGATTTGGCATAATGCTTGTCGTTTACCTCGCCCATAGGAGAAACTAATTGTTTATTGGTGATTTGCGTGGGCACTACTCAAGCTCAGAAAGCCGTGAATATGTTTGTAAAGAAGCAAAGGACGTAGAAGGGAAGGTAAATGCGGTAGGCTATAGAGTCGGCAATGTGCTATACTCACCTTCATTTTGTAAAAAGAGAAAACGTTGGATTGGTTGCATGGATATTTCACAATGTGAAGTTCATCTGCCATTAAATGAGGTTACCTTAATCTCTGCCATAGATGTGAAATTTGGGCTTTGCAGTACGAAGGCTAACCCCTGATCTTTAACATGCATTTTATGCGTCTTGGTCCTATTTCAATCTTTCCCTCTTTCCGAGCTTTTACTCGGCTGCTATACCTTTTTTTTACGTTCAAACAAAGTTAATAGACCCTTTTTGAGATTGTGAAATGATGCATAGATTATGTGCAGCCGCCATTAGTTGGTCCCATCGCTTTTGGCGTAAAATCTGTGATTCGTTCTGAGTTTGCTCCGAGGACAGACGCATCACTTGTGTGGAATGCGTTTCGATCCGAGTGCACTCCGAATGCCGACGAAGCGCTCATGTCCAATGCGTGCTCTCAGTGCGTGACCAACTAATGGCAAATGCCCATAATCTATGCAACATTTCAAAAATTTCGACAAGCGTCCATTTCCTGGGAACAGACACCCTTCTGGATGTTCCCAAACGTCTTCCTTTGTTCTTTCCGTTTCCAGACCAGCGCGACGGCAGCCTGAGTTCCACGAGCAGCAGCAGCCAGCAGACTCCCCCGACCTCCCGGGGGGTGTCGAGCTTCCGTCCCCGCACTGGCCTCTCGTCGTTGCAGACGACACCCCGTCGTCTGCTCAGGCATCCCGTCGTGCTGGTCCACGGTGCGCCGCCCCCCGCAGCGGCGGCGCCTTCCCCCGGTGCCGGGGTCGATGGGACCCGGCGCTGCCTCTCGGAGGGCGTCCTACTGGCCCGGGCATCTCCGGACCGGCGGAGAGCAAGGAGGGGCTCGAGCGCGAGCAGCGAAAGCAGCGGCACCGCGGGGGGCAGCAGCGACGAGCGGGACTCGGGCTTCTCCACGTTCCCCCGCAGCGTCCGCAGTTGGAGTTCCGCATCCCTACACTGCCGGTTACGGCCCAGAGGTGAGGAGCAGACGTCTGCTATGGGCCACCGACGGGACGAGAACGGGAGGGACAAGCTTCGGCTGTCCTTCCTCCGGCATGCGCTCGCCACCTTCGATGTCTCTAGAGTCTCGAGCACGCACATACAGCCGAGGGTACGGCGAAAGGGAATGAGCGCATGCTTGAGGCCGGGCATTCGAAAGAAGTGCCCTGCCGTTCTCACTTTATCAGTAGCTGTAAATTTATCGAACCAGCGACTATTGGACTCTTTGAGCTCAAAGAACGCCCGTCGTTCTCGACAATCGGCCGAGGAACCCCCCCGATCCTGGCGCCGATGCGGTAAGACGGTAAACGAACCTATGGGCCGTGTAAACCATAATGTGTACCAGGCATGTAGCCAGGGGGGGCCCAGCACCCCCCCCTCGAAATCTTTCATTTCACTGGGACCTCCTCTCCCCATCCCCCTCATACAGCACTTTGTCATGGGTGGCCCCCCCCCCCGAAACAAAATCCTGGCTACGTGCCTGATGTGCTCATGGGGGAGTGTTTGGCACATAGCTGTGCATGAATAGGCGGCTTAGATCTGCTAAAATACCCGGCGCTTAAACGCGCACTTTATTCAGGGGCGGGTCGGCCGAGGGAATTCGGGAGCTCGACCGTAAAGGTATTCTGGGGAACCAGCATTTTCCTAGGAACCCAGTTTTAGAATCGACGCACTAAACAAAGCTGTGCTTAGGGAGCGACGTCCCTTGGGCTTTTTTTCTGTGCGGGATCGATGTTGCCGGCTTTTGGCTGTGTGCCAACAGAAAACGCAAAACGTTGGATTTCATCCTGCTGCTTGTTAAAGCAGTCCTCAAACAAAGCGATGCGATATCGCCAGGGTCTCCCTGGCAATATTGAAATGTTGCATTATCGTTATATTGATAACTCGTAACATTGCATTATCGGGATCCTGATTGTCATCAGCTGCACCTGCATGCCTTCAGGCAAGAGTGTGGCGATGCCCGCGAGCCGCCAGTGTAAAACAAATGTCATGCGAACAAACAAACGACTGTCGTGGTGGCGTTGGACAGTGGGGGTAGACGGTGCGGATAATCTCGTTGTGGCTCTCCGGTGACTCTAGCACTTGTGTCTCCCTATCAAAGACTGCAGACTCCGACAATCGAGTGTTGATGGCCTTCGATATACTGGGGTCAAAGCCCGAGCTTCGAGTGCCATATCCGGCATTCCAAACCATTATATTGATCGCATAACCCTTCGCTTTATTTGCCAAGTACTATTCTAGTGTATTTTTGCATTGCTCCGCATCAAATTATATTTTTCTCCCTAATGCAAGAAGTGTTGTCATATTCTCAGAGTTTTGGGAATTGTTCCGTTATGCGAATACTAACGGGGAGCGTTCCTCGGCAGTCTCTCTTTGTGCCGGGGATCCTTCGATGAAGTTGAAAATTTGAAGGAGGTTGTAATAGGGAGATGATCTCTTTATTTGGGAGGCTTCAAGTGCCGACACTTTCTATGGGGCCGTTGCCGACAGACTTGTTTGTGGCGGAGGTAATAAGAAATCCTCCTTCAAAGCCCACCACTAAACAGAAAACCGCCTTCTCTCCCGTTTTCGGTCGCAGAAGTTGTCAACGGCAGCAGCAGCATGGCGACGGTGAGCGGCGGCGACTCTCAGCGCTCCTGCTCTCTCACGTCGGCGTCGGTCAGTCAGCAGGACGTCGGCTCCGCGCCGGCAGTCGCCGAACCGGCCACAGTCTACGGGACCCTGTCGCCGGGAAGACGACGCAAAACCCCGGTCGAGATCGGCTGGAAGAGGTTACCCGGCCAGCCGGCCCGTGCCGCCGCCGAGACGGTGTAGCGACGGCACAACACCGAGAGGGCAGGAATCGCCGCGAAAGTCGCGCGCTGACATTTCGACGTGCGTGGAAGTCTCCGTGCTTTTGGTGGAGCGCCTCCGGTCGGACGCGGCTTCTCTAAATCTCTCGATGCTGAGCGACCTCCGTCGGCTCCGTCGTTCAAGCCGAACGCCGCGTCGGTGCACGGGCCGGTCGTCTGCTTCTTCCGTGTAGCGCAGCCAAAGATAATCTTAAAGAGAAAAACTACCCCGAGTGATACGACGGGAGCGGCGAAGTTCCGAGGTAAAGGTAGCGGCGTCGTGCGCCAACGTTTTTGTGCCATCTTGTCGGAGTTACCTGTCGTACCGTGTATATGTGTGTGTGTCTGTACATAGCGATAATGTGCCTACGAGCGTAGTTGCACAGTGTACATAGCGGTGCGCCGAGCTGCACCTTTATTTAAAAGAAAGACGGTGTAATTGTAAAATGGTTGTTCGTGGTTGTAAAACATATCCGTGAAAAAGAGTTCCGCCAGACGCGCCGTTCCCCGCGGTTGTCGTTGTACCATAGTCATTCACGAGGCATCGAGTCTATTGTATAGTGCCCGGCAGGGAGTAAAGACTTCATCCGAAAGCGTCTGCGGTTCGACAGAGATGAGCACCGCGGTTCGACGATTTCCGCGGTGGGAGTCTAGTGGGCCGTCTTATTCTTGGAAGCATTTTGAACCGCGTCGCAAATTTGCGACCGGTTGCGGCAACAAATACACGAGTACCTGCGCCGCTAGACCCTGCCGCGGACCTCGCCGGAACTTCAAGCGCGGTGTTCTCCTAAGAATACCTTCGAAAGTGTGTGTTAGCTCAAGCGTTCATGTTCATTCATCATTGTCATTTCTCAGTCAGTGTATATAGATGGTGTACATAGAGGTGTATATAGCTTCCTTGAGGGAAGGCCGTTTGTAATGTAACATTAGTCACTCTTGATGGCATGATGTCTTTTGTTTCTGTATTTAAAAAAAAGAAATGTTTTCATAAATAGGCAGTTTTTTTGTTTTTTTCTTTCACCACATTAGTTGGTGCTCTGGTTTTGGTTAATAGCATTGGCCATTGGCCCAAATCACCAATGGCAAAATCTGCCGGCGGATCTGGAACAGTCCGAAAGATCTCCACGCTCACACTTCAAAGGTAGCAAACGGTAGCTCACGTTTGCAAATTTGTAAGGATGCCAGGAAAAAAGCGCATCAAAAACCGCTCCAAATTCTTCTGCGGATCTTGCCACAACCTTGCGTTTTGGCTATCATTTCTTTCTTCTAAAAGGCTATGAATATCATGCCGACTGTTGTGCTACTAAATACTATCGTTATTAAAGCTGTCTAGTATCTCAACTAACCTTCTAGGATCTGAGTCGTTCATTAGGCAACAAGAGTTACAAATTTAATGTCTTTTCGGGAGTCCAGCAATCGCAACCTACAGAATAAGTAAACCACAATTTGAGATAGTTTTTTTTTTATTAATATTCAACATGTCCCTTTTTTATGTCCTCTTACAATTTGTGGTACAAATCATTTCTGCCTCTGTAGCTTATTAAAGCCAGTCATGATATGTGGCCTCAGACTGAACTAGTGTACAAGTTTCCACTCAGGATGGAGAGGAAAATGTGTGAATTACATTTCGCCTGGGAAAGAATAGAGGAAGAAAAACATTCCTTACTGAAGGGTTTGTCACATTTCTGCATTGTCAGCTCCGACAGATACCTAGTGCCAATTGTTCTGTTCTATCAGGGTTTTTAGTTCTTTAAGTACCAAAAGAGAGGTGTGTCATGTTCAGTGTTACATATATAAATAAATATATATATATATATATACATGCATCTTGGTACTGTAGATAAGTGTAAGTAACTGTATTTAAAAAGTTTCAGCTTTTATTTTTTTTTCTGAAGAATTTAGAATTATAGTGCCACTGTATTATGCCAACTGCTCGAAACAGGTTTTAAGCAGTTGATTCCGACAAAAGTGCCATATGTTTTTGCAAAAGAAAGCGTATGTTCGAAATATCGGCTGCCATACTCGAACGTAAAAGAAAATGTTATATGCACCTTGTTTGTTTTCGCATTGTTACTGGTTTTTGTAGTTTCTGAATGAGCCGAGCCAAATCTTTGCATCTGTTGAAACTGTTTTTGATTTTTGTTCACCTTGTTTGATCTAGACGCCAGATTGGGAACGGAGGCCAACGTAAAATATTTTGTTTGTTGCAATGTGCAGTGGCAATATACGGAGTTGTAATAAAACTCGGTATGCACAGTATTCTCTTTGTCCTCTCTGACTTCATGCGTGACACACCACAGGACTGGCAAGTTTCGTCTTGAGAAAGTGCAAAGTGGCAACACACTGCGCTACGACCTACCTATGCACAAAACAGAAACGTGTGCTGCTTACGGTATCAATAAAAGTGCCTTAATGGAAAAACATTCACCTGCAAATAAACCTTTCAAGGTATGCAACCATGTCTCAAGTATTTTTGATGCCATAAAGATTCCAAATATTGCTGCCCAAATGTGGTAAGTTCATATTTTCCTTGAAAAGGTAAGGCATGGTAGGCTTTATCTGGTGAAAGCTTGGAAGCAAGTCTTCCATATCTGCAAAATATTCAAAATGAATGAGCTTGATTCTTGTTGGGGGCTTGTCCGAGATATCTTTAGGTGCTATTCGATGCTGAGAAGGTACGACATACTGTGACACCACATCTCTCTAATAGTACAACGATCCATGAGGTCGGGAATGCACGAGGAGCGATACAGACTTAATTCCTTCGCTGCTTTAACGCATTTATATGCACACATTTTCACAACACTCAAGACAAGGGAGGGCACATAGTGGCGAGATTCGTTTCACGAAAACAAACGCCGTCGTCATTTCAGTATCAAACCCCCTCATAATACAGGGACACAAGGATTGTGCCACTAACACCCACACAACTAATAAGGACGGCTAACGTGGATTGTACCGTAGCATTCGACCACAAGGTATAAAACGCCCTCGTAAAGTAAACGAAAACTTTTTTGTGGGTGTGTGTGTGTGGGGAATGATTGTATGCTACTATTTACACGACTTGATAGTACGAACGAAGAGCAACAAAGCCCAGAATAAATAAATAAAGTAGGGAAATCGGGTGCTATACCTACACAGACGAACGCCGAACCTGAAAGGTTCACAGCACCGAGACGGTAGCGCCCGTCGCTGGATTCCGATGACAGTTAATTAAATTAACGCGAGGTCGGACGATGGACGTTGCTGGATTGTCTGCTTCATTGCAAGAGTTCTTCGTCGGTCTCGTTCTCCGCGACGGCTGACGACCTCCTGTAGGCGCTCTGGCCGTTGGCTTTGACGACACTCGCCGTGCGAGATTCGACGTCGATGGTAGCCGGCGACGAGCTCTCGTCGTCGTCTTCGTCGTCGTCCTCTTCGGTCGAGACGTCGACGAGGCACTGGCTTTCCGTCACGCGCTCGCTGTTTTGGCTCAGTCGGATGTAGCGGAAGCTCTTGGCCCCTTCGCAGTTCATAATCCTCGCCCTCCTCAGAAGGTAGATGGAGATCACGAGTATGCCCAGCGCGCCCAACGTCGCGAGCGTGATGAGCAAGACATATTTCATTGTCGACGGCAGGCAAGAGTGGGTATCCGCTCACATAGCGCGCAGTCGCGGCGTTCGTTCGAAAGGCGTCACGCACACGATCACTGATTGCGGGCCATTTGGGGCGTTTCCGCCCACGCCTTCGACGGGTTTCAAGACGACAGGTTGAGGGTTTTAACCTTGCGGAACTGGATCAACGGAGCCCATCCATAACGCAATCAAACAGACGAGAGCGAGTCTGATTATTTTGGTTTGGTTTGCGTTTACGTGTTTACGTTGTGTCAGGGTTCGTCGACAGCTGAACAAAAAAATCGCTTTAGAGCCGAGCATATCGTTTGTGAAGAACGCTGCTTGAACCTTGAACGACGGTCAAATGAGATACAAAGCGAAAGCTACGACCTAAACTCGACGAGTAATTTTTAATGCTTGCTCAATAAATCTTTTTATTTGCTCAAGAGGCAAGTTCCGCTTTTTGCCATGACGTCACGACGTAGAGAAGTCACTCAAGCGTCATCGGCATTGTGAAGCAACGACGCAAAATATAAAGAAATGTTTCACAAATCTCAAGTTGACACCGTAATGGTCCTGAATGTGACTGGTTCATTTTATGGAGGTCGCTTTAATTGTACTGCAAATGTTGGTTGCGCATAAGTTTATAATATTGCGTACTTCATTCACGAAGTACGGCGACCTATTTCTTATATCGCAGCGAGAGGGTGATACGGCCGGAACTACAAACAGCCAAACATAGCCAAAGTTCCTACGCGTCGGATATCTCATGGCATTGTTTTCGTCGTAGGAACAACGATGTTGGTATTCCACTAATCCTGTCAAAATTAACGCGTGTTTTCGCGTAGCTAAAGGCACAGCTCATTCATGCATTCGTTTCCATGTTTGCTGGACTGTGTCATGCCGCTGAAAGTCGTTCTAAAGAACTTCCTGAATCACTTTGAAACTTTGGAAGCACGCAAGAAGCTCGGGGACGACCTCTTCGAAGCCGAATTTCAGGTAAATACCGATATCCAAAGCTGTCATTCTTCTCGCTTCTGTCGACGGCGATCTCTCGTATGTCACAGAAAAGGACCAAACGCCGCGAGCGCGACACAACCTCGCGTAACCTTTCTCTGTGCACTTGACAACTGGGTCACTAGTCGAACACCAAAATAGCACAGTGCTCTAATTACTCGCGTTCGTTCGATGCGCTGTTTTCCGCATCAATTGAACGCTAGTAAAGCCGATGCATTTCTCTATAGGTTACTCTTCAAAACACCTATTTGCTTCCTCGTGCCAGGAGTAACGTTTTCTCGTTCCAAGTGACACTTAGCGGCTCGTGGTTCCAAAACTGGTTGTGATCACGCGCTACGGTTGATGCGGTTCATCGCGGACCCAGTTACATCGGATGGAGGAGCGGGAAAGGGAAGCTCGTTGCGAAATGTTCGTGCGCGGTTTTTCTTGCAGAGTCTGAAAGAACTTACCGAGCGGCTCAAGCATGACCCGGAATATGCCTGCACGGAAGGTCAAAAAGAAGTCAATCGAAAAAAGAACAGATACAAGGACATTCTGCCATGTAGGTACACTTTTTGATTTCGTTCTCTGACGACCAATTATTTTTCATAATATAAATTTCGCAGATAACAGGCCTTAAACTCATTGTTGTTGTTTACAAGTGACTAAGAACAACTAAAGCTGTTAACCTTTTTTTTTTTTTTTTTTTTAGTAGCCATTTTAGTAAAAAGCAATCCAAGTTTTCAATGAAAGATAAAAATAAAAATGTAACTTTGTTTGCAGACAACCTTTCAAGAGTCATTCTTTCGGAGTACCCTGGAGTTCCTGGGTCTGATTACATCAATGCCAACATGATCAAGGTACTGACTACCATAAATATTTGACTCTCATGTCTAGCTATAATTTATCCAAAGCTGTAGTCTGCCTTTTTTCTTTTTTTATTCGTGACAATGCATTGATCTTTGGTCACATTTCCTTTTGACTCACTATGAATGTCTACTTGAAGCAAAATATTTAGAGGAGAGGTACTTGGGTGAGCACGGGGTGCATATGCACCAACTTAACTCTGTTACATCACGTCACGGTGATGTAACAGATGTAACCTTGGGCGCACTTCCAGTCTGAAAGTGTGGGGAGAAGTCGCTATGCGGGATGGGCATTCCTGCATTGTTTTGGAAGAAACCAGACTAAACCTGCCTTTTCATCGAAATGCTGCGACTGGGGCTGTACCAAAAGAGCCAGGAAGGTGTGAAGATAAGTTTTCACATGTTTTCTGCCTGCTCGGTTCAACCGAGAATGTGGATAGGTGCTGTGAAAAGGGAAAACCAGACACTGTCGAACCATGATTGCTTGTGCAGGAAGCACTCTGGGTTGAACTCTTGGATACTTCTGGTCGTCAGATTTATTTGTTTTGTTCCAACATGAACGCAGAAACATTGTCAAGTTGTCCGGACAAGCCGCGGACCACATTTAGTGTGTCCTCACGCTCAAACTGTCGTCTGTTCTTTAAAATTTGTCTGCTTATTAAAAGAACAGTGGCCCGTACACCAAACATTGACCCGGTAATTGTAATAAGAAGTAAGTACGGGCCTCATAAGACTTAAGTTTGAAGGTTGTTTGGGATAAGTAGGCTTGGTGTAAACAGTAGATATCAGAAGATCAACAAAGTACAGGGGCTTAGAGCAATAAACTGGTATCCCGTTCACCAGGCAAAATGGCTCCACCCCCCCCCCCCCCCCCACTGCTGCCATGTTGTACAATTTTGACCGCTAGTCACGTAACCATACCAAATCCTGACGCTTTTACGCAAAACTGAGCTGAGATTTGTATTGCGATCGCTGTAAAATAAACGATAAACAATTTTTCAATACTGTTAGCCCTTGAGATCGGTGTAAGAAACACAAAATACAGCATCGCAGTTGACGGCATCTAGTGCGAAGCTCCCTGAGTTTTTCTCGTAAAAGCACATTTTGGACCTAAAACTAACGAAACATAACTTATCTTGTTGGCACTGTTATTAAAGATCAATAAGCAATTATTTGTTAGAATTTATACATAAAGCTGTAAGGTCACATGTAAGTGGTAAAAAATGTACAACATGGTGGCGGTTGGGTGGGTGTCACTTTCAGCTGCCGGTTTATCGCTCTAAGCCCCTCTACTTCATTGAAGGAGATGTTGATCATTGTTACCTATGGCCATCAGCGACTTGATTTCCTGATTCACTTGGTCTGTTGCTTGCGATTTTCAGTACTGACGTTGAGCATCGCTGCGATGCTCAATCGCTTTTGCGCTTTTGCAGCCCGAAAATTTCCGCTTTTGCAGGGCGACTGAAAATAGTGAGCAGAGTAGAGGTCTGCACGGGTTGATGTTTAAGAGCCCGACACAGCCCGCTGTTACTTTGGCCCGGGCCCGCCCGCGATCCGCTGTCGATTCCCGACAGCCGGCCCGGCTTGACACTTTAACTAGACAGGCCCGCTCAGGCCCGTTTCATTTTTGCCAGTATCAAGCAGAGTTTACGCAGAATGGCAGGCTCGCCTGCCACTACTGCGCATATTTATTACGGTGTACTTGAAAGTCGGCATCATTCTTTATTGTCACACATATATTTACATTACAACTCAATAGGCAATAAATGTTTACTGTAAAAACACACATGAAAAACATTCCTTGATGTGTCAGAAAGTTCCAAAAGAAGGAATGCGTCTCCCCAAGTTAAAAGTGCAAAAAAAAACAAAAAAAAACAAACTATACTTTGTTCACCCAGACTACGATGGAAGCTATGCGTCCTTGTTGGACCAGTCATGCGCCTCTTTTTCGGCTCGTCATTACGCTCCAGCCCATACCCAGGCGCAGAGAGCCGAGTCAGGGGATAAGAGAGAGGCGGCTGATTGGTCCGGCGAGAACGTAGCTCCCACTACAGTCTCGGCTATGGAGTGAACGGAGTATACTAAATTGCTTGCTCCCGCCCTGCGCAACCGACAAAAAAAATTATCATCAAAAGAATACCGCTGTCTCCTCCGATGGTTTGCCAGAAAGTGGTTAGGCGAAGAAGCGCCTTTGAGACCTTGGTCTCAAAGGCGCTTCAGTATCTCTTTACTCATATTGTGGACGCACGCACTTGTAGGCACAGATGGCGCGAGCCTGTGAGGGTGTGCACTGAGCATTGTGTATCTCATTCGTGTCGGCGCTGGATGGGGAGGAGCGCTTCCTCGATGGCAGTGCCGCCGGCGACGAAAACGACACACGCACCCCAATTGTTTTTTTCTTTTTCTTTGTGCCTTATCATATCTTTTTACTTCATTCTGCAAAACAACTCCCCTTCCCTCCCAACCACCCCAACCCCTCCGCATAAAAAAAAAAAAAAAATCAAGTCAGTTTTGTTTTTGGCCCGCTGCAACCCGCCTTGTAGACTTGAATGCTGTACCCGGCCCGGGCCCTTCATGAATGTCGCCGCAAATCCCGAGCCCGGCCCATGACCCGCGGGCTGGCCCGTTCCTGTGCAGACCTCTAGAGCAGAGTCTCATCATGTGAATCAGGCTTTAGCGGCCATTCTGCGGTGTTCAGGTGGAATGAATCACCGCACGTCAGATTATTTCCATGAAGTTTCACGGTGTAATGAACCTTGTAATTCCGCTCAGGCCACTAAAGCAGTAAGACATTGCTAGGAAGACGTAAAATCAACAATTTTAATGCGTAAAAGAGCACGTGGGCTCACACCTACACTGACAAAATCACATTCCAATAGTTTGAATCTGTAAAAGAGCACGGGGACTCGCACCTACGCTGTCAACATCACATTTCAATAGTTCGTTGATGCCGGACGCGGTGGTTCTCACCACGTCCGGTCTGCTAGGGGCGCTCTGGTTTGTTTGTAAACATGATCGAGTTGGTGTAGATAAGTTGAAGAACTTGCAAATGTTGCAAGTGATTAAGAATTGCCATATCAGAACACACGCGCAAAGCCTCCGAACAGGTTTTAGTCCAAGGCGAAATCCTTGTATGTCAGTAAAAAAAAACCAAAGAAAACACATTACTGAATTGATAATTAATGGCTTTTACCTTTTACAACGTTTGGGTTTGACTCCTTTTTGTCATGCGTCTTTTCCCACCCTCAATGACAAGAATTCCCTGCAGGGCGCCAGCGGCTCGAGGGCGTACATTGCGTCCCAGGGGCCGCTGCCGACCACGGTCATGGACTTCTGGAGGATGATTTGGGAGTGCGAGGTTCAGGTCATCATCATGGCCTGCAACGAGAAGGAGTCCGGGAAGGTCGGTATACGGTCGGAACGTTTCGGCGCTGCGTCTCCTCGCAGCCCACGCTGGCTTTTGGGACGTGCAAACGTGGCATGGTTCGTTTCCGGGTTAGACCAAGTTCGATGCAATAACGGTAATCTGAGCAGGGTCTTAAGGATTGGAATTATACCCAATTTCCTCCTGAAAACTGGAGGGTAATGGTCTTTCTGTACCTTTTTTCTTTTTTGGATGTCTTCATATATATGTATTACAAAATATAGGAGTAGAATAATGATCAAACAAAAGATTGGAAACAAAATTTGGGGTAAATTGGATTTTCACTATTGAGGCGACCGGTCGTAACCTTTTCGGGCTCAGAGTAATTGCTTTTCTGTTGCGAAATGCAGCTTTTTAAACAGTCAAATAACTTTCTTTCTTTTTTTTTTTTTTGAAAGCAAATTAAAGTACAGCCCAAATCCTGTATTGGGGTTAAAAAGTGGGAGTCTTCAGTTCCTGTGTAACCCCTGAATTCTGCAAACTCGACCTTCTGTTGAATGTTGCACTCTCTTTCTCTGCCTTCGACCCTTTCAGTACAAGTGCGAAAGATACTGGCCCAGCGAAGGAGACAAGAAACAGTACGGGAATATCACAGTAGAGTTGGTGAGTTGCCCTCTTACCACCCGAATAGGTCTTAAAGAGATACTGTCACCCCCCCCCCCCCCCCCCCCCCCCCCCCAAATTTTTTAAAAAATTTTTTGCTAGGCGATTTAACATTTTTTCAGAAGATTACCCAATCATATTTTGCTGCAGCATCACATATATTTTTAGTAAGTAAAAAGCACAACTTCTTGAAACCGAAACTGGACTAGGGAGGAAAAATAAATGTAAAGGAGGAGGAGAGCGTTGCCAGAAATCACGTGGCTGTGCACCTTTTTTTTTTTTTTCAATAGACGTATTTGCAGCTTTTTAGAAGCTACAGAAAATGGCTATCATATTTCTTTTTCTATTTTTAGTATTGAGCGTGTGCCTTCGATGACCCACGACTTTGATTACATTTGGTGGTTGTGTCTAAACCATAGAAAATGGCACGTGAGCACGGAGAAGAGAGTGACTGTTACTCAAACCGGCCAGTTCTCGATCGGTGGTTTTCAGGCGGAAAGAAAACAAATATCGAGCAGCCAATCGTGATCTGGGTAGTTGGGCTCTTATATGTCATCTACAAATAAAAACCTTGGCGAGCACAAATACCCTGTCAGTGCCCCTTTAATAGACATTCTTGTATGCAGCTGTCGGAAATTGCATGTGACAAGGAACGGTCCTTTGTTTGATCCTGAGAAAATCGGGGCCCCTGAGACCTTGCCTTTTACTTGAACGGTGTTTAAACTAAGCATAATACTGTAGAGGGAACTCCTATAGTTGGTGACAGGTGGTGACAGGGGTAGATATTTGATAGATGGCGACAGGTGACAGCGCGAGCGCTGGAAAGGAGGTTGCCTCCTCTCTGGTGTTCATCCTGCTAAAGTGGAAAGAGTTGGGAGGAGTTTCCCTTGAATTCTTAACCTGTGACCGACTATAGATAGCTTGCACTGACGTCATTTGGTTGGACATAATGGGGGTAAGGGTGCATAAAAGGGTAGCTTCCGCTGTGTTAACAATGTGGTTCTGGCCACCAGAAAGAGGGCGGACTGACGTCGAGTGCAAACCATGTATAACGTTTGCGAGGCCCTCATCTTTGTGAATTTCGCGACTTGGAAAATCTCGGAACTTTAGAGGGCACGAATGACTCTATTGCCTAGAGAGCCGAATTTCAGCCTTTAGAATTCGTGAAACTTGATGGTAGTGAACACAACCCACCCTGCTGCCCAATTCACAAAAAAATCGGGGCCACGAAAATCGAGGGTTTTAAGGTATTAAAAGAGATTGCCCCGCGACTGGTAGCTGATGTTTTGCTTTATGGGTCCTTTAGTCAAATGTCTACTTCCGTTCCGTATAAAGCGCCCGGATAAACATTTATAAAAAAAAGTCTGCTGTTAGTTAGAGGTGTGGGGCCAGGAATGCATTTGGACTGTTGGGTCTGCTGCATTCTTTTCTGTGGTCTCTTAACTTCTGTTTGGTGGCGTCGTAAAACTGCCATGCTCATACCTGCCACAGTCCCGGCTACGTCGCAGAGGCAGAGGTAGATGCGGCAGGTACCCAGTCTGCTTTATGTCTCTCTCCAGTTTGGCAGTTCACGGCATCTAGGGCAACCAGGAGTTGAGATGCCGTGGTAACTGCGCCGCTTGCATTCGGTCGCCTTTTTTGCTGGGATTTTTACGACCAGCCGCCAGGATTGCGACATGTGTCAGCACGTCTGACAGCAGTGGCTCCTGCAACATCACTTGCAGCCACTTTGAGACCACTTTCGACGCGTGGGCGGCATACAGTCCCGTCGCGTTGATACGGACACCCCCCCCCATATAGACATTTCCGAAGACGAGCGGGCAACTTGCATTACGGGTGATTTTATGGGGGAACAGAGGTGTCCATGTCAATGAGCTGCGACTGGGACTCTGAAAACGCCGGTCGAAAATGCGTCCAAGGCTCAGTCGAAGTCGCTCACCCGGCGGGGGCACGTTGCGGCGCAGGTGAAGTGGAAGCAGGTGTGCCCCGACTTCCTGCTGCGCACCCTGAAGGCCCGGTGCGGCAGCGAGGAGCGCACCCTGTGCCAGTTCCACTACTGGTCGTGGCCAGACCACGGGGTGCCCACGTCCGTCGGACCCATCGTGGACTTGGTCCGGTTGGTGCGGGACTGCCAGGCGTCCGAGGCCCTTCCCGTCCTGGTCCACTGCAGGTGAGCTGCGCGCCCGGAGGCAGCCTTTCTCGGATGCAAAGAGAAGGCTGCAAGCGTTGCTTGTCACGGTACAGTGCGTACGAAGAAAGAGGCCGCAAACTACCTGGCGCAAACCGGTTGACCAAGTTGAGACTGACACACTTTTATGGTTTACTCAGATGTTTCGCCAATTGATCGGTTTTACCAATGTGGAACTGGAGGTCGACCTCTGTGACTCTGACATTGGCCATGAAACAAAGGCTTCTGTTATACCATTAATGTTTCGACAGATGTGTTTGTCAACTTATTGAGGAAATTAAATTGAAATACAAAATGATGACAAAGATAAATGTTACAGGGACCTTAAAATGATTTTTCAACTTCTTGCTCCGTAGCTTTTCTCAACTCAAAAGTGAAATGAGAAATCACGTGGTCGTGACCTGTTTTGGCACTGGAGGCGATGGCTCCAAGCTTCCACCGTGCTTTTTAAGCACATCATGCAACTTCTTATTTTCAAGTGATGATTAGTACCTGGCCACGAATTCAAACTCAAATATTCGTCGACGGATTGATTGTTTACGAGCGCATACGTCAGAGTGACGCAGTGCTTGTGTCCAATGGGTGAGCTGAGTTCGGCTGACTTGCTTGGGCACCGCAGATGCATCACACTCAAAAGGCGGAGAACTTTCGAAAGAAGGTGTACGAAATAGTCCGCTATATATTCAAATTTTTGTACCGAAAAGCAAAATTTAGGCTTTCTATGCTTGTTTACTAGTTTTATTTTGGCACACTAAACAATATGCAATAAGTAATATCCCACTTTAATCCCTGCCAAAAATTAATTTTGTTGTTCCTTTAACAGGTTTTCGATTTAGTTTTTAATCCCAAGGACTTTACTATATGTCAGGGGTGGCCAAGCTGCGGCTCGCAAGCCGCATGCGGCTCTTTGCGTGTTAAAAAGCGGCTCGCGGCTCCCTCCCCAACCCCCCAGCCCCCTCCACACCCACACACACACATGTACACACTTCCCCGCCTCCCTCCCGGTCACATGAGCACTTACCCAAAAAGAGAAATGAAACGCGTTTTAAATCTAAAGACAGGTTTCTGTTTGGTAGTCTTGTGCTACTGCTACCTTACATACAGTTGGATTGCTTTTGAGTCGGATAGATTGAAAGTAGCTTGAGTTTCGTTTTTTGCTCTAAACAAATGTTTGCCCCCCCCCCCCTCCACCCTTCCCCCCCCAGCTCTTGGAAGTTTCGTGGTTTTGTTTGCGGCTCTTAGGCCGGGTCATCCTGGCCAGCCCTGCTATATGTTGTGCTGTGTGACTTCACAAAGTTACTGTAAACTTTTGGTAATTAATAAAATGTAGCTTCGTTTCAGTTTTTTTGTGCATGTGCGTGTTGATTATTCCGCTGGTCTAAAGTGCCAGTTGTACCATTGTTTTATTCTGAAAATATGTCCTTCCTAACTGGTAAGCTGCCGCTGAGCTTATCACAATGTAAAATGAGCGTAAGTGTAGCTAGGAAAGCTCAAGGTCTTGCTTTACATTCTTACTCTTTACCACCAATAAGACTTGTGCTCATTGCAGAAGTTGGCAGTTCTCAGTGCCCTTGCTCAAAAATGAACTTTGAGGTCGCAAGTGCAGCAGTTAGAAAGGCTGCAAAACGTTGAGGTTTATGATCATGCATACTCTACAAGGCGGCATATGTTATTTGTGAAGGGTCTTTCTAGTACTTAACAAGAGATATTTGTGATTTTCTAAACAGTGACAGACAGTAGTATTTGGCCAATTGGTGGTAATGTCCCTCACTTCCCAAACAGGAAATTCGTTGTTAGAGGGGGAACTAAGCTGAAGCCCTACATTGTGTTCGCTTGATTTTGGTTTTTGGCATTCCTGGGTGATGTCTTGAACTTGAACATTCGACTGAGATCAGTCCGGTTGGGTGGAATAATCAAAAGGGGGGGACGTCCAACCAAGCTCTGATTGGGAGACTTTGCGTTTCGATGCCTATTTTGGCATTTCTTCAGGGGTGACTGTGGTGATGGTGGTTGAGAGCAGAGCTTTCATTACAGGCTCTTTTACAGGGGTGTATTTCTTCTCGAGTTGGTGATGTCTCGAAGCACTTGAACGTAGGCGGATGGTGAAGTGCTGAGAAATCTATTTATGTTTTCTGGCGTGGTTTTTATGTGCCACAATGCCGAGAAAAGTCTCTGTGGGGTGGTTGGTTTCAACGTTGAGAGTGCGGGTGTTCTTAAAGTGAGTACGGTGGTCTTTGACGTCACACCAAGCTGCGCTCGTGGTCGAGCTTGCAAACATTGTTCTGGTGTTGGTGTGTCCTCCGTTGAGAGTACTTATTTTCGGCAATGTATGCGGCTAGACATTCTGTGCTGGGTATCCTGTAAACGATGTGGGATTTCACTTACCTTCTTGCATCGTGAGGCCGATCCCACTCTGTAGCCCGCTGTTGAGGACTGGTATGGTCAGGTACAGCGAAAGACTGCCGCAGGCTCTGATGGAGAGGAGTCACCCCGAAACACAGGAATTTTGAACAAGCGGGTCTATTGGCGTCTCGCCAGCATACTTTGCCCGTCGGCCAAACAAATGAAGGAAAAGGCTAAAAAGCTCGGTGCTGTTGTATCAGACAGGTTCAGCTCGAGGGGCCCACGCTACTGTATTAGGTAGATTCCTAAGGAAGGGGAAGCTGCAAAAAGAAAGAGGCTCCAAGGACCAGAGCCTGTCCGTCCTCGGCTCCTGCCCCCCCCCCCCCCCTCGGGGGTTTTGGGACCGGCTTATATAGCCTGTGGGAAATGTACACGCCCAGAGTTGGTGGTATGGCTTAGCCCGCAGATGGGTCACGTCCACAATCACTCCCAAGGGTGTGCCAGTAGCAGATTCACCCCAAAAAGGCCAGGAAGGCACCGCCCTCTTCGAGGAATGCGGCCTCGCCTCGTAACCGGGAAGGCGTTGCCATCGCGGTCCCCAAGGCCTGCATGTGCTAGGCCTAGATAGGGAGACGGGGAACACATGGTTCCCGCACGGACACCTTGCACTTTCTCTTTACGGGGGCCATCCTTTGGTTGTGGCAGAAGCCCTTCACTTGTTGATATTGGCTTGTGGGCCATCTGGGTCCTCTCTCTAGCCAGTACACATGGCTTCGAGACATCACCAAGTCAAAAAGAAATGCACCACTGTGAAAGACGACGATGGCGGTCGCCACAGTCGCCCCCGAAGAAGAGCCGAGTAGGCGTCGAAACGGAGAGTTCCCAATTAGGACTTGGTTAGACGTCCCCCCGATTTTAAATTATTTGTTAATGTCTTGTGGGATGATGCGTCTGTTTGCAGTGCTGGCTGTGGGAGAACTGGCACCATTTGTGCCATCGACTACGTCTGGGGCCTGATGCGGGTGGGGGTGAGTGGTACCCTTCGTTTTCACCGTGAGACATCCCTTGGTTTTGTCAAGCGGTCAACGTTATAGCAACACTCTTCGAATTCGGTTTACGTCTGAGATAACGTCGAAGCATGCAGATTTTGAGTTTTTTTGGCTGCAAGCGCGCGTATCAGAGTTCCAGTGGGTGGAGGGAGCATAGGAGAACTCGTTACACTGATAAACAACATGCTTCCGCCTAACATTAGGGGGGATGGCCACATCTCTGCACTCTCTATTATTTTTTGCTCAACTGTCAGAGCATTGTGCTAAAACAGTTTCTGTGCAGACCCCAGTGTACATAGAATGCACTGAGTGCTTTGTCACGGACGAGTCGATAGATGAATAATGCAATAGCTAACCTCATCTTTTGTTCTCGTTTTTGCAGAAACTCAATGATGCTTTTAGTCTTTACCAAATCATTCGAGAGATGCGGATGCAGAGGATAGCGATGGTGCAGACGAAGGTAAGAGAAACTTCTTGGGGTGAAGCCAAGCTACATGTGTTTGTTCAGAGCAGTAGTTGTCAACTGCTAATGTTTCGGGGACTCGTTCTGGATCAGCAGAAGGGATGACGGAACTCATCCACGGGGGTATTGGACACTCAGCATGATAGAGGGGTAAATGAAGGAAACTAAATGTGTGAGAACTGTTATGAAACCCTGAAATGGAGAATAGTGAACCCTACTCACCCGGTGCACCCGGTGCACATGGTTTAGTCTGTTTGGCTTTGTGGGACAACCAGCATCAATAACAGATATGTTTTATTGGTCGACTTGACTGAGGGCTGAGGGCACCCCAAAAAGTCAATAAACCTCCATTTGAGAACCACTTGTTTGGAGCTTGTTTGACTTGTTTCATTTATTCTGAGCACTTTCACAGTTTTAAGCTTTCACTTAACGGCAGAATTTTTCTGAAAATCACGGTTAATCAGTTTTGTGTGGTAACCGTATTTACTGGAGTAATCAACACATTGTTTATGAACGATACTTTGCTTCTATTTTCCCGAAGAGCACGTGGATAGAAGATCATCCCAGTCGACTGGAGCGCTGTACTGGACAGCGAGAATGTTTTCTCATGAAAATGCTAGCTCTTGTCTCAATCGCATTTTTGTAGAGTCTTTTCCTTGACCTCGTCTTCTTGTTCGTGAACTGCTCCAGTGATGCATGCTCGTTTCGCACCTGAGGGACTTGTCAATGTGACGTCTCTGTATGTCCAGGAGCAGTATGTGCTGGTCCACCGGGTGGTGGCAGCGCTGTTTGAGCAGCAGCTCCGTGTCATAGACAGCCACACGTACGAGAACTTGGACGAGGATGGGGAGCCCCTCCTAGGGAAGGGGCCGCCCGAGGGCAACGGCGACAAGATCTACGAGAATCTCGACGAGCTGGGGCTTGAGGACGGCTCCAAGGAGGACAAGGAGAAGCGTGAGCTGGCCCCCGAACTTCCTTTCCTTCGACCCTTTGGCAGTCAGTTTCTTTTCCCCAAAAGACGTTTCTCGGTTGTCGGGTTCTGTTTCCAAATTAATGGTAGTGTGAAAAAAAAAAAAAAGGGTCGCTGCGCAAGTTGCTTTTTTAGTCATCTAGCGGGAGCACGTATAGCGCTTCCAATATGTTCAGGTTTAGAAGCATCTAGCGGAAATATTGAAGGCGAAAGTTGTCACCTTTGTTTCATTTGGTTTCATTTTGGTGCTTCTGCGACGTTTCGGCGGGAATTCCGAAGCAGAGGTACTTTACAGGGCATTTACCATTTGATGTAAGCTCTCATACTCTGTATTGAATTTTGATAAGCGTTAAGTCTGAACCGGAAGAGCCGACACACCAATCGCCACTACTGCCAGAGCGACCGACATGCGGAGCAACCAACCCTCGCGTATCACGTGCGTGGGGTGTCTCTATAGACCAGCACGCGGCCGTGACGTCATGCAGCTGCGATGGCGCTGTCGACGGCACTGCGCATGCGCAGACGCTTCCCTTCACGCGAATTTGGTTTCTGCGCACGCGCAGTGCCCTTACCTGGTGTGGGCAAACGCGGGCTTGTTTGTAAACAGCGTGCCGGTCTATATATAACCCAGCAAAGCGAAACACCATGCAAATGTAATGTTTATAGTTGCTGCAAGGCCTGCAGTCTATTTATACGCGAGTCGGAAGTGTTGCTGGACTGCCTGATATATGGCGTTGGTGTGTCTAACAGAATGCAATGCACTCGTGAACACTTAAATGCGGATGTGTGAACCAATCTTTATCGGTCAGCACGCCAGGAAAAGTCTAAGAATCGTCTGCACGGAGTAAAACAAGTGTAATACATTTGCATGCTACTCTTAGTTCTACTCTTGAGGTTTAGGGAGTTAAATGGGTGCTATGAGGGTTCTCTCCGGTCTGCTCTCAAGGGTCTCTATAGCAATTTTGAGAAGTAACCGAGGAATTTTGCATCTAAACGGCTGTTAAGAAACTCTTCAATATGACAAAACACCGGAAAAAAATAAATACAGTCTCGTTAATGATTTTTTGCGACTCAATCGGTAATGCGGTGCTAGAGGGTGCCGAAAGAATACCTGCATTCGTTGGAACTATACTTGAGACCCGATGCAGTGGGCAGTTTAATTTTCTGGGAGGGAAAGGGAACATGCCTGAGCTATTTAGGGATTCATTGTAGAGGATAAAAGCGCTAAAAACTATAGACAAGTGGAAGATTGGTGAGCACCACAGAGAAATCTGCGGTGTTTATCATTCTTCCTCTTGTCTGTCGTTTTCTTTAGTGCTCTTGTCCTCTATAACTTGCTGGGATTGTGGCATTCTGGTGTGCTTTGGTCTAGCAGATTCCTTGTGGCTTAGTTTCCGTTTACCGTGGATGCTTTTGCCAATGATCGGATGTTGTGAATGTTATGTTTTGGAAGGCAATTGGTAAGTTATTTTTTTCGCATCGAACGGCATAAAATTGACTTATATCAGACATTTCACAAGAATACATATGTAGTAGCCTTAATCGTCCTATCCATCCAGCCGTATAATTATAGCAAGTGCACAAACGGCATTACACTACCGGTTGGTTTCCATATTAATCTACTTTTATGGCGTTGCAGACGAGAAGTGTGACGAGGAGAAAGAAGTGACATCCGGCGGCGAAGAACCAACAGGGGTTTCGGCTGCAGCTCAAGAAAACGGCAGCAACGAAGCGAGAGATGCTCGCCGGAGCCAACGCGACCAGCGCTCGCTTTCCTGGAGCCCAGAACCCCACTCCCACGAGACGTCTTCTTCAATCCTTTCCTCTTCTGACCCAAGGGGGAGCTCGCGGAGTTCGGTGATCACGGACGACGAGGACAGCCAGTCGTGCAAGGACGAAATCCCCAGAAAGTCCCTCGGCAAGAAGAAGAATGTCGCGGAAGAACAGTCCAGCAGGTTCGCGGCGGCGCTGTGCCGAACCCGGAGCCTCTCCGCTACTAACGTGGCATCGCTGGCGACGACGACCACCGGAGAGCGGAAAGAAGGGAGCGGCAAGATCGTCGGGAAGGCGACCGTGATCCGGCGGCCAAGCATCGCGAGGCTGAAGGCCCTCTTCGAGAAGTCGGATTCGGACGACCTCGTCGGAGCGGAGACCACCAGAAAGCGGCCCGTGTTTCGGAGCTACAGTCAGAGGGTTGCACCGAGACAGCCGTCGGTGGCGCAAGTTCCCGACGGAGCGCAAGCTGCGCAGGCTTCTGCGACCAGGCCATGGATTGCGAAGCGGAAGAGCCTGGGTCCGTCCGCCCGGAAGGCGAAGGAGTTCCGAGGTCAGGAGAAGAGCCAGCGGCAGGCCACCGAGGCGAACTCCAGGAAGAGCACCAAGCCGGCGCCTTCCAGTGCCCGGACTAAGGTGTCTGTGGCACCCGTGCAGAAGGAAGAGGCTCGCACCGATGGAAATGCGAAAGAGCACAATGTTCCGGTCAGCTGGTACGGGACGGGGAGCGGGGAGGTCCGGGAGAAGAACGGCCTGTACAAGTCGTTCAGCAGCTCGAATTTGGTCGGGCTCGGCGTTCGGACGACGAATGGTAGTCAGGTTTCCGAGAGCGTTCTGGCAGTTGCAAAGAGTTCTCCTTCGAGCGACACGGTCGTGAAGTTTGGCCAGCAGCGCGACCTCCCTCCGCAGCTGCCCACCAAGAAGCGGACAGCGCAGATTCTTTACGCTCCCGTCCCGTTCCGCAGCTCGGAGGCGGCGAAAAGGTCGCAGACTCTTTCGGCGCCGCCGCGGAACTCGAATGACGTCAAGAAGGAGTTTCAACCGCAGCGGAGTAGCATCTACGACTTCCTTCCCAGGAAGAGTGCAGACGAGCCTCCGCGGCTTCCGCCCAAGAGGACGAAGCCGACCAAGCCTCTGGTGCAGCCGGTTCCGATATCGGCGCTGAACAATACCTATGTGAACGTCTCCGACATGCTTCTGGCGAGGAACGAGCTGATGTTGCGTCTCGGGGACACCCGCTACACCAATGTAAGCCTCGAAACGAAGGAAAACCTGAGCCAGATTGAGAACACCATACGCCAGCACCCCAGGGGAGCTATCATTGACCTCACTTCCAGAAAGTCCTTCAACGATCCCGCCGCTCCGGCCCCAAAATACGAGCAGGTTTGGGACGGACAGCCACTCAAATGCAAGCAGACGGAGCGGGACCCGAGCGAAGCGGGCAATGCGTCTGCCAAGCGACCCGACACCCTCGGTGAAGTCCCGGAATCTGCGGTGGAAAATGCTTCGAGCAAAGAGAAGTCGGCGACTCTTCCTTCGGCCTTCCGCACTCACAGTCGGGACATGCCCCAGTCCGCGAGACAGGTGCAACAAAACGCGCTGTCGGACCAAGACACGTCGGATATTGCCACGACGCAGGACGAGAGGTCGGGGACGGAGTACGATACGCTCTTTGCGGAATCCAGCGACGCTACCGAAACGGACGATCCCTATGGGAAGGGGCTGGCCAAGAGCGCAAATCTCGCCGGGTTCCAAACCTGCAACCAGGGTTTTAACGTCGGCAGCGACGTGGGACGTGTTCCGGTCGGCTTTTTTCAGGCTGTTCGCAGACACCCGTCTCCCATGGTGGCCAAAACGGAAGTCAAGCATCCCCTGCCGGCGTACGAAACCATCTACCCGACACAGTCTCCTCCCATGTTCGTACCTTGCTACAGCCCGGAAGCGATGACATATTCAAAGGTTAACCCACCACCAAAGCCGCCGCGCACGTTCGACTACGGAAACAGGTACGACGGGGGCCGCCTCATTGTCTCGGTCGTGTCGCCCAAAAAGAGCCAGCCTTCAGAGAGCATCTACCAGGTCCCGCCTCAACCGCGGGTGCGGCCCTCCATTTCGCGACCTTTTCAAGGCCCTTCCACTACCTCTGAGGTCGTGGACTTCACCTCCGTCCCCATGCCAACGTTCGGCACCGTTCCGTTCGTCCCCTTGTACCATCCGCGGCACGCCGGCGTGCAGCAGACACAGCACGACTACGAAAACGTATACGCCGCCCATGCGCCGGCGTTCCAATTTCCTCGAGACGAGGCGAGGCCTCGTGGAGCGGGGATAGTGAAGCATCACTCGGAGTACCGACCTCCCGGGAAGGCGCCCCTTCGCGAATCTGCTTCGGGCAAGGTGTCCCACCCGACCAAGGCCCTTCAGCATTCGTTCTCTGATGCCGGCGTTTACGGAGCTCTTCGGGGACAGCAGCTGCAGCCCCTGCAACAGCAGACGAGCGTCCCTGCCGAGTATGCAGTGGTTGTGAGACCCAAGAGGCCTTGTGCGGCCCAGGGGCCGCAGCGAAGGTTCGTGGTCGCGGAGGACAACGTTTCAACGAGCCTGCGGGGACCCGCCGCTCCACCGCGATCCAGGAGACAGGCGCCTCTCGAGTCCACTGGTGAGAACTTTTCTAGTGTGCCGAGTGCTCTTTGCAAAGACAATGTCTGGGATTGAGAAACTGCAAAGACGCTCAAGACTGCTAACGTGTCAGAATGTGAAAGCATTCGTATACATAGCATATTTTTCCAAGTTGTGCGCCGCGCTGCCTGGGCAGGCTTTGCGGCCAGCCGCTCCCTCTTACCGTCGGTCGGGCCGCTGCGCCGTAGCATTGTTGTGGTGGCATTCTTTAAAACTATGCCGTGCGCCAGCCAATGGGAGTCTACCCATCAATACGCTGCTAGAGACTAGAGGCTTTGCTCCATTGGACAAGGGAATTTAGGTGCCGTTTGGTGCGGCTTCAAAAGCTGATAATGCCGGTCCGCTCCATGGGACAGTTATTTCTTTCGCACTAAAATACCAGTTCATGCTGGCGCGGTAAAGATGTAACTTTTTACCGTAAACCCACATATCGTCTCATTTTATGCATGCAGCTCTTCTGTGTGTTCCAGTTTCTCAATTTCAAACAATTTTGAATTGTTGCTAAGGTTTTTTTATATTTCGGTTTGCTATTGCTCGTTATCTTGCAATGTTGTTTTTGGCGTGTTTTCTTACTCAGCTAGCTGTTTGCAATGTCGTTAAATTTGTTGCAACAAATTGCATGAAAAGGGAGTTTCACGATGTGTTTCAAACGTTGAATTGTTTTCAGATTCATCCGACGGGATCGAGCCAAAGGTGAGTTTTCGAGCGCAAATATTTCTGCACGCTGTTTAGAGTTCAGTGAGTGAGCTGGTACGGCTACACTTTGCGCAAGTACACTGCGAGTTTTGAGTTATGTCTTTGTTGGGACACATTGGTTTCAATAACAGGTTGAAAGCAGGGAGGATGCTGCCGACGTGCCTCAAGCGCACCAGAAATCAACCTCCCCAAAAGCTGCCCCACGACTCAAAGGTACCTCCTGTAGTTCTGGCTCATATCTGCCTAAATATTAGTCAATAAAAAAAAAAAAGTTTTTTTTTTATTGTTTATAATTTCATGACGTAACTATTCATACGTTACTTTCTGTTGTCTTTGCCACTACCCCATCTGTCTTTTGATGAATAAAAAAAATGCTGTTATTTTCAGGTCAGGCAAAAGAAGGCAGTGGGAGTGGCAGTGAGGGCAGTAGCTCCATCTCTGGGACCCTGAGCAAGGCCTTTGGGAGACTCAACCCCTTTTCCAAGGTACGGTAGGGAAGAGCAATTGAGGCGCATGTTACAGTTGTCAGAAAGACGGGTCGAACATATTCCTCTCCCCACGTCACATTGACATCAGTGACTGCCTTATCCTCAGGTCAACGCCAGTTCCTGCGAGGAGTTGAAAAAGAAACCCTCTCCACCAACAAAAGGCAAGTTCCCCCATCTTCCAGGTTATAGTGCTCAATATTTTTCTTCTGGCTGCACCCCTGTGGGATCATGTCAAGTCATTAGATAATCTATTTTGTTTTCACTTTGAAAGATATGCTAACATTACTCTAATGCCCCTCTGTCGCATGACTGGCAAGTTCAACTGTGCTCGCATGTAAATCGTGGTTACTGGTATGCCCTGCAAAGCTGGCCAGTTACTAGACGGAGTCGCAGAATGTGGAATCGGTACTATAGTTACCATATTCGGAGCCATCTATGTATGGTGGCATTCTTGATCCGGTTAAATTCTTCCGATATACGAAGCATGCGATACAAGTGCTTTTGTTGGATTCAACTGCATAACCAGTGGGCATGCTTAGAACTAGGGGTGTGCGAATATCAATATTTTCGAATACGAATCGAATACGAATAGTTAGCTTCGAATACCGAATCGAATTTTGAATAGTCGAAGGCAGGTGCATTTATTCACAGCATTTTTATTTTCACGTCAAAACTGCAGATAGATAGATATTTTTAAAATTTTTGAACTGCTGAATTGCTGTTGATTTTTCTGCATAACAGCTTGTAAACTTAACGAGAATAAAAACACATAAACGAAAATTCTAGTTGTAGGGAAGATTACAAGTTGTCATGCAGAAAAATGAACTGCTGCACATGGTCAGGTAGGAGGCGCTGCCTTCGAGAGGAAACTACACCTCCAGCCACAGAAAATACTCTCTCGGCCCTGAAGTGGCAGGTATTGCCAGGTTTTTGATGCAAAGCTTCGCCAGACTTGGATATCGCACCCTACAGTTCGCCACCACTCACACGGATCACTTTCTCTCTTTAGCAGTGCCTCCGTCCGCATACGCTACAACTTCCCATTCTGAAGCTGAAACCACTTTGCTTTCTATTGCACTTTTGGTTAAGTGGTCAAATGCCTGCCAAACATCTGCTGATGGCATTAAGCCTTGCTCTTGTGACTGTGTTGAAGCTTCCGGCTGGGCCTCTTCAGTAGCATCACATGAGGCTAGCTCTTGCAGCACCAGAGCTTTTAGCCATAATAATTTTTCCTTTTCTCCTTTAAAAATGGTCGACTTGAAGCGTGGGTCCAAGAACATAGCAAGGCATGCTTCCTTGTCCTTGTCATACAGAGTGAAACTTGCCTTGATGGATCTTATCAGTTCTGCGGGAAATTCTGATGCCCCAGCACAGTTATCTAGACAGTGGAGCATACCAAAAATCATAGGAACTTGGGAAGACCATCTCAGCACTGGCAATAACCGTGGCATCAAACAATGGCTTCAATGCTTGTACATATTCAGAAGCATCTTTCCATTCCGATGAACCAAGTCCATCAATGTCACAGTCCGAGGTAGCAAGCTCCATGGTGACTGCTCCTTTGAGTTCCAGAAGGCGAGACAACATAAGATACTGGCTATTCCATCTCGTCTCCACGTCTTGCACCAGACGTAGTGCGTCCTTTCCCATCTTTTGGCACTCCTCAAGCCTTTTTTGAGCTGATGAACTGTGCTTGTAATGTCCCACAATATGCCTCACTTTCTCACAGACGATCAATGGCCGGCGAACGGGATCTCGCGTCATTAATCGCCAGTTGAAGCGTATGCGCGAAGCACGCTCTTTCAGTCCACAGAAGTCTCCTTACCGCAGCACGGATGTTGCGTCCGTTATCCGTTACGATGAACTTCGCACATGCATCGGGTATTTCCCACTCGTGGCACATTTCGTCCAGAATTGTTGCGATGTTCACTGCACTGTGACTGGCAGCCATGTGTCAAGTGTTCAATGTTAACCGCTTCATCGTGAATTTTGGAGTGAGAAGATGGCAAATGAAGCTGACGTAACTTTCGTTAGCGCGCGATGTCCACATGTCGCTTGTGAAGGCAACAGCGGTAGTGCCGCCTTCAAAGGCACTGTTGAGCTCTGCTTTCAGCTTCTTTCGGATGTCGTCATACATCCGTGGCACAAGCACGCGCGAGAGTGTAGAGCGGGATGGTGGGCGGATAGTTGGGAACGGCTTGTGTCAGAAGTTCTTTGAAGCCGCGGTCTTCCACAATTTTGTAAGGCTGTAAATCAAGCGCCACCATGGCGGCAACCTTGTTATTTAGTGCTCGCACCCTCTTTTCTGGCAGGGGCTCCGTGCGGCGCACAAAGTCCGTCACCGTCGGTTGATCTTTTCCTGGCGTACCTGCGGTAATTCCACGATACTCTTTCAACAATGCAGAATGTACTTTGAGATGGTTGACAAGGGGCGTTGTCATACCTGTGGGCGTTTTAAGCGTTAACTTGCATGCTGTACATTGCGCCATCGATGCCGTCACTCTCGCAAAATATTTCCAAATAGCACTCTTCTCTCTTCGTTTTGGTGCCGTTTCCCGTTCGTTCTTCCGCTTCGCAGACGGCTCTCTGCAGTCACCTCCATCCGCCATAACACAGGTAGGCGAACGCGAAGTGAGCACAGTTTAAAATGTCAGGTGTCACAGGGGAACAGAAACTCGCAGATTACCGTTATCGACACCAGCAGTTTAGGTTGAAGCCGCCATGCAGCTATGTCGCTGTCAATGGGCCCTGCTTACCGAAAGCAAAACTTACGCTTGCAAATACGTTCTTGACTATTCGATTAATATCGAATATTCGTGTTACGACGAATGTTCGGAAAATACCAAATACTTGGTTTACGAATCGAATATGAATATTAAATCTACAATATTCGATTCGTATTTGAATATTCGCCCACCCCTACTTAGAACCTTAAGAAAAATTGGTGACAGACACTTGCAGAAGTCCGGGCATGTGCCCAGTGTTTAATTGAAAGTGCCAGCTTGGCACAAATTTGTTTTCCACTGGTCTCTACTTGCTTGTGGGTGTGAAGTTCTCACGTGAAGTTGATTCTTGTCAGGAGGGGTGTCGTCCAAGAAACCCACCGTCCCCCACAAGCCAGCCAACATATCTGTGCTGCGTGGAGCCAAGGGCCCCAAACCACGGGCCCCAGCTGTCCCAACCGCTGAACCCCCCACCCCTTGTCAGCAACAGCAGCAGCACGAATCTTCAGCCACGGAGCACTGGACGCAAGTGTAATTGCCACAAAGGGGGTGATGTGGTTCGGAAAAGAAAAGGGGGGTGGGGTGGGGTGGGGTGGGGTGGGGTGGGGTGGGGTGGGGTGGGGTGGGGTGGGGTGGGGTGGGGTGGGGTGGGGTGGGTTGGGGTGGGTTGGGTTTGGTCAGTTGGATACTGTAGGATGAGAAATGCTAGGGGACACATGTGACATTGTTATGTACCCCTCTAACAGTTGAATGTTCCGTTACATAAGTGCCTTGATTCCAGAATGGAAAGGTGGGCCAGTTGGTGCATTGCTTCGAAAATAAAAGCGCCAAGAAACGGGACAAGGAAGTTGAGACAAACATTTACTTGGTGCTTTTGTTTTCGCTGCCTCGTTCCGTTTGCGGATTGCATTCCCAACTGTGCCACAGGAGAGACCGTGAAGATTGGGGCGGTAAAAATTCTTCTAAAGGCTTCTAATATGAGGGCCTGCAACAAGGAGAGGCACCATTGTTCTCGTAGCAGTTAACTATAATGCTGACAGTTCCTGGAAGAGAACAGAAGAGAAATGTCACAGATATATTTATTACATTTTGGAGATGTGTGCAAGTAAAGAGCAAACACATTAGCTGGCTGTCTCAACTTTATGAAACAGTGAAGCAGCACGAGTCGCTTCGTCATCTCCTTCAACTCTTTTTAGCGGCGCGTCCGCGATGAGTCTAGTTTCATATTCCGTCCAGCATTCTGGGCCCCATTGCACATTGTGCGTGCAGTCTGAGGACCTTAGAAATGTGTGAAAGTCGCCCTTGCAGGCATTCAAGGAAGTGCTGCGAAGGAGAAGAGCCAGTTGGACTGTCAACTGATTCTAAAGGATTCAAACTTCAATATGTTGTACTGTAGCTGCCTGTTCATCTGCAGAGGTGCTCTTTTTGTTAGTGTAGTTAGTATTTGATCGTTCCATGTTCACAAGGTGTCCTGCGGGCTTATGCGTGCAGGTGCCTTGTTGAGCATGATGCAGCGTCCTTAGGAGTAATATAATTGCTGGCCGTTCTGCAATACTTTTTTTCTAGTGTATTCTGCCGGCAAGCGAAAGGTTGTGCTGAGCGTTCAAAGCAATGTTGTGTGTACTTTGATAGCCGTGGTGCTGCATAGAGTAGTAGTAGTATTTATTTTAGACGAGACAAATTGTGCAAGCTCTGCTATGCAACAAACGTGTCTGCTACTTCACTAACATCTGCAGTGCTGACAAAAGGCATGGGTGCGAGCTTTGGAAGTTGCTGTTTATGTTCGAGTTCTCATACAAACTAAGCTTTCCGCCGAGGTAAGCTCACATGGCTGTGCCTTTGTCTACAGTGTAGATACTTGTGAGACGGAGTATAGCAGTGGTGCTTTTTGCAATTTTTGTTTTTGCATTGTAAATGCACATCCCATGTGTCCTGTATTTTAATGTTGACAGTTTTACACACTTTTGGTGCAGATTTATTGTGCCCTTTCTAAGCTAAGACTGTTTTCCAGCAAAGCGATTGTTGCTGACAAAGTCTGATAATGTGTGAAGCAGCAATCAAGTACTGCTTTGGCTAAAAAAAAAAGAAAGAAGATTGTGTGATTGAACATTGTTGTCCATTTCTCCTGAAAATATTTGGCTGGTATGAATCATGTGAAAGTTTATAGGGAGCGAATTTGAGACGTGTTACGATGCAACATTAGCAGTTTTTGAGTCAAGTGAAGCAGAAAGCTTTTTTTTTTTTGTCACGTTGAAAAATTCTTGCCAATTGTTGACTTCTTATCTACAGGCCTTCCCACGTCTTTAGTGGTTTAGGACCTTTTGATGTGTACATTTTGAGTTTGATGCTGAGATGAGGGGAAATCCTTAAGCCGCCCATCAATGCAACTTCATCAGAGTTCCTAATGCATTTCTGTGTTGTTGTTCATACTTAGGCAACACAACTCATCTTACATGTATGCAACACAACTCATCTTACATGTTTGCTTACATGGACACCCCAGCGGAGTGTTCCAGCAGTAAATTCACTGTAGATTAGCCCATTTGCTATAGAGGCCATAGTTTGTCGAGGCCACACATTTGTTGAGATTAGAACAAAATACATGTACAATGGGAAAAATTGTGTGGTGTTCAGAATAAGATTATTGGTCTTCGTTGCAAATCCTTAGCTAAGGCACATGCCACATGAACTGGAATTATGATCTCCTGCTGCTCGTGGCTTCATTCATGGCTTTCGTTCATGTTCAGAGTCAAGAATGAAAAGGTGCTGATATAATGCTCTTCGGTAGCAGATAGACATGCTTTTTTCACATTTTTAAAGTGCTGATGCCTTCGTTGAAACTCTTGTGTATGTATGAATTGTTTTTAACAACTGCTTTTTGGGAGTTAGTGCTGCTGCTGTATTATATTGCTGAACAACATTAGCCAAGTTCGCATGCTTGGACAAGCTTAAGCATTGTTGGTTAGTCATAACAGCTTTGTTAACCTGGTCCGAGCAGTGTTACCTTTAAGTCAGCCTTTTTTGTTGTTACAAAAAAACAAGACAATTTAACGTTTCTAGTCGGAAATGTTGAGCTGTAAACCTTTCACTATTATGAAATGCTAACAAAGAGTAGAGACTAATCATCCACCCGGCAATGAAACATTCTGTAGTCCAATCATTAAGATAGGTAAACAAATTGATCCAGTAGGTAGCTTTGGTAAAATTTAATAGGTAGAAGGATTGAAGAATTGTAAAATATTATAAAATGTTTTCCTCACTTTAAAGCGATGCTGCTCCAAGTTTTCCTATGCAGTGCTTTTTGTGGGCAAAGGAAGCGAACAAACGTTTGTGTAGTGTAAGATCACCTCTGTTTTGCTGCGACGATTTAATGGTGTACAATCGTCATGTTGCATTGTTAATTGCTAAGCAACTTTCAAGATGTGCCAAATGTTTGAAACATTTTGTTCTGGTCCCAACAAGACATGGTAGCTGTAAATAAGAACAGCCTGTGGATCCAGCTACTGTCAACAGATGGTAGTTTTGAGATAATTTTTATAGCGCCACTTCGGCAAACTGCAAGCTGGTGTCATTTGTTGTGCTAAGTAAATGGAATCACTTTATCTTTCTGCTTTTTTTTTTTTTTTCAAGCTTTTGCTTAATTTTTTCAGATGACTTTAGGCAATTATTGGGTGTCATTATCTCATTGCAGTTGTCTGCTCAAGGTTGTCTTGTGCAAGCTCATTCTCATGTCTATAGGCAGTGTGTGCATTTGTACATAATGTGCATTAAACCAGTTCTGGCCTGTTTCAACATGGTTGAGGAGTATGTTTATTCTCAGGTATGTCAGACACTGAAATTTAAGAAAACTGGCTAGTGTGAGGGAGACAATTGAATGATATGACTATTGCAGAGGCTGGTACTTGGCTTCGGCCACGCGTGCAGGGATCCCGTGTCTTTGAGCGATCCCAATGGAAATGTTATGTTCGAGGTAAAATTTGGTCAACTGAGCGAACACCTGATAAAAGTTAGAAGTGATACTACATTCATCCTGGAATTAAGAGGTTTTACCTTGCAGCCAAAGACCAAATAGTGTTGAATACACCCTTTCAGAGTGAATCCGACGATGTATCGCCAAGATTTTTTTTCCAGAGAATTGTCAAAGTTTAGACAAGACTTTTTACATTTGCTTTCCCCTAACAAATACTATAAACAACTTTATTTTTGCGGGCTCAATATTTTGTAAAGTTTGGGTTTCGGAATCATCTTGCGGGCATAAAGTTCAACGGTTTGGTGTGATAAGCATGTATTCATTATAATGGGTCTATCTATTTGTGCAATCAATTTTTCACTATATCTTTTGAAGTAGTGAAATTCGTAAAAATTCATCCCTCGCGAAAATTAAGCTGTTTACACTATACTCGTTTTCACCTCAAGAAAGAAGTATGTTTTACGCATTTTTCATACGCCGCACGAAGTAGTTCTTGCGAGATTCGCTCATCGAAAGAAAGAAGTGATGCTTTTGGCATCTGAAATGTGTACGTCTTGATAAGATAATGTGTACCTGATTTTAAATGTACCTATGTATATCTTGATTGTCTACATAAAGGGGGAAATTAATAATGCTCCTAAAATAGCCGGATTTTTGTTTACTACGTTTTTGGGGTGAAAACGGGTATAGTGTAACTTCAAATTACTTCACAATTTGAAAAAAAAAAAAACAGAACAACAACAAAAAGAAACCTGGAAATGTTCAACCCCGGGTGTATGTGACATTAGATCAGTGAACCAAACTAACTCCTGTTGTCTCCAATATGTTCATGGCTTCTGCACTGGAGCCTATGAAAACCTGTGGCGTCGCCGCTTCTGTGGTTTTCTGGTCATTGGAGCTCGTGGCCCAAACATCCTTAAAACACCAGGCCAAAATGAACAACTGGTAAAAACAAATTAAAAAATTTAACACTGCACTTCAATGTTCATCACAAAAAGCTGCTCTCGTATTTCTGTGCCAGTCCACTCTGTGCTCGTCCTGCACCTTTTTTCACTTATTGTCCACATGAAAGCATGAAGATAGCTGCGCGAAAATACCCTCGCAACCGTATGGCACATTTAAAACAAACTGAGGAAGAAAAAAAAAAGCTGCAGTCCCAGTGGTTTTTGAGGTGCCTCCGTCGGCGCGAACGGCGTCACTTGCAGCTTCCGACGCCGTACCTGCGCATGACATCGCCAACAAACTCGAAGCGCTGCACCCTGTTGCGTAGCCTGTGCTGCAGGTCTTGCACGTGGTGCGCAAAGTAGGACGTGGGCTTGTGCGGCACATGCACCAGCCAGACGTCGGGAAGCACGAAGAAGAGGTACCCTGCTGCAAAGAGCTCCGCTGTATGGGTCATCTTGTTGGAGCCGTAGCCTGTGAAGCGTTCGTCGTACAGCGGCAGCTGGGGCACGTTCTTGACCACCACGTACGGCTCAAACATGTCCACGAACGTCCGGACGGGGTAGGGCCGGTCGGTGCGGTACCACTTCCAGTAGTCGGTGCTCTGGTGCGAGTCTGGTGTGACGTCGTGGCGGAAGCGTTGCACGAAGGGGTCTTGCCTGTGGAGCAGCTGCATCAGCTCCTCCTTGGTCTGGGCCACTCCGTCGGACTTCTGCGGCAGCTCGAGGTACTCGAAGGCGGGTACCACAAATGCCACCTTGTCCGTGTTGGAGACGGACCTGGCGGTGGAATGCACGGAGGAGAATTTGGCCTCTAGATCACCAGTTTTTGGTTCAATGATATGTGTGCACTGTGCAACATTGTGAGCACGAACAGGACTACGGAACTTTTTCGAATTTCCCTCGTGCTTCTTGTTGATACACCAAATTTTACCATCTTTTAAGCTTACTGGAGGCCAGGCAGCTGAGAGAGATGCCCTGCCATTCTCTTTCTGTTGGTGGCACTTGTTAAGATCATCATCATCATCGTAGTGTATTTATTTCTGTGCCCATAAGCAAGCGGCAATCTATTGTGCAACACAAAGTAAGTAAAATCACTACACACATAAAAAAAGTGCAAGCTATACACTTTAAAATAAGCAATTAAAGATAAGTTGTTTGGGTCTAGTCCTGCTATAAAAACTAGGTTTAAGAAGAAAAAATTTAAAAAAATCTATGATTACAGGCTCTGTCAAAAAACTTGCTACTGCCTAAGACTGAATGCGTTCTGACTTTTTGTGATCTCTTGCAACGAGAGAAAACACTCGTGACATTTATTGGGTAATCGTGGAACACTTATATTTTTGTATATTTCCTTATTTTTGTTTTCCCGGTATTTTTTTCTTTTTGTTAATTGCTCGAAACACTTGACAATGTTATAAATAACCATTTCTCATAGATAGTATGTACCAGGGATGGGCAAAATACATGCTAATATGTATTGAAATACAAATACAAAATACTTCGTCAAAAATGTATTTAATTACAAATCTAAATACATTTCCAAAAAAGTATTGAAATACAAGATACAAATACAACCAAATGTATTTGGTCTCCTCCAAATACTTTTCCAAATACATTCCTCAAAATTTGCGTCAGCGACTTCAGGGCACCTGCAACGGGTTTCTGGGTATCTCATTTTAATTTTGCATTGCACACTCTGGAGTTAGTGTGCGAGACTCTAGTAACGTAATAGAAATATGATCACAAAAAAATGTAATCAGCTTGGACGTAATAGGTGAAAAAAGTACAGAGCTTCAAGCAGCTTTTTTTGTCGAATACATTTTGGTATAGACCAACAAAGAACTGAGACGACCAGGACGCGCAGCACTAGCTAGAGAATTTTTTATTGTTGCAACTCGCACCAGTTACAAAAATCTGGACGACCCGCGCATTTAGAATGTTCCAGGCAAAAATATGGAGGGAAATCACGCTGGAAAGCATCACAAGTTGTCACAGGCACTTATTTAGCCAGTCTGCCTGTGAACGTCGATTTCGTCGCTATTCTTGCTCTGGACTAGCACCGTAATCGCAAAGTCACTAAACGCTTGTGCTTGATTAAGAGACACTGCATTCGGTGCAGAACATAGTTTTCTTCCTGCTCTGGACAGTGACAATAAATTTGAGGGATGTATTTTCGCCCACACAATTGTATTTAATTACAATTGTATTTGAAACACCCACGTTTTAGTATTTAAATACACACGTCAAATACATTACCCAATTTGTAACTAGATACAAATGCAAAATACACAAAGTATTTGAAATACGTATTTCAAATACTTGTATTTGAAACACTGCCCATCCCTGGTATGTACTATCAAGTTCAAACGAAATGCAAACAGCAGCGCACGTGGCTGTCGGTACATGCTCCACCTCCTGGAGGCCTGTTGAAACTGATAAAACTGGGTTGGAGAGTAGAGCGCTGCGAGGGCGTGCGTCCTAATCCCCCGTGTTTGACCCTTATGTTCTTGTGTCTCATGTATGCGCTGGCATTGCCAAAATGCAGGTCCGTCAACTCCCATATTCACCAAACATTTTAACGAATTGCAGTAACTTTGTCAATGACATTTTGCAGGCAGCCAGAATCTCGTTCAGCATGCTCATTAAATTATCACCCATGTGTCTGAAGTGTGAAATAGAAGTTAAAGAAGTTCATGCACGGAAGACCTGTGAAGCTGGATTGACGTCAGTTATCAGAACCACGCAGACGTCCCGTTAAGGACCTACAGCGCATGACTTCTGCAAAATAGAGAAACGGAGTGGACAGGAAATGACAGGGAGCATTTGTGCAAACATAAATAATGAACAACAAGGGAACACGAAGGCTGCAACCAGCAAAGGCTGATGTCTCGGGCAGTGCCGCAGCAGAAGCTGTCTGGGCAGGCTTGCTTTCGTTGTTGTATTTCACCAAGTTGGTCTTGGTAAGGAGCCAATTAATACTTTGTGAAGTCGCCCTCAGCGTCTACAACGACAGCCATCTCACACGGTAGACCTTCCATTAGGCATGACACCAGGCCAGCAGCTCGCAGCTGCTCCCTCTCGGCCTCGACCGCCATAGCAACACATAAGAAAAAAGAAAAGAAAAAGCTGTTTACAATTATCTGTAACGCCGAATTAGAGTGAAGCTCTTGAGGAGGAGGACAGAAGGGTACTGAGGGGTCGCGTAACCCCCGTGAGGTCATGTGACGATGATGATGAGGTCAATACAATGACGTCATCGTCATCGTGATGCCGTCACCAGTGACGTCACGTATGACGTCATCGTGATGATGTTATCATCACTGATGATGCCATCAGTGATGGCATCGTCATTGTCACTGATGACATTGTCAGTGATGTCACCAGTGACGTCTTGCGTCCCATACTGCACTGCACTATTACGTCGACGGCGCTCAAGACGGAAACGGGCGCCTAAAAGCTGCGCTCTAAAAACTGTGCAAGTTAGGAGGGAGCATGATGTTGCAATAATATTCCATAAACGCGCCCGCGAGACGCGCGCGTGCAAGCTGGCTCGTGTTGAGCCAACGAGAATGGCTGTGACGAAACTTCCAGCGTACCACTGGTGCAGCATTGAAGCTTGGGTTGGTCTAAGCGAGGGCCCAACACATAGGAGTAGTGATGCACACCCTCGCAGGGCGACCTACTCTCCAACCCGCAGTTTTATCAGTTTCAAGAGGCCTCCAGGAGGCGCAGCAGGTACCAACGGCCACACGCTCCGCTCTTGGCATTTCATTGCAAAACCTTCGCTCCCGTGATATGCAGCTCATGGCCACCTCGTAGATGGCGTCAACGCACCAGGGAGTTCTCTCGTAAAACATAGCGAGAGATTGCCACGCACTCGGTCGTAAGCAGCTGAAAGTGTGTGAACTAGCCTTTAAGGGGCACCGACACCCCAAAGGTCGTATTTTTTTTTATTGTCTAAAACGATGCAAGTTGTAGTCATAGACACACACCAAAAAAAAAAACGCATCGCAAAAAAAAAAAAATTTTTCCGCACGCGTGCATTCCTCTTTTTTTTTTTTCCATTTTTCTCTCCCACTTTTCACCTCCTTGCTTCTTTTGATTGGTGATGTCAAAAATCACGAAATTTAGAAGTTTGTAGGCAACATTTCTATAACATTTCATAACGGCAATCGTAAAGCATGTTTTTTAACGCAATTGCGAACGCACTACGGCCCCTCTTTTTGAAATACCAAAAATCTGAGTACGGTGTGATTATTATTATTATAATGCAATTAAATGCAAAGGTGCAAGCGAGCTGGACAAGAATGACAATAATCCCTGGAGAAGGGGAACAAGAGGGAATAATGCCTCTTGTTCCCCTTCTCCAGGGTTTATTATTGTCGTACGGTGTGATGTCGCTTCCTGGATTTGTATTCTCTTTCGGAAAACTTGGCGGCGCTCGAGCAGAGGATGATCGGTGAGTCAAGGAACCGGAAAAAGAAACCAGTTTTTTCCCGGTCCGCCGGCGCTTCGAGTCGCGGTGGCAACGGCGCTTTGCTTTGTAGCGTGGAGCGGAGGTCTGAGAGAAAGTCGACTCGCAGGAGACTGCAAAATTTGACGTCACTGCACTGGCGCGGATCGCGCGGAAACTTTAAATTCAGAATCTGGAAATTGTTTTTTTTACTTCACAAATACTGAATTCCCAAGTTTCGAATTTTGAGGGTAATGTCTTGGCATCGTTTTCAATCGTTTCGGATAATAAGAAAAATATGATTTTGATGTGTCAGTGCTTCTTTAACAGAGACAGCACGAGTTGCTCAATTATGTTTATAAAATGCAGCCCTCGAACATTCCTGTGCTTCTCAAATTGCCAAGCAAGTACCAGGTAAGGAAGAGGCCTTTCAAAGATAGCTGTACAGACCCGAAAACAAGGGCTCTTCAACGAAGGAAGGTGGATGTGCACGCACCTTGTGGAGAGGAGGAAGTGCTTGTGGAAGTCCGGGGACGGCTGGAAGTCCGCATCTGCCAGGAAGAGGTGCTCGCAGTTGGTCTGGCGGATTGCGAGGTTGCGCAGTGCATTGATGGGGTAGTCGCCCGAACCGGGAACCCCGTAGGCCAGCGACACGTGGCTATCCGGGTGCAACTTCAGCTTCTGCAGCTTTTTCTGCACGTAGAGCTTCTGCCAATCGCCCTCTGGCTGCCCAGCCTGCGAGCAAAAAGACGCATGGGTGTGTAACATATTTCATGTGTTTACTGAAGAAGGCTGGCAGACATGTAAGTGCGATGCTTTGCGGGTCAGCTGGAGGTACGGCTGCTAGAAAATATAGTCTGTTTCAACTTGTGATGGACCTCAGAGGACATCAGGGAAGGGAGCAGCAATCTGCAGGCAGTGCATAGTCATAAGATACGTTAAAAGTACTCGATTGACTAGAATGGCTCGTAGCATCCGCTGCAATTTATCATAAGGTGAGACCAAGTATAATGCAGCACCCTAGGAGCAAGCCTGGGGAAAGCTTGAGAGTGGCAGATGTATCGGAACCGCAGTTCAGCTTGTGTTGCATGGAAAATTTTTGTGCGAGGTACTTGGGCTGCACAGATTTGAACAACTGATACTCGAGTTGTGTGTGCGGTGCAAATATAGAACAGTACTGGCAAAATGTCACCTGCTGTTCTGGGTCTTCATGAGGCACTTTGTGAATATTTGTCCACTCATTTGCTTTCTCGGCCTCGTGGCCCTTACGGCATTTATGGCGATTGGTTCCGCTTTTTATTCATACCTTGACGGGTGCGTAGATGACCAGCGACACGGGTCCTTCCCACTGCTGTAGCGTGTGCTCCAGAACCGGTAGCCTGTCCATCGACAGCTGGGTGACCAGTGCCACGTCCTTGTTCAGGTGGCGCTTCTTCGACGGGGACCTCACTTTGCCCAGGATGAGCTCGTGCCTCAGCTTCAGCTTCCGGTGAGGACTACGGGCAGGCGGCGGACAGTCTTCGAGCAGCTCCCTGGCCCGACAACTCAGGCTGCCGGGGTCAGCTAGCGGCGTCAGGACCACGTCGGTGAAGTGCACCGTGCCGGCGTAACCGTAGCAGCCGAGCATCACGGTCGCGCTGCTCACGGTCCGGTCGGAACGGGACGCCGTGTAGACCCCGTCCCGTTGGGTCAGCGTACTCGTGGTCGCCGGGAATGGGACCCTGAGGAACTCCTCGCTGCCGTCGCCGAGTTTGACCAGCACAATCGCGCCGACGAAGGAATCTGCAGTCTGGGATTCAAGCTGCTCGGCAGACGCCCGAACGCTGAGGCGAAAACTTCGGAGGGTAACATTACGTCGGAAGGCGAGGTACTGGTAGATGGCGTGGATGGTGGTCGGCTTGCAGGTGATCGAGAAGGCGGTCGAACACAGCGCCCACGGCTGGTTGAAGCACTGGACGTCCGTCTTAACCGCGGAGTGGTCCTGCCACCAGCCGCGGAGGGCGATCTCGTTCTTCGACATCACGTCGCGGGAAAGCACGTTGAAGGGACTCCGGGGATCGCCACCGCAGGGTCCGGTCGCGGTGCGGTTGGAGATCCCGTCGGTTCCTGAGCCGTCGATTTGGAAGGAGTTGAACCACTGCAGGAAGATGTAGATGAGGACTGTGGACAGGGCCGAGTATACCGTGACAGCGTAGAAAGCCACCCGCACTGCGAAGCGTAGGTTTCTCATCGTAGTTCATGCCTGCGCTGTGCTTACGTTTTAGAGACTCGGGCGGCGGAGCCGTGCGTGTTAGGGGAAGATGGCTTGAGTTCTGCTTCTTCGAAAAATACCTGGTTCGTTTTTGCACCTTTTTATGGCGTGGCCTGGCGAAAGAAGGCTCACTGATGCCCATGCTGAGACTGGCTTCACCCGCATATTAGAAATTTCACGATAACTGCGGCGGCTGCGAACCATTTTGTGAACAGACGACGCCGCGTACCGCCGTGCCGCCGTGCTGGCCGCAAGCCGTGCTGCCGTGCTGCTGTTGCCTGTTGGCACTTTTCTTCAACTTCGGTCACTTTGGTTATCAACAATGTTTGCATTTCTTACTTAAAAAAACACTAACAATCATTAACAATTGTTTTGTTATTGTTCTTTTTTTATTTAATATATAAACATTGCATTATCATCATCATCATTTATTTTTATGGTGCGTTCGATTATGCAAGATTGTAAATTAGAAAGAAAGAAAGATCTTTGCACGTGATTAAAGCAGTGCATATTCGCCCAAAGAGCGTCAGTACTTTCTCCGCTAGGCTAGGCGTTCGTCCATGACGTTCGTAAGGGTCATGGTGCCTGGCTTGACTTTTGGAAACGCAGTGCTATGCATGAAATCCGAAGTGCATGCGAAACTAGAAATAAAACAGCGCGGAGTAGGTAGACTGGCTTTGGGGGCGCATTGCAAAACGCCAAACCAGGGAGTACAAGGAGACATGGGATGGGCATCATTTGAGAGCAGGGAAGCGGTGAGCAAGGTAGAATTTGAGGATAGGTTGAGGCTAATGGATGGGGAGCAATGGGCACGAAAGGTTTTCAGCTATTTATACATGAGGAGTGTAGACACAAAGTGGAGACAGCGCACTAGGAAATTAAGAGGAAGGTTTTTGGGCTATAGCGAAGATACGGAAGAGCAAGTCTCAGTTAAGAAGAAAGTTAAGGCCACAGAAAGAGATCGGTGGCTAGAGGGAATGCAGACAAAGACTGCTCTGGAAAGCTATAGATTAAACAAAAGAGTTATTGCCAAAGAAAGCATTTATGACAATTCTAGGGGAAGCTCATTGCTGTTTGAGGCAAGAACGGGTGTTCTGCGAACCAGAACATACAGAGTGAAGTACCAGGAAATTGATACAGTGTGCACTGCTTGTGGAGAGGAGGACGAGACGGCTGAGCACTTGATACTCTACTGTAAAGGGCTTCACCCTATGCCTACCGAAGACAACATAGATTTAATAAAGTCATTGGGTTTTAGAGACAGCGAAGGGAGAGTGGATTTCAAGACTGTAGAGATTACCAAGCAAAGATTAAGTGAATGGTGGCAGAAATCGAGAGAAAACTAGGTATTTTCTTAATCACTGATGGCAAGGGGGTTTCATAGCCTCACTTTCTTTGCACTGCGGAGTGAATATAGATTTCACATTTAAATATTCTAAGCTTAAATGGTAAAACAAAATGGCTAGGTGGCGTAAGCTACCGCCCGATCCAAAGGGCTCAGCCGTATTCATCCATCCATCCATCATAAACACTCCAGTCACTCCATAGAGTTTTCAAGCTGACAATCATCCATAAGCGAACGCATTCTCGTGTGCGTGCGTTGGTGGCGTGAGCGTTGCGGCAACCCCCGGTCACAGTCCCAGTTTCGCGGCGCTGACATTAGCGTCGCCACCATCAGCGGCGCTGTGCATAGCGTCGCCACCGGCAGCAGCGCTTAGGTGGTGGGGGGCTCTCATTAATACAAAAATACAAATATAAAACTTTGTCCGCTAACAGTAATTTCAACAAAACGTCTTCACCGCACCATGAAAATAAAATGCAATTTATTTTATATATTTTTTTCTGTTCGTTCTGTTTTCGGTCTAAAACCAAAACTCTAAACCGACCCGCTGGCCTCGCCGGTGCCCTGAAAGGCGCCGCTGCCCCCCCCCCCCCCCCCCTTCTTTCTACCCTCGCCCAAATTTGAAACTTCGTAACGGCGGACGGCGGCGTCGCGTGGTTTTGTTTACCCAAGGGTCGTGCGAGCGTAGTTTCGCGCTCCGGCGTTCCGCGCGCCTGTCGAACTCGATGGATATTTTGGTGCGAACTTTCAGAGACTGTTGAGAGGTGCATTTTACGTGGCCATATCCCGATGGTGCACGAACAGCGCAAATGCCAAGACCACAAGTTTTTGTTTGTTCATTTTTTTTTTCAAGATAAGGCAGGTGAGTATGTATCTCCCGTACTCAGTTTTATTTGCTCAGCGAACTTACCATTAAACTTCTGCTGCCCATAGCTGTTAGTTTGCAGGCTCGTTCTCGCAGTGAAAACATATGCTTTCCCCCGAACAAGTACGGTTTTAATGAAGTTAATGGTATACACCTAGCTCCACTTCGATTTGTGCACAACTGGTTATTTAAAGTGTAACAATTGGGTTTAATCTTGAAAATGGTCTTTGGCGGTCCTCGAACAGACGGAGGATAATAAAACAAAAGAATGAGGCTTCCTATATATTAATTTGAAGTTTCATTTATTTCTGCATGGTTCCGGGTGCGACAATGGCATTATGTCATTAGTTTGTTCGCTGTAGATGGACATTTGTTTTGTTTTAAATCAGTTTAAAATTTTAAACATCATGACCACATTGTCATTACAGATGCTGGGACATATAGAACGAGCATTTGAACGTCGTCTCAAGGAGGAAGAAAGCTTCGGACAATTCGTGGTTCCCAACAAGTTATCCAGCCTGTTGAGTGCCAACATTTTTCGAAGCTTTATTTCACATTTTCATCTTGCTTGCGTGAGAAGCTTTGAATATGTAAAAATGAAGGTAATGATTGCTGGGGGCCACCTAAGTAGCTTATATTTCTTAAATCAGTGAACAACTTTACTTTCAGTGAACAGCTGATCCAACTTGGCATGTTGAATGCGTAATTATGTGGGTCAATGTGTACACTTGTAAAGATATATGTTAGTGACCATTCCCAAGAAGTGATAGTGATAAAGTTAGTGATAAAGCCCATTCCCAAGAAGGTGTGCGGCCAAGCATGTAATAATGAAGTGATGAGATCGTGCACAGATGACAGAGAGGTGCTGGCGATGTGCAACTGCAGCTGTGGGCGAGGTTGACGAAATGATTTTGCCAATGTTTTATTTTTGCGCGTATGCAGGTGCAGTGCTGTACTTAATTCCGTTTTAGCATCTGTGCAATAAATGTGCCTCGAAATATTTCGGTCGCAGCTGTGGATTCCTTACTGGACGGCGGGACGCCTCGAAACAGAAGAACAACGAACACACATGACTACGCACCTTATACAGCTGAAAGCGAAATCGCACATCGTATATTACGTTAGGGACTTTTAGCGAACTGTTACCGTGTTCCGCGTACTGCACTATCGGAGCCTTTGAAACATGCTTTATAGGCGCGCACCCGGAGTGATACCGTGACAGCGGGGCGCGCACTTAAAAGCATGCTTCAAAGGCTCCGATAGTGCGATACGCGGAACACGGTTTGTTAAAAGTCCCTATTATTACACTACCGGGACCGGGCGTGATGCTCAGGAGCCTGGATCCAGGCTCCAGCACGACCCCGAAGCGATCCATACGAGAACCACCCTACAAAAATAAGGAGACGCCATGTTGGATTCTTTACGGCTTGGCTTAGAAACGGCTTCAAAGTAGGCTACTACGTCCCAAACGTGTATATAGAAGTCGTTTTGAAAAGTAAGCCAGATATTTTATTAATAGCATGGTTAGCTCTTAATATAATTTTACAATTTACCGAATATAAAATAATAAGTTAACTCGTTCAAGTAATGAGAGCCCCCCACCACGGACGAGGAATTCGGCGCTACTGTACAAAACTCGACTCCATTGGCCCTATGGAATCCGTCCGGGGGTTGGTTGCGGTGAGGGCAGTGAGCGGCGGTGTGAGAGAGTGCGGATCGGTGCTGCTTTTGTTGCGTTTTCTTTTTGTCACCGTCGCCGCTGTCGCAGTCGCGGTACGGTGTAGTCGCGGGGTCGTTGTAACGTCCTTTATATGAGTTTATATGCATAGCAGCCATTCATTGCGCAGCATTCCCACCGAAATGGTTCTTTTTTTACCCTAAATGGACAGCGTTTAGTCTTCGCTTTTTTTTACCTTGTTTTCTTTTTAATTTATGGAAGCTTAGCGCGTAGAGAGTCAAGCGTTGAGCCCGTGGAAACGAACAACGAAGATGCCGTTAGAAGTGCAGTGGCCACTACCGAATCTCAACCAACCCAGCAAATTATGGCAGTTGGGCAGTTCCATGGTCGTCCCAGCGGTCGGAATACTCGCCAAGCTGTTTCATGGTAAGCATTTCAAAGGCTATTTTTATCGCCGTACACACCGCGGGCGCCCAAAATTCCGGTTACCCCAATGGGGGTCTGGAACACCTGCCACCAACGCGTTCCCCGCGTCGTGTTTGCGTCCTTGGGGACATTGGCGCGTGCCACCGCAGCTTTGTGGCTCTGCCCTGAATCCATGTGCGATCGTCCGCCCATCTTCCTACGACATTAGTAAGCAGTGGTCGGTGTAGAAGTAGAGTTTTGCCAGCCGTCATCCGTAATCACGGCGTCAAGTGTCGTAATATTGTGGAAATGGGTATGCATCACTATCAGCTGCATCATTAGCGAAGCGGATTAGTGGAAATATCGGGGAAAGCGAACGAAAGAAAGCGGATGCAGGAAAGAGTTAGGAGCACTTCCTGTTCGGAAGTAGTGGAGTGTTGGACGACACGCTCCTTGCGGTTCATTATCGGCGAAAAAAAAAAAAAAAAAAAAAAAAAAAAACTGCTTAAAAGCAGGTTGCACTCTCCAGATAGAAAGCGTATTCTCCAGCGTCATTATCGCAGGGAAAAATACTTGGCAAGAGCCCGAAGTTTCGTGCCATTGCCTCCGATACTGCTCTGGCCGTATCGAGCGATTGAGATCTTTGGCAGCCGTTCGTTGATCTCCGGCTAGCTGGATCTGCGTCGCGTCTTGGCCGAGCCATTCGCAGGAAAGGTGCGAGGTCGCGTAGCCAGTGACGTCAAACAAGCCGTCCTCGAGGGGGAGAAGGCTGGACATCTACCACGAGCGGAATCTCTCCTCGGATTGTTAAACCTGTGTGTGTTTTTCTACGCAGAATAGGTTTCCCCCTAACCGTCCTACGTCATGTGCGTGCTACCCCAATTTGTGCTTTGTTTTGGTAAACCGGTTTCTAATGCTTGCCTGAAAAGGTTGTGACGTTACTATGTTACCTAAAGTTGTCATCCAAGCTTTGTTTTGAAGTAAGGTTTTCTCCTTTCCTCAAAGAAAAAACCGGCCGTGATTAAAAAGGTCCCCTCCCCCCTTTTTACATTACATCTTACATTTTGCTGGGTCCTCTCCCCCCCTCCCTCATACAGCATTTGACGTAGGTGTCCCCCCCCCCCCCCCCCCCCCCCAAAAAAAAAAAAAAAAATCCTGGCTACGTGTCTGGCCAAGCCCGACAGATTATAAACATGAGCCCGAAAAAGTTTGCAGGCTTTAACCTAAAAACGGTCTAACTCTTCCAATTTGCTGGTGGAATCTATATGTTACCTTTTACCCGCTTGAAGGCTTTCCAAATGCAAGTCTTCTTGTTCCCTTTTTTTTTTTTTTTTGAAAGGCTCCATAATGACTTTGCTTTTTGCTTGTTTGTTTTCATTGAACTTAAAAGATCAGTGAGCGCACTTTGTTATCAACAACATGGGCTCAGGCCTTCGGGCTGGCCCGGGCCCGTGCAGTGCTCTACGTGTAAGTACGCGAATACACAACACTGAACTTAATAACATACATAGATGCATACCAGTTAGTCAAAACAAAGCACCAAAAACAAATCTCGTGTCTCTGCTCACCCTATGCAGCTGGTGAAGAACTGATAATTGAAGTTTACGTAAAAATGACCTAAAATAAAGTAACACTTCAAGTAAAAATGCCTCTAAGACACTGAGCGTAACGTTCAGCGTGCAGATTTCAAGCGTAAATCTACTTTAAAAAATCGCTGGTTCTGGAGGTTTGGTAGTGAAACGTGGGCATGAACAACAAGCACCGGCACGAGCTTGAAAGCTCATGTTCACTTGTAAATTTGTGTAACGCAAGCTTGTGTTCTCGGATTCAAAGTGATGTCTTGCTCGCCATTCTCTATTCTCTGATCTCCTTCAGTAAATTGCAGATTACGTGCCATACTTTTACGGAAATTATGTCTTCTTTGTGGCTAAATAAACAATCCCACGTACTAGGATAATGTTTACAAAATTAACTTAACAATTGACAATGCATACGCCTATATACCCGATAACTTTGACGGTCTATAAACCATCAACGTTATCGGGCAGCCGGCCTTTCATCTAAAAAAAAACGGCCGTGCCGGTCAAAAATCGGGCAGGTGGCAACTCCATTTTGAAATGATGGGTTTCATTTCTGGATTGTGTTTTGGTGCCCTTATCAAACTTTCTCCTCGGCATATTGGATGACGTCAGTACGGCCAAACTTCAAAAACAAGAACCGACTAAAAAAAAAAAAAAAAAAGGATGTTTCAGTTGTTGGGAATAGTTATGTTACAAGAGCTCGTTGGCAGCTGCTAATGCTGTGGGGGGAGCGGCTGTCCAATTTTTGGTAAGACTAAATGGTCTGCATTGGTTTGCTAGATGTACACAATAGCAGGTGTATCAGGTGTTTTCGAAAAAGAACCATGTTGTTTCATCAGAAAATGCTTGGCCTTCATATATTATGGCGCTAGCGATTGAGACCAGATGCCCGAGTTTTAGAACTTATTATCACCAGACCGAAAAGTTATAAGTGGGGTTCGGTTGTTTCAGGGTTTATTTTTCTATTCTGGGGGTGCTTTTTCGGGATTTATTTTTTTCCATGGATTCGGTGCTTTTCAGTATAAACTTTTCCGTGGAACGAAAAATCTGGCTTCATTGAGGCTCATGTTGAAGAACATAAAACTCGGGCATGGGATTCTCCTACCTCGAGGAAATATACGCATGACCCGAGCTTTGAAAAAACGACCCCTTACCGACAAGAGTAAGAACCAAGCTAAGATGTGTGGTTCCAAAGGACGAAGCAGCCTCGCAAACTGCTCATTGGGTCTGTGTCTAGGTCTACACAAAGCAAGGCTGTAGTCCGAGAATTTTCTTCCTGAGAAGCTTAGTTTTTTATATATTCGAGAGCAGGTTCAATTCTGCGTTTTTTCCCCCGACTCAAATAAAATCGTCTCGAAGGGAGGGGCGGGGGGGGGGGGGAGAGGGAGGGAGGGAGGGAGGGAGGGAGGGAGGGAGGGAGGGAGGGAGGAGGAGGAGGAGGAGGAGGAGGGGGGTCATTTTAAGTGTTTGTCGGTAGTTATCGAAATCACAAAACCCCAACTAAATGATTTTTTCTTCCTTTTAATGAGAAAATGAATGGTAGCTGCTACTGGGAACGCGTCCCATTTTGTAGTTAAAAAGTTCCGAAAATCGATTAACTTTTGAATGCCATAAGGCAAGTTCTGAAACTTCTGCATCTGGTCCCGACCACCAGTGCTATATTTGGAGGAAGCTGAGTGTTCGGCAATGCATAGTTTGTTTTTGCGCTGTAAAAAACGTGGTTCTCTTTTCTTACTAACGCTCGGTATTTACTATGCAGGCATTCTCTGTCGTTATTTGTGTGCCAGAGCACTGCTGTACCTTATGGCCTGCTCACACAGACTGTGTACGTTTTGCCGTGCCCTTCATTATTTTTTGGTGGAATACCGTATTCTGCGAGTTTGTGCCGTTTTCTGAGCCCTGACAATCGATACCAATGCTTCATGGACTGCAGTTTCCCAGTGGTTTGCATTTTTCTTTTTGGAATACACTACTCTGTCGAAACTAACAGGCTGCAACTTGGCTGGAAAGTAGGTGCAGTTTTGATATACCCAGTTTCAGATGCTACCATCAAAACAGTTCTTTAGTGCAAAGCTGTAGCACTAGCCAAAACAAAACTAAAAAAAAAAAAGGGAAACCAGAAAAAAAAAAAGTGCTGCATATTTTTTTTTTTAGAAACAAGGAACAGTTTACAAAAGCACATGTGGGAATATAAAACATACACCCGTTCTGCCAGTTCTTGCAAAATATATTTTGCTAAAACATTTCTTTTGTTTCTGGTTTTTCCCATTTCGTCAGCTTACTTTTTATTTTAACATTATCACTGCATTTTCACCGAAGGGGCCAGGAGTTCAAATAAAATGTGGCATGCAGTAGTCGCAGATGGCTGAACCGTAAAACACTTGTTTCCGTGCCTTAGAAAGCATGGCTTACTGTGTACGCCATATATTTCACATGCATGGTCTTTTTTTCTTTTTTTTTTCTTAGAGTGCTAAGGGTGGTTTGTGCTGCTACATTATTTGAGTGAACCTTCGTATTTGCCGTAATAAAAAAAATGAAAGAAAAAAAAAAGCTCCTCCAGTGACTCCACACAACTGAATTTTTTGGCTCTTGGTGAGGTAGTTATCAGGACAACAAGAAACTGTGTTGCTTGCCTCCTTTCTTATTTTCTTCTTTTAGCAAGTTGCCATTTTTTTTAGGACACTTCAGTGACTTGTCAAGGCACAACAGCTTCGTTTGATTTTACTTGCACTGGTGCAGAAAAGTGTGGGGCAGTGTACTTCCGGGAGTATTTCAATACATGTACCGGAAGTAGACTGCCCTACATCTTTCTGCTCAGGTGCAGGTAAATCGAACGAAGCTATTGTTTGCTTAGCTGAGAAATGTAGCGAAGGTTTGAGAGCCTATGGTGGCAAAGGTTGAGTGAGAAGAGTGGTTGGTGGCTTTCATTCTAACTTCCCTGTTTCCTCTCCCCTTTTCGTTCTCATGGAAGAGCCGCAGTTTCTTAAGAGAGCACAGGCATCGCGCAGAGCCCGAGTAATCCTCAAAGCAGGTGAGCTTCCCCGAGCGGGACTCACTCCTGTACGAGCCTTAACTGCTTGCCCCGCCTCCTCGGCTTCTCGTTTTGTTTTTTCACTTTATTGTTTTGGATTGTGTGTCATGGCCTGCCTACTTTAATGCACGTTCCTCCGGAGCCTGAGAGATGAGAGAGGCTGCCCTTGTTGTCTTTTCATTTTGTCTGCTGTGGCCTTCAAAGGCCAGCTGCAAGGGGAGGAAGTGTTTCCACCCCACTTAGTTTGTCGCATGCGGCGGTCTTGCGTAATGCCTGTGTAGGTTCTGCTTTCTCTTCCCTATAGTCGGTGACGGGTTATCGGTTCAGGGGAAACTCCTCTGCCTTCTATCCACTTTAGCAGAGTGAATGTTGGAAAGGAGGTCGCCTCATCTTCGGCGTTCTATCTGCTGAAGTGGAAAGAGGTGGGAGGAGCTTCCCCTGAACTTTTAGCCTGTCACCAACCATAGTGGTCTAGTAGTGGATGATTGTTTTTTGCATTGTGTTTTTGGCAGTTGCTGTGCCCTTCTTTAGATAGACTTGATTGTTTTTTTTTTGTTTCCTCTTTTCTTCGCATGCTTTCTATTTGTCTTTTAAGCATTGTGTTTCTTCTCTCTAAATGATACTTTTTGTAATGGCTATTGCACACATTGTTTTGAGTTGCAGTGGTTCTAAAACATGCAACTGCTTTTATTGCAATGCTGATGTAGATAGAAGGCAATTTGCAGGGTAAGGTTTGTTGCTGGGACTCTTCTATGTCAAAGGACAACTGCTGTTGGATTTTAAACTTTGATGCAGCTGCAAAATGTGGCCTTTAGTTTCATTTCTTAGTGCATCATCCCTTAGCTTTGAGAGACAGCTGAAGTTTTCTGATAACCTTTCATATATTTATGTGCACATACAAAAGGCCCTATGTTACCTGAATGACACCCAGGACTGTACACATCTCTGCTTTCAGAAAGTAAATATTTACCACAACAAAATCAATATTTTTTTAAGTGCTTAAAAAACGTCAAGCATATTTATTATATTAGCATTTTAATGTGATACTTGTATTTTTCTATCTTGAGTAAGACAAATGGCAATAATAGTTGTCTAGCTTGCCTAATATTAATTTATTTTAATCCACCATTTTGATGACTTCTCTGCCTGAATTGGGCTGCATTTGCTTTGCATATTGAATTTACTCAAGACTAGCAAAGGTGAAAAATTTGCAGGTTGCTGTAAGACTGGCAAAATTCATAGGCACATTGAAAGACGATAACTGACCTTTTTGTGCATACTTTCTCGTAGGATGGTTCAACACTGTCAATGTGTACAACAAGGAAGTTCTCTTCAATGCCATTGAGAACAGACCGAAAGACGTTCCACTAATCACGGTCTGCAATCATCACTCTTGCTTGGATGACCCTTTCATTTGGGGTGAGTGAGCATTACTGTTTCTGGCTCGTGATGTGATCTATTCTTTCACTTGGTACTTCGTTTTTTGTGTGACATGAGAATATGTGTTCTACCATGTTTCTTTCACGTATAGCCTGCACTGTATAGAGAAAGAAAAAGCCCGTGTGTCTACTCGTTGATGAAGTATCTAAGAGGTTTACAAAACAGTGCTTTAGGCCAGGGGATTTCAAACCTTTCTCTCTTGAGGAATGCATACCTCTCTTGTTGGTGGCCGAGGAACCTCTCAGAGTTTCAGTGCTGAGAAGACTACAGACCTTGTAAACATTAAGTCAGATAATTGGAAGTGGCTTGGCTCATAGTTAAGTATTAGTGGGTGGCTCAGGTCTGCTATAATAATGCTTAATTAAACTGATAGAATGCTTACTCAAAGGCAAGGACGGTCGAGGAAACTTGGGAGCTCGAGGTGCCCCTTGGGATACTGTGGGGCACCCCTGGGTTTTGAGATCCCATGCTATAGACAGTGAAACAATGCACATTATACTGTTGGCCTCATTATTTGTGAGACTCGTAGATGGAAGGACGCTGAGACGACTTGTACGCCTTTGCAGGGATGCTGGAGCTGCGGCACATCTTCAAGCAGCAATGCATGCGCTGGAGTGTGGCGGCCCACGACATCTGCTTCACCAACGAGCTGCACTCCCGCTTCTTTGCCATGGGCAAGACGGTGCCAGTGTGCCGGGGGGAAGGCGTCTTCCAGAAGGGCATGGACTACTGCATAGATCTGCTCAACAGGGGCATGTGGGTCCACATCTTCCCCGAGGGAAAGGTCAACATGGTCACCCAAGAGTTCCTGCGGCTCAAGTGGGGTGCGCCCTCCTCCTTCCTTTTGCACTCTTTTGTAGCACCGGCTCCAGTGGCTCAGGCTGCACTCCTTTTTGAGGATTCCATGCAGTACGATATATCAGATTAAAATTCTGATATACCGGAAGCAGTGATCTCTATTTTGGTTCCGGGAATCACTTTGTGGCAGTGGGATAGCTAGCGGTTTTTTCATTAGTTTGATTGCTCCAACTGTATGAGCTCATTGATGCAGGATGGGGTGCTTACAGTGATGTGAATAGTATAGACGTGGATTACTAAATCTTGGATGGAGAAGCTTGAGAATGAAGTTCACCGCGAGCTTCGTGCTTCGTAAAGGTCTTCTGTAGGACTGTCGTTGGGAAGCAGAATCAGCAAAAGATGCCAGATTCCCAACCGAGCGCACTCGGCCGTCCTCAGTGCAGTCTCGGAGAACCAGCCTGGACTGTGTCTGTGCTATCGTGGTGAAAGGCGGCATCGGGTGAAGCATGACATTAGTCTGGCAGCTCTCTGCCGTTGTGCTTCAATACAGTGACATAGCCATGAATTCTTTTCGGGGGAGGGGGAGGGGGAGGAGGGGAGGGGGAGGGGAGGGGAGGGGAGGGGAGGGGGGGGGGGGGAGGGGCGTGGTGGAGGCAGGGGCGTGGTGGAGGCAGGGCTGAGGTGGCTGAGATGTCCATGACCTGGTGTCTGGAGAGGGGGAGGGGGGTTCAAAATGCATGTGTATATTATAGGGTCAGCTGGATCACCGGGGGGGGGGGTGAAGTGAAGGTGAAGTGAAACCCCGCAAGTTCTCCCTTCCCTGGCTACGTCCCTGCTTCGATAGTACCCGATGCCATGCGCTCCCTTGTTCATGCTAGATGTGATGGAGGTAGTACAGTGGCTCTAGTCAGTTTGAGCGCAAGGTGTCTCTAATCAGAGTGTGGCTCTGTGCAATTTTGTTTTTAAGTAAAGCATTCCCAGCTGTGGCCAGGCAGATGGCACAAAGTGCATGAAATACGTGCTGACAAAATAGTGATTTCAAAACAAAATATATATTGTTTTTTATGTGCAAGAAGTAGCACTTCACAGTTGTATTACTAGCAGAAATTGCTACACTTGGAGAAGCCTTTAGGAATGTGGACTGTCCTGAGGAGGACAGGGACATCTTGCTGTTGTTTCAAGCTGTGGCAGTCATCAAGCACCAGCCTGCCATTGGTATCTCATGACATTCTTTCATAACCGTATACTCCGTTTCACAATAAATAACTTGGCGAACTATGGAAGCTAATGCCCCGCGACCCAATAAGAATGTTGGAGCGAGGCACATAACCCGACGTTACTGGAAAGTTTGTGTCTCCACGCCAAATGCGAGGCTCGAGAATCAGAGGAACCGGCTGTCGTCTGCTAGCCAAGAGTCGTCTGCTCCAAAACCAACCAACTTCGGATGAACACCAACCGCAGTAAAATATCCGGCCGCTAGAATAGCAAGCATTTCAGGAACAGTTCATGAGACAACCATATGCTCAATTCAGTCGCGAACCTGTGACAGGTGCTAATGCTAGGGTACAGTGCAATGTTTTGAGTGGAAACAGCCGATAACACGGCTGCAATTTCCGACGGCCACGGCACTACTAGGCGAAAAAAATCTATCGGATACGGATTTGGCATCACTTCTTTGGTTTAAATATTATTGAAACTCTTAAATTTGTGATTATTTGTTCTTTATTCTTCATATCTTCTCGTTATAGATGGAATCGCGCGAGTTCAATTGCCGTTAAAAGGAAAAGAAGCCTAGAACTACTTTTTGTCGCGGAGGGCACTGTTGCTGTGGCAGAAACGCGGTCCCGGTGGCCTCGACCATGGAATGTTATCACGTGCCTTGCTCCGGCACCCTTATTGGTTCGCAGAGGCCGCAGCCTCCACGGTTCGCCAGGTTATCGCGAAGCAAAGTGTAGTAATAGTTCTCAATCTTTTTTCACTATATAGTAAGTACAGAAGTGAGCTTTTTTAGCTGGTTTTTTTTAAATAATCACTGCTGTTTTGTCTCCTTCCTTGCACTGAATTTCTAATGAGGTTCCTCTTGTATTTGTGAAGGCGTCGGACGGCTGATAGCAGAGAGCAAGAAATGTCCCATCGTCATTCCCTTCTGGCACGTTGGTAGGTGTCCCAACAAAAATGGTGCTGAATGGCACCTTTTGCTATGCTTCTTGCCAACACTTTTTTCCTTCTTTTTGCTGTAGGCATGAACAATGTGCTGCCAAACAAGGAGCCCTACGTTCCACACTGGGGACAGGTGAGACCCACGTGGCTTTCAATCGGGCGACCGATTTTAAATTTGAGAGACTCCTTAATTTCCGCTCCAGTCTCTCGGTAATTACCCCATCCTCTCTATACTGCTTCTATTATTCCAATGATTTATTTGCTAGTTTTAACCTCATAAGTTAGTGTTTCGTTTGCTAGTGTTGGAGGACTGAACTAAAGAGGGTTGGAAAAAGTGATTGAACAAACCAAAAAGCACCGCATAAAGGCAGTGGGAAGTGCTTCATCATATAAACCACAGCATATACAGCTGGTTTTATTGGGTTGCTTCAGTCTATGCCATTTACTTCTGTTTTCGTCTTATGCTTTTGAATGGGGAAGGTGACCAATGTGTGCAATAATATCCGGTCTGCAGTATTCATATAAAAGGTATACTTTCTTTATTTCTCTTATGCTCTCTTTTTTTATTTTTTTGTTTCCATGGATCTATCAACAAAATGCACATAGTTACCCCTAGGCCCTAGAGAAGCACAGGACCATTTAACTTCAGAGGAAGCAGACTTATGAAGTAATCTGTTACTTTTGCAAATTATTTTGTAATTGCCATGCCATTTCTTGCGCAATGTGTTATGTAATTTCGTTACAAAATTGGTAATGGATTAATTTAATTGCTGGTTAGTTTTTAAACATATGAACATAATACAGACACTGGAACAATATTGCCACGCGCGTCACTGAGCGAGTGTGTACGTGGCCAAATGGTTACTGTGCTTGGCTGTTGCGCAGAAGATCTGGGTTCAATTCCAGGCAGTGGAATGTTCTTTTATTTATTCTTTCTACTTGGCGTTTTCGCAAACTCGAGAATTTTCTTGTCTGATAGAGTTATGAATGTTCTACAAGCCGTACGTTCTAGGCTGAATGTTCCAGAGATCCACGCGACTACAGAAGGTGCTTTGCGTGGCAAGCCGCAGTCGCTCTCGCCCCAGCGTTCTATCCTGCTGTTACGCCGCCACCGACGCCCGCGACGCTCTATTGTTAGCTTCTGTTTCCTTTTTATTTTGGGCACAAGTTCGCCCCAGTAAGCGTTTAGTTTGTTTCAGTTTTCGTCACCTCATCATTTGTCATTCGTGACAATATGAGTAGGCAGTTCAGCAGCATAAAGATAACAAGTTTAACAAAATAAAAAACAATATAAAAGAGAAACGAAAAAAAAATTGTATGACAGGTTACTAGAATTTTTGAAAAACGTGCAAGGCATATACAACTATGTGAAAAACAAAGATCAAGAAGACAACGCCAAGTAGGCATTATCCTTTTGTTCTCCTAGCAGAGGTAGATGATGCTAATAAACATGCGCACTGCTAGCTTTGTCTGCAGAATTCTAGGGATCATTTCCGGTTGCTGTAATCTAGCGGGATGGCAGATGTAGTTGTAGCTTTCGCTGCCTTACTAGCTTACAGTAAAACGGAGTGCACCGACATTGTTTTTCTAAATTACATTATTTTGTTTTTACAATGACTGCCATAATGTGGGCATATAAAAGGAAAAAAGGAAAGTAGTGTTGCAGAACATTTTTGAAATCATCAAAATTGTTTCTATTGTTTTCTCGCTAAGTGTACAGGAAAAGAAACGTGAAGGTAATTTGTAATGTAACGAGAAAGTAATCCATTACTTTTCAGCCAAAGTAATTTGTAACGGTAATTCATTACATTTGAGGCTCGGTAATTTGTAATTGTAATCAATTACATTTTTCAAGTAATGGGCACAAGTCTGAGAGTAACTCACTGGAGGCTTAAAGAAGGAATAGGAATAACAATAGTAACTAGCAGGTCGGAAAAATTTTTCTCCCACGCTGTTCGACTCAAAGCTGAGATAAAACTAACTTGAAACCGGAGGCGGTGCAAAGTTAAATTTTTGGTTACCATAAGTTGCTCACACCTTGCTGGTTTTGTTTTCAGATGGTGACCATTTTAATCGGCGATCCAATCGATTTCTCGCCACTACGGGACACCATGAAGAAGCAAGAGAAGAGTGCGGTAAGGTTTTGAAGTTCTGTTTTCTAGGAAGCAGCAAAAACACACTGTTCGTTTGGTGGAATAGGATGGGCACCCCACAATATACTTTGTTCTTAAAAGAACTCGCACCACTTTTGTATGTTTTATCAGGATATTTTGCGCAACATGTCTCCTGTTCCCTGCATCCAAAACTTTATGACACTTGTCACTGTTAAAGGGCAACTCTGCTTCATTTTTGTTTTTGAAAAAACAATGCAGTCCTCTTCAGTATCACATAAGAAGGCCACGTGTCAAATATTACTACCTAGTGCTGTTTAAATGTTTCTTAAACAGTCCGGAAAAATGCAGCACGCCAACTGGCCGGAATTGGCTGACTTTAGCAGGCGAATCGAGGTGCAACTAACAGCGCAGTCAAGGCTACGGCATTGGAGTAGCCAACATTGAGCTAAACACCATCACCATTGCCCCTTTTTGTTTGTTTTTACTTCTCTGGGCAAGTGTAATGGGTGACGTCAGCAACATTTCCTCTCAGCGCTCAGCGGTGTTTATGTGATACAGCGTGCTTCTTTGGAGCCAGCCGACCACCCCACCGTTACTGCTGTCTCCTGTGTCACAACCGCTGTCGTCACCTCACCGGTCATGATTATTGTCTCTCGGAGTTTCGTTCACTCTACATGCGCAGACTGAGACCGCAGTTGTGCAGGACATTGTCTGATGTTGAAGACACCAAAACGTAGCAAAGACTGCGGTGAAGACGACACTTGCGCCTGGCACACGCCCGACCCAACCATGGCCTGCCTAGGCGTAGAGGGTCATGTGACATCTCGCACCACGTGATAGCCATGTTTTTGGCGGCCCAAGAGGCCAGTGTTGCCAGACAAAGCCGAAGTTTCGATTTCTGTTCACGTTTAAAGTAAGATTTAACAATATATATCCCATTTTTTCCGAAGCAAATGACATACCGTAGAATATCGCGCATCTGCCAATTCCACACTAAGCGCCCATACCCAAATTTGTAAGATCTGAGAAAATATGCACAGTACATTGATGTTTAAAATTGATGACCGGACAAGCGCCCATATCCCATTTTTTAGCGATTATCTCTAAATTTTGAGTGGGCGCTTGCCCGTTATTTTACATTAGTGTCTTTTATTTATGCTTGTGATATCACTCATTATCCTGAAATTTTCGGAATTCAGCGCAGTTGCTTTTTAATAGAGTTGGTCCTTCAATATTCCTTTGGGTGTGCCTTTCTGGTTCTAGAACTTCTTTGAGTTACTGATGGGTTGGCATATACTGTCTTTGCTGTGAGGCTGTGGCCCAGCACTTTAAGAAAGGTAATAAATTGGTGAGTTGATGAATCCTGTTACAATGTTTGTTTCCTCCTGGGTGCAGATGGAGCAACGCAAAGCCATAACAGACACCATCCAGGAGGAGTTTGGAGAGCTCAAGAGTCGTGCGGAGACGCTACACCAACTGAGCTTGCCCTCCTGCTAACAAAACTGTTATCCTACTTGATTCAATTTTTGATGGTGTGCTTGTCGACGCGTGCCGCAACTTGAAACAAGAGCCGACACATTGGTGTGGTCCTTGAAGTTAATCGGTCAGTTAGTGAGGAGCAGCCTTTATTTCCAGGGGCCTGCAAAGTTATTGCTGATGCAGCTTGTCCTTCTTTTTCTAAGTTCAAAAATTGTTTCTCACGCTCAAGCTTGGTACTGGTAAATCTGCGTTTTTATATTTAAGTACCTAGCAGTTGTATGTTTTTAAAGTGCACCCAACAGATGTTTGTTTTAGTCAAGCGACCAACAAAAGTGTCACGTGCAAACTATCGCGGTTATACATCGTTTTCTCTGCTTGAAAAAGCAGACATTAGTAATTTCAACGAGTTGATCAGCCTGCGAGGGTTGTTTTAGCGAGTCCTGTTACTATGTTTATTTTGTTTTGTGGTGCATGTGCACACTTTTATTAAGAGAGCTTTATGCGGCTGTTATTGACTGCCATACTGCTGGCACGAGTGTTGTGATTGATGGTTCGGTTCTGGGATAACGGTGTTCTGGCTGGTGTTTTTAAGCAGGAACGTGTGGGAGCCGATGCGAGTGTTGCCCTAAAAGTCCTGCAACTATTCAATGCGCGGTATATTTGGAAGCGTGCCACATCCTTCATTGTTGCCATTTTTTTGTTGAGAGTATGTATGCTGTGATATACTTGCACGTCATTGACCGGATTTTTGTCTCGTTTTAATCAGGGAGGTTAGTACGAAGCCTGTTTATTCTGTTGGGCAGCAGAGCTCTGTTGGGAGGCTGCACCCTTGACTGGATCTGGAGCCATGTATGATTTCAGCGTGGTAAATGGGTAAAGCAAAAATTATTTCTGCAAAACATTATGTTGTGTTTTATGACTGAGATGCCACTAGATGGTGGATTTGTCTCTTGCAAATATTGCACAAAGAATTTTTTTTTAGAAGGGTAATTGCACAGGTTATTTTTATTGGTATACTTTTTGAGGAGCTACACTGTTAATTTCAGGAGAACTTATTTTCTTTTTCTTTCTAAAATAATACATTGTGGTACCCTTCCTTGTCGTCTGCATTGATAAAATTTGATGGATACTCGTGGCTTTTGATAAAGGTAAACTCGATATTTGCCCTAAACAAACCCACGTCTGCTGCTGTATGCTTGGCATAAATTAGTTTCACTTCTTGAGGCACATTTTTGCAGTTGGTCTAGTCTGACCATTTGTTGTAGAAAAGATGTGTACAGTAATCACCCAAACACCATCCTCCATAGTAGTTGTGAATAGTGTATCGCGCCTTTCATGGTATACCCAGTTTGCATCATCTCTGCTTAGAGGTGTACGCTTGTAGTTGGCATTTGGACTTTGATGCAATGGACGGCTCTTTAGAGACAAGAGTTTCGCTGTCTCTAACGAGCAAGTTGCACCTTGCTTGAGAGTACTTAACACGTACAATAGAAATATTTAATGTTTGATAAATTACTGTTTTGGAAGTTGGCGTACAGGAATATAATGTTTAAATTTGTGAACTTTGAATAACATTAAAAAAAAATCTGTTTGAAATAAATTTGCACATTGGGGAGAGACAAGTTTGTTTTTGTAACAGTTTATTTCTTTAAATTATTGTACAAAGGGTATGATTTCACAAATAAATTGTTGAGCCTGCAACGTTCTTCGATGATGGTTCACCCTTCTTTTTTTGGAGCATATCTTTCACAAGATGGAGATTCTTAGCAATCATAGGTAAGACACATAAGGCTCGCTTTGCTTCGTGGAGCAGGACCTTGCCTCAGCATGCAAGCCTTGAAGGTAGCTCCTTATGCTCCACTAAAGTGTGTCTACTGAAAGACTACCACAGCGTCCTGCTTGTGCTGAGACCATTGCACTTCTATTTTGCTCCGACTGGTTGCTTACTCTCTTGCTTATGTACAGTGACTAGTCGGACTACCAACACACTAACATAGATCGCTTATGTAGTGCTGAATACTAGATCCTAAGTAGTAGTGTTGCAGATCTCTGAATATGAGAACTATGTACAGATGAAAGAGATGGTTGCAAGTCGCGAAGCTAGCTTGTGGCCGTTGTCTTTGTCTGGAACAGTTGTTCGGCTGCTGAAGCCCAGCTGAAGCCGTGCTGCAGACCCAGATCGACGATGCTCCTGAACGTGTCTTCCCTGTTATTCACTGCCCCGAACGTGAAGACCTGTAACGAGAAAACCAGTGGTTATGATTTAGCTCATCGCAGGAAGGGCTGTGAAAGCTGCTTCAAAAATGTACCTAAGATACCATTACAGTTAATTCGTACAAAAAGGTACCTAGGCACTTGCTTAAAAATGTACCTAGGTACAGGCACAGTTACTTCAAAGTTTACATATTTTCTCCATATTTGTGAGAATATATTGGAAGTAAAGCTTTTTATACTAAGGATACAAAATGGTGTTTATTGGTGTCAATATGAGATAAGGAAAACCGCATTCACATGGGCATTCCAGGATACGTTATCTTCTTCACTTCAGTGCTCTATGTGAGTTTAGAATCAGGACCGACCGACCCCCCCCCCCCCCCCCCCCCCCCGAAGTGTTTATCTGACATCTTGGATTGCAGTTTAGTAGCAATTTTTCCTCCTGCGCTAAAAATGCGTTCCACCGCCGATCTGCTTGGAGGCTCAGTGTTGAATTTTAAGAACACGCTTTTTAGCCACGGCGTGTGCTTGAGACACTCCAGACCTCTTGTCGGAGCAAGTTCGGCGTACTGTACAAATTCCTGCTCCCGTGATGCAGATGAGGACAATTTTTCTAAGTTAAGTGCTCGTAGCCTTCATCGTCGCCTCTGTTCGCCGGACCGGACGCTTTTTCCATAGTTGATGTTTGCATAAGTTTGTTCTTTAGATAATCCCAGGCCCGTTTCCGTTCTGCTTCGTTGTTTATCCACGCTACCTTAAATTTGGGATGGCACACGGCAGATATTATCGAATGTTTTTATTCTGGAGAGTATAATTGCACTTTGGCGGTTTGATCTGATAAATAAAAAAGATTGTCGATTCCTGTGAAGCCGAAGGGGACCCACGAGACACTGACCGATAATGGAACCACGGGTTTCCCAGGAATTGCAATAGGGGGAGGGGGCATTGAGAGTAGAGGAGTAATTGCGAATTAAGAACGCTCCCGAACAGTTTGTCAAAATCTCTAATCAGTTGTGGATGCCGCCCAGAAGTCCACTCGGATTAAATGTTGTATTAAGAGCCGAAATGTCAGAGGGAAAGTTAAGAGCTCATTGAGAGACACGAATTACCTGATTGCAACGTGATGCGGTTCGCGTGCATTTTTTTTTCCCGACTAGTGAAAAATCTTGTGAAACATGACAAAGTGACCCGATAACGCGCCCGCCCATAGGCCAAAAAAGAACCAAAAAAAAAACCCGCAAGACGCATGCATAGCGCTTTATTTCTTTCGTAAACAAAAGCCCTCATGTTTTATATACTGGGTTCCGTATCTGGGACGCGGGGCAAAACAATATTAAGACATTTCAACCTGGAATATCCGAGAAAATGTAAGTGACTCAAAACAAGAATGTGCGACAATCACGCATTTTTCGGGAACACCTTCCAGCGGCGTGGAGAGATTAAAACTACTTTTTAACGCATACCAGAAGTGACGACATTCAACGTGGCTGAGCCCTTGTAAAAAAAGGTGCATAGGACATGTACGGATATTGTATCGGCGCTAAGTGTTGCAAATGAAAAGCAGGGAAGCTCTATGCCGTGTCGAATGTTGGGACCTGCGAAAGGAATTGGACATAATAGGATTGGATCAGTTGAGTCGATACATAAGCCCGTTTCCTGGACGAATTACTTGATATATAAGTTGTTTCCCCGCTTTGTATTTGCAGAAGAAAAAGAGCACAACTTACATCGCCAGTGCTCGTTGTTACCACTAGTGACATGCCGTCACCAGGGATCCAGGAATATGGCCTTCCCTGCAGGTTACCGAAGACACGACGGAGTTAGAAACGTGATCATTAATCTACCCCCTCTCCCAGAAGCGTTAATTTTAATTTTGGCTTACCTTCTCCAACTTCATGATCCTAGTGAGAGGGATTGCGACGTTCTTGGGGTGCTGGCTCTTGTAGCGCAGAAACAACAAATAACTGAAAACAAAATTAAAAAAAAAAAGTTATTTTCGTGGTTATTTTCTTAATTCTATTTAGTAATTGGGGTATTCTAGACGATGCTGATTAAGTCCTTAATCATAAAGGCGATTTTTCGATGCACATCTTTTGCCTCTTTAGATGCGCGCCGCAAGAGCGAGGAAGAGAGATTAGGATTCAGTAGACCGGCCTCAACAGCCAGTATGGTTACGCCAGAGCCGTGTACACAGAAGGGCGTGCACCAGACGCAGAAAGAGGGCTTGGCATGCTCTCTTGGCCAACCAGAAGCCGCCTAAAAGAATCCCCTAGCGGTGGTAGCGAAAAACAGTTTTAATCGTTTTAATAAGCGCGTAAGAGTTAAGTGTAGTAACCCTTCATGGTTAAAAATAGGGTGCATGTGATGTATCGATCATGATCATGCAGAAAGATGTAAGAAACGAATGTGCCACTCGAACTCTGTTTTGCTCGGACAGGGAGTGACTGCTCGGACAGCAGTTTCCCGGCCCTCGGCGCCTGGCGTACAGATTATGTCGATCGTTCCGCTAGTCGCATTCTTCCACCATGATTTTGGATGACCGTGATTGAAACATCACGTGCACCATATTTTCAGTCACCAAGAGTTACTCCGACGCACTTATTAGGTTTGTTTCACGCGACCACCGCCAGGGTATTATTTCCGGCAACTGGTTGGCCACACTCGAATTTGTGAAGACGCCATGGAACACGCCCAGCCCGCCTTCGGCCAATGGCGCCTCCTCATTTGTCTCCTATACTTCCCAACGAATGGCCAAACTCTTTACGTATCATACGGCTCTAGGCTACGCCACCGCCGCCGTAATGCCACCTGCCTACTGTGAACTAAAATTATGGCGGCCTCACACATGCGCCGGTCTATATCCAAGTTTGGTTAAATCGTTGCACGCAGCGTACCCTGGTGGCGTACTTAGTTTTGTTAATAGGCAGTTTTAGGGAACCGTCTTCTGCACATCCGATACGGTATACGATGGACCCTCCGGTACGAACTGCGCATGCGCTACTGCAGAAGACTCGCGCATGCGCAGTTCGTACCGGAGGGCTCATCGTATACCGTATTGGATCTGCAAAAGCGGTTCCCAAAAACTCTATAATGTCCATAAAGTTCTGGGGATGCCTTGTGGACGTTCATAGGACATACCGAGGATGTTCCCAGGACTAAGTGTGCTACTAATGCACATACGTGCGCCATCAATCAGGCCGGCAAGCAGGTGTTAGTTCCACGTTTGCACTAACCTTGGCGCATACTGTAGCTAAATGGGGGAGCAAGTGCGACTCACTTGTTTGTCAGGTAGAGGCGTCCGTTACGGAAGGCTGACGTTAGCGACCGTTCTTTCTTGATCAGGGTGCACTTCCTGCCTTGTTCCCAACCTGAAGACAGACGAAGGAAAGATCAGGATATACAGGTTTCGGGACAAGGGGGAAAAAAGTAAAAAGAGTCGCTAGTTGGTGCGTTACTCTAGACGAACAGCTATTATGGCAGGCTCTCTCTTTCAGTTATCTAAGTTTTACCTTATGCCACAAGCAATGCTTCCTCTTAGAATGCATGTCTTGACATTTTTGTGTAAAAGTGTCAAAAATGATGAAGACGAGACCAGGATACGCGAAACGAGTGAACCATGCATCGACTAATAAACTATACATAACATATTAGTAAGGGTGAATCAGCACCATCTTTCGCAAAAGCTACAATGTCGCCTGTCCGTCTCCTGCTAAAAACGGAATGCGAATGGCTTTTCAGCTTACCGGGGACGCAGGTTTCCGAGCTCGAGATGCCAAAAATTCCGTTGAGCAAGTGTGCCTCTTCCTCCCTGAAGGACACGGGAGACCCCGACCGGCTTTCGCAGACGTTGTTGTTGATGGTGATCACCGGTGCTTGGCCAGCCTGCGGGGACACGGATGGCAGACCGATGTGTTAACCGTGGCCGCCAAAAATGATTATACTGTGTTGTCTGTTGCAGATGAAGAAAAGCAGCTCCTCCGACAAAGCCCTCCACTCTTTCCACTTCAGCAGAGCGAACGCTGGAAACGAAGCGAGTGGAGAGGTGGAAACCACCAATTATGGCGAGCAGACGCTTTGTGGGAGAACTTGTCTTGCTCTTCTTAACCTGCTATCAGCTGTAAGTTAAAGAGATACCACGCATAGTACGTCCAGCTAGGTACTAGTACACTAAAGAATGCCTGCGCCTCTACTTTTCCGCAGAGCATGCGATGCGGGCGATAAGAACGGGCTGATCACAAAGATCTATGGCGGCCGACGGAGTTCTCGAATATATAGAGCTAAATGCCGCCATCTGTTACCGAAAACGGGTCCCATTTTCCCATTGAAAATTTCAAAAAATTACTTACAGCTTTTGAATGAGATAACGATTAGTTTTGAAACACTGGCATATGGTTGGGACCACCACCGCCACATTTGGATGGAGAATGAGCGTTTGGCAAAACGTAACTTTTTTTTTTTTTCAATAAAAAAAAAAGGTTGTAAACTTTTTTTCTTGGGGGTGGGAAGGCATTGTAGATCATTTTAACATTCGCCTTTTACGTGCTGCCATTTTTGCCTACTTGGCTTTGGAATGCGTTCTGAGCATAGGTCTGCAGAATATGAAACGCCGCGCATGCGCCCAAATAAATCCCAGTAATCCGTCACTTTTCGTCCGGGTGATAAGAGCTGCGAACAAATACGAATACGCATACTAAAAGTGCAAGTCACCCGTCCTTCAAGGTACATGATTGGTTTGGCGATGATAGAAGACCTAAAGGAACAGTGACGAAGACCACGACGGTGTGCTTTGACGCTGTTCGGCTGTTCTTCTATCAACTAACTGCATTCGCTTACGTTTCCGAGTGAGCGCACGACCAGGTGCAGTCACTCACGTCGGACTTCTTCTTGGACAGCTTCTCCTTCTTCTTGCTCTGGCGAGCCTGCCTCTCGATCTCGGGTCCCGTGGGCAGCTCGTTCCACAGGATCCAGGCGAGGTCGTACTTGGCGCGCACCTTGGGGAAGCGCGCGAACACGTAGTCCAGGAAAAATACCTTCACGGTGGTCAACGTCCCTGCGAGACGAGGAGCGCAGGACAATCGGTTAGTTGGTTGTACTCCAGAGAACGGGAAAGGGCATGCCCCCGTGTACGAAGGCGGAAACGGGTGAGTCGAACTCAGCAGAATGTTTATGTTGGTACAAACGCTCGCGCATCTCTCCAAGCTCATCTCTGTACAAGTTTGCGAGTTGTAGTATATAGAACGTGACGGAGATAGCGGTAGCAATCACAAACCACGGAATTGATACATAAACAAACAAAGTTCCACGTTAAGAGCCTCTGGCATCATCGACCAGGCAGCTCCTCCATTTGCAGGCCAGCACCAAACTGACCAAACTTTACTGCTAGAGGTATCAGGCAGTGCCGTCATATGTCGCATGCCAGGATTATTTCTCGCCTCTGTTTGCACACTTGGGGTGGTTGATAAATTGCGTGCGCGAGCTGTGTCCCGAACCTTCAGTGCTACAAGCCCTTTTCAACGCATCCGAAATGTTTCGAGTATACTTTGTTACCGTCCAAGTCTACTCGTTGATCGGGTTTCATAGGCCGTGTAGTTGTGTTAAAAAAAAAAAAAAAAAAAAAAAAAAACTGCCTGACCACATGCATGGTGGTACAAGGTATATGTAAGCATGAAAATTTGAATGAGGTGAGTTTAGGAACTTTAGGAGGTCTTCAAACTGTCTTTAGCCCTTACCGAGAACTTTGATCACTTCCGAAGTTGGTCTCAACAAGGAGTACACCACGACGCAAAGCAGGAATCCCAGAACCTTCATTGTTACTGACGGTCTCCTCCAGGTCCACAGACTGCAATGTAGACACACACAGCTGCACTCTCTAGTATCTCGCGATTGCCTCTGCATCACATACAAAATGTCATTTCGAGACGTGCAACAACATCGACAGTCCGCGCGCGCGCCCGACAGGGGGGCTTTGTTTTGCGTTTGGGCTCCATTCTGTGCTCCTGGAACGCTTTCAGACATACTAGGCCACGTGAAGTGATCTACTTAATTATTTTGTTTAAATAACAAAAAAAAAAAATGAAAAGAGAAAGCCTTTACCTCATTCCCTTGTCAAAGACGTCGGACATCATGTGGAAGCTTTTCTGTTGAAATGAAACGACGAATGATTGAATTTCCTCTTAATATCACAGCCAAATCTCGCGCAGACAAATTGATTTCCTGATAGTTGTAATGTTTCTACATAAGTGACCCTTACCGCGATTTTCATGTTGAGTGACATGATGGCCGGTACCTTGTCGATTCCCATTCCAATGCCAAGCTTCTTGTGGTCAGTCTGAAAGATACATCAGGGCAGAGTGTTAGCTCATGCAAGCGGCCTGCGTTCTCAATAGAGACTTCGAGTAGATCGTACGCTAGAGAATGGCGTTGCTAGCGGGAGTTCGTGCCGTCACTTCGAAGCACGGATCGAGCACACGCCCGATAGGCCCAAAATCCACAGCGCTCGATATACTAAAAATCTCATTTTTGCTTGTGGCTTTGTCGCGCAGAATCACCATTCCGATTTCTTACCGTAAACATGTCTTCTTTAGGTCCAAGAAAACCCCTGAAAATACAAGGAAAAGTGCCTGTAAACATTTGGTTGGCTCCTCTCGAACTCGAGCGCGACACCATAGCGATTATTGTGGTACCTACATTTTGTTTACGTAGTTTCTGATGAGTCCCAGTGCGATGGCAAAGAGGAGAAGTGTGAGCAGATAGTCGCCCCACAGTCCGTGCAGAAAAGCCTGTTCGAATGAGCGGACGGAAAATGTCAGCAATGTGCAGTTTTATATCTACAACAAACTGGTGTTCAGGCTGTCGGAAATTTTGCTAGAACGATGCCTAATATAAATTCATAATTGAAATAAAATGCTGAAAATGAACGAACAGATTCTAAATACGAACCCACTATTTTAAATGTTTTATTCAAATTCAACTGAAAAAAAAGTAATTTGTACTAATAAGACTAATGGAGCTAAACAAAATACTTGGATTCAGAAGTTTTAAAACTGGGAGTAAATGCCCCATTCATCTGTTTCTTTCAATTCTAGAATTCGTTCAGAAATAAGACTATAACCGTGTTAGTCAACCTTACTTCCCAAAAATGTTAAATGGTGAAAACAAAACAATTTAGTGCAGTTCTTTGGGTTTTGTCTAACACAAATTCTTACGTAGATAGCGTGGACGTTCTTCGCTACCTCCGCTTATTAACCCCTTCGACCTCTCAAACTCTGCATTCGCAATGAGTAAGACCACCAGCTACAATTTCTTGCTATCTAAGTTTCACAGAAGTTTCATTACTATTTGATGAACCTTGGTGAGGAGGCACGTGCCATTGTCACTCACCTATGTGCGCTTTCTGAAATTCCCACATGCATACTGCACCACGATGCACTCGCTCAGAACAAATCAATTGTCCTCCTTTAACAGTGTGACCAATGAGAAGAAAGATTGGTATCATGCTCCAAAGGTCACAAAGTTTCATTGGTCAATATTATCAAAGGTAGGCCACTGATTGGTTGTCTCGAGTGCATCGAGGTGCAGTGTACAGACAGAGTGCCTGTGTCAGGCCGCGTTGTTAATTTCTGCTGGATGTTGTACTCACCCCGATGAAGAGCAATGTTTGAAGCGGTGACTTCCAGTGTATGAGCTTGGTGCACTCGTGTTGGACGCCTCTAAGGGAGCTGTCGACGCACGCTGTTGAATTAAAAAAATTATTTTTATAAATCTCTAAAAAAACGCTTTGTGCGTTTTCTTTTTGTTTGTTTGCTTGTTTTTGAGGTTTATTTTATGAGATATCTAATTTCTGAAGGCTTACCGAATCTGAAGAGGGTGTCCTTGGTGCTGTATAAAAAGTATGGAAACTTTGGTTAGTACAATCTCAACGGTACGCAGCTGCTGCAAAACATTGTTTCACACTCATATATATTTTTATTATTATTACAAAGCAACGTTTAAAATGAGTTAGACAAAAAAGTGACGTCTTCGAATCTCACTGGATCCCTGAAAACTAGAGCCAAGGTCGTAAGCTCACCATTTTGGTCCATGAAATGAACCAAAATCACGGAGAAATGTTTTGCGCACCCAGATTTTGTTATCCACACACCGGCACAACATGCGCACGTCACATCGTCTCCACATGCGGCTTTGGTGCTTGGCAGCATTAAAAAATAACGTTCCTGTCGTGGATAACGCACGAAGGACAACATCATTGTAAGATATCTGTGGACACGAGCCGGATTGATCAGTAGATTGCATATACAACGCCAAAAACGCTTACATCGACGAGGAACGCTTTCAGTACAATGACACCCCATCATCGATCTTGGCACGAATGATCCTTTCGAAGCTTCGAAAGGACCGAAATGACGATTTCCATAACAACAGATATCGTTCTGCCAATCGCTTTGCTGGACTTTGGTCGGTCTGCAGTTGGTGTCCTGCTAACCTGGTCGGGAGAGGGGGGGGGGGGGGGGGGGGGAGGGGGGGCAATAGCGCTACTTTCCCAGGATCCAGTGATATCAGTCGCGGCTACCGTCGTCAACTAAATTATTTTTTTTTTTTTGTATTGGTCACTGACCTGTACAAAAATAATTGGAGACAGCGTCGTGGCATGACGCTATCACTTACATGATGATTAGTTTTTGCTCCTACGACTCAGATATACCACAGGGCCTCTAATTGTATAAACGCCAGCGTATCCCTTTATTGGCAGAGCAGGTAAAGAGCCAGAAAAAAATAGAATCGCGTTGTCTTAGTCTGTTAAGAACTACGCAGCAGTACCGCCTATGTCATTTCAGACGCTCAGCGTGCGTAAGAGAGCACGTCGACGTTTGGAACACCATGCATGTGAGATGGTTCAAATTGGAGATGGTGACATTTAATTCGGAGACTGTGGACGAAAGATACACAAAATAAACAGGAATGATTGCGACTTCATTCTGTCTATTTTATTACGATTCCCTCCGTGCCCCAAGATATTTGAAATTATGCACGATGACGTCGTGAGAATAAAGTGATATACGTCGGAAAGGTTGTCTGTAATCAGGCAACCCCGTTCGGAGCGATGAGAGACATGGCATTTTCACACGTACTACTTGAGCGAGAAGGGTTCGTCGTCGTCTTTGGGCGGCAAGTCCGTCACTTCGACGTGGCAGCACTCGGAGAAGTCTTCCTGCAGCTCTGCCAACCATTCCTTCGCACTGGCCAGCCACGTGGCCGCCCAGGCCGTCTGCTTTGACTTTCTGGAGCGCTGCGACTGAGTCTCTGCAAGTCGACAGCCATTTGGATGTAGCTCCGACGCACGTGCGCAAGGTAGGGCGCCCCGCGAAGCCGACCCGTCGTCGTTATACATCGTTGCATCGGTACAATGAACCTTTCCCAAATTATCCAAGCACCAAAGAGAATGCCGGGAGCGTAGATGCGCAGGTTGTACGCGCTCGCCTAGTCACAGTATAAAGGATTCGAAGTAAATGATCAAAGTAAGGCGTTGAAGAGCGCACGTGTGAAGTCCCATTTGTTTCCGGTGATTGGTTTAGGACAGTTACTGCTGCAGACGTGAGTCCGTGCGGCGCGCGTAACTGAATTCGCAGGATGTTCTTTGGTGCTTGGGCAATTTAGAGGAAATACCATTAGAACTTATGCGGGACATCTAGGTTTTCGCGGTCTACACTCGCACCTCTTCCACGAAACCAAATTCTTATTACTTATGTCTTCGGAGTACTCTAACATGCACACTTCAGTGGAAGAGAAAGTTTATTAACGCGAAGAACTCTTTGTGTAGGTGTTCAGCATTTCGTGAATGAAGCCTGGATAAAAGCGTGGCTTTTTCAGTCTGTGTGTGTGGAGGGTTGGGGGGGGGGGGGGGGGGCGGGAAAGCCTTGCGGGGAATCCGGTCTGCATTCGGGAGATAGCAACTTGACACCCCGTCAAACGTGTTAGCCAAAAAAGTTCTTCGGTTAAGTACTTGACATTTCGTGAAGCCCACTTAAAAGTGAATGCTGGTTAAAAGCGTGGCCGCGATGCTCGACACTGATTATCATCGTTAGGAGTGAGGTGCTCGACTGTGATTGGTTAACGGGGAGGCGATGTGACCAGAGAGATAGGCGAGGAGGAGCTCGATCACCTGTGCGCACTGAGGGAGAGGAGCTCGAGAGTCTGGTTAAGCTCTGGAAGATCGCCAGGTTTATCAGCCAGATTAGCCGTAGTATCGCTTCAGTCTATGAGCAACTCTCAAATGTGCATATGCCACGCGCTAAATTATCTTATAAAGAGCGCCGCGCACGTAGGCGTCTGCCGTCTGGAAACTCAAAGTGTTACGAAAATATTTTCGTCTAATTAGAACGTCTCTGCGATTCTTACGTATCGGTTGAATTGTCTTATGCTTACGACGTCTACAAGCCAAAAGGCCCGTCTTCGATAGTTAGAAAAATTTTGAAATGAAAGCGCCTCGATCTGGCGCTTCCCCTTAATACGAATCTGTGTGTGGCAAAGCATCCTTCCCAGGACATCTGGTACACGAACGCAAAATTTGAATTTTTGATAGATATATATATATATAAAAAAAAGAAGGAAACATTGTTACTTTTAAAAGCAGAACTGCATTCTTACCCAAGATAGCACATATTTAGCGAGCGTCCGCTGTGTGCCGAGGCGTAGTATAAATCACTCTGGGAAAGTTGACCAGCGGCCAAATTCCTGCACCGCGAACCAACCGCTCGTGTGTGCACTCTTAATGTCGTCGTAAAAAAAAAAAAAAAAATGCAAAGAAAGAATAAGGCGACGTTTTGAAAAGACGCGGCCGCCCGTGCCAGGAATACGGATATTGAACTTGAGCGTGGGCAGCGTTTCTCATAAAATGAAATTCTTCATACGACTGTTTGATCTATACGTAGATCGCAAATTCGCAATACAAAAACGTTTTTTTTTTGTGTGTGTGTGTGTGTGCAAATGTTAAACAATAAATATGAAAGTTTTTTTTCCCCCTGGGGAGGGGGGGGAGGGGATTACGCACATATTTGCATGTCCTTTTTTTCTTTTTTTGAGGGGGGGGGGGGGGGGGGTATGCACATATTTGCACGTAGTCATTGTTCTGTTTCCATTTGCCCAATACGTTTTACTATAATGTTGTTGTTTTCTGCCCCCACTATAACGCCACTGGCGCTGAAGGTATCTGAAATAATGAAATAAATAATAAAAAAGTAAAATATATTAAAGCAAGAGATCTGACCGGACCGGAAGTTTGAGGGCCAACCCGAACCCGACCCGACCTCGGCTTTTTTTTTTTTAAGTTTTAACTTGTTTTATATAATGTTCTACACGCGATGTTTCACCGACTAAATAGAATAACAAAAAAAAAAAAAAAAAAAAAGATACCGCTGTCGACTGCGTGTGATAGTTTTAACACATTATCAGAGCAGACGCTCAAACGTTTTAGCCGAGTCTTGACAAAACACGAACTCAATGTTTTTTCTCTCTTATTTTTCTATTTTTTTTTAAATAATATTGTTTAAAAAAAAAAACAGAACAATTGTCGTCTTAAATTTAATAGTGAAGTGTTTTATATAGCTTGTCTAAAAAGCGCCACATGTCAGATGGTCTGCCTTAAAGCGTTGCTTACCACAAGTGACCTTGATGCTTGGAATCTGATTGCTCTGGTGGGCAAGTGGACTCAGAGGCACCGGAGCTTTTCTCCTGGGATAAAAGAGTATCTTTTAAAGTTTTAATGTCAAACTAACAAATATACCACAGCGATAATCAAACAGTCCGTGATTTGGTTTTGGAAAAATACCAAATAAAACAATAATAAAATGAATTCTCGATGAGTAGGTGGGTGCCGCAAAGTCACGATTACGCGGAGACAAATATTGTATATAGTCTACGATCAATGAACCTTCTTCAGGAAGTGTTTTGCGCATGCGCAGGCCTTCCTCTCGCAGCGGCGAAAACTCTAACTTCGGTTGGCGTCCGGAAGAATGGTTGCACAACCTCTCCTGTCTCTTCAGCGACTCGGATCAGCCGCAGAAAAGGCAAGGAAGGGCATCGCAGCTCACATTCTATCCACCAACCGTGGTTAGAGCTTTAGCCACTTGGTGTCGTCTTTATGTAAAAAAAAAAAAAAAAAAAAAAAAAAAAAAAAGGCTCCTTGTAAAACGCTATTTTACCCGCGGAAATCTTTAAAGATTAGACACAAGTAACATTGAGGTCTGAAAACGTTCGCCACTTATCCTTATGAGTTCTTGCACTCTACAATGTGCACTTTAACCGCGCGATGCGCCAAACTACAACGTGAGAACCGTATGGTGCGACAAACCTCGACTTCTATGTCTTTTTTACGCAGATACACTATGTAAATAATAATGTTGCGTAAAAAAATGGTGTAGCGAAAGGGGAAAACAAGCTTGAACAAGAGGCGTAAAATACGTTCAAATGAGGGCGCCTCAATCTGGCGCTTCCCCTTAATACAACTCTGTATGTGGCAAAGCATCCTTCCCAGAATATCGGGTAAACGAACCCAAAATCTCAATTTTTCAAATATATATATAAAATAGGAAACATTGTTACTTTTCAATACAAATCTGCTTTCTTACCCAAGCTATAGTTAAGTTACAGTTTAAGAAGGTAGGGCGAGGGAAGCAAAGACTGGGGAGGAAGAAGTAGACGGAACGCTGGAGGAAAGAGGGGGAAACATCCTCCTCTTTCCAGCGTTTCGTCCGTTTCGTCCTCCGCGGCGTTCCTTTCCCTCGTTCTACTTTCGTGAGTTGCAGCGGGCTATCTATAGCACACATTTAGCGAGGCTGCAATTCACGCAAGACGTAAAATAACACACAACAAAACTTGAAATTTCACAGCAGTTAGAAATAGCCGTGTAGGACTAACTCAGCGTACAACTTTATAAGTAACAGAAAAATGCCGCGTAGTCGTTTTTTTTTTTGTTTTTTTTTTTTTTAGTTGTTAAAATCCTTGTAACTAAATTTTGAAGCGTTTGCTGCCCATAAAAACGAAAAAAACAACAACACACATTATCAACAACAAAGCGTCCGGACAAACTAATCAATTGAGCGAAATCGGTTAAAAAAAAAGGACGAACCGCAAACTCAAAATTGATGGTTCAAACATCTGCGTTTTGAGTTACAAACGACTACGTTACGAACGCTTACGACGAGGTGATACTACGCGCTACCAAGGCGACCGAATAGCCGTGCAATCTGTCGTGGGGAAGCGCAACAACGCGCGGCGCAGCTCAATTCAATGCAGATGTCTACCCAAGATTTGAGGCCTGTTCACACGCGTACACAACAAAGCCAACTCAGCGCCGTGTCACCGCTGACAGTGGCACCGGTGTAGCTCCGACTTTGAGTTGTTATCTCGGTGCTTAGACGCATGTGTGAACCGGACTTTAACCGACCAAACAACATAGTAAAAAAAAAAAAAAGAAAGAAAGAAAAAGATATAGCAAAGCCAATTAAGAATTTGCGCTTTTTACACTCCGTTTCGCATTAAAGTTCAATCTGACGCAAAAAAGAAAAACACATTCACGCGCAGAAATAAAAAAAAAAGGCGCAGGATCACGGCGCAGAATTCACTGTGCGCGATTGGTTTAGTAGGTGATAGCAAAGCGTACAAAAAGGACGAGCGCCATGACGATGCACTTTTGCCGCCGCTTGATTGTGTGTATCGTGTGGCATGCGATGGCTGGGGTCGGACCACGGTGGGTCGGACTCAGTGTAAAACGAGGTATAGCACTAACCTGTGGTTCCGTGGCCACGAGGATAGCATTAGGAGTGCATACAAAAACTCGCTGCACGCTCGCATTGCGGATCATGCGATTACGTGCAGAGCAGGCTGTTTTTTTTTTTGTGTGTCTTTTCAGCAGGTCTACGCGGACCGGAATTAAAGGTCAGAAATAAACCTCTCCGGACGAACCATAAAGCTCGTGTGGCCGAGAGCGGAAAAGGTAAGGCGACTAAAATGGTGACACGGAACATAGGTTGATTTCGGCAAACTGTTTAAACTTGTAAGGTATATAAACTAAAGATCGACGACGCTGGAGTCTGGCAACACTAGATATTTGTTAGACGTCGTTGTTGCTGAGCACTCGTAAGTGACACCTGTGAACAACCGCCTGACGTCGTCACTTGTGATTATGGCATCGGGCTTAGAAATAGTTTGGTTACACATTTATTCACTCCCTATTCGAACAATCATCGGCCTCTATTACAGACCACCAGGTAATGATGTCTTTGTGCCTTTATTACGAGAGTGCCTCAGTAACACATCCTTGAAGTTTCCTAAATGCAACGCTTAAACCTTTCGGCGATTTTAACTACCCCTCTATCGACTGGAATAAGTTGACAGCAAATGACAAAGAACCAAAATGTTTCATCAATATGTGTTGAGACTTCAACTTTACACAGCTCATTAGTCACCCAACTAGAATCACTAATCACAGTAACAACATACTTGATATTTGCTTACCTACGGTCTTGTCACGAACAACCTTTCACTACTACTTGGGCTGAGTGGCCACCTCGTTGCACACTTTAATTTTTTTGTTTCTTATCCATCGCAAATGTATTCTTCAGAAGCAAACAAAAGATTATAACAAAGCCGACTACGATTCAATTAACAGTGAACTAGAAGCCTTTTATGAGTCTTTCAGGGAGGCACTCCATAATTCCTCGATTAAAGAAAACTGGCTTACATTTAAAAATAGATGATCATTTCTCGCAAGTAAATACGTGCCTCTGGTTAACATCAAGACAGATAGTCACAACCCTCAGTATATTAAAGCAATCAAGCGATTCGGCAACAAGAAAAAAAAAAGATTATTTAAAGGGGTCATGAAACGCTTTTCCAACTTTTCCCTGTTTCGCCTTCCTCCTCAACTCATAAATCGCGCATTCCACCAAACAGTTAAAGAAGACGAAAAGGGGGAGTCCCCTCTTGCTCGCACTCTCGTTTGTATAATCCGGACACATCCATTCTCCCCCTAGAAGATTAGCCCGTCGCTCAAAATTCAGACACAAGTTGCTTTCCCCACCCCGTTCATTCCGAAGCTGACAGTGCTGTTGAAGCTACGTGCTCGTTAGGCCAGCCACACTTGTCACGTGAGCGTAGCAAATGTGGCTGCAGAGAATGAAGTCAGGTGATGAAAGGGAGGCGGCTGATTGGTCCGGCAAGCGCGTAGGTTCCACCACAATGTCAGCTTAGGGGTGAAGGGAATAAGTGAGGTCCGGTTGCGTGTGACGTCAGTTTGGACCCGATGACGCGCTTTTGGGACCGCGGATGTATCACAGTGAAAAGGCAGAGAGGCTGCGAAGGGGAGGAGGTACGAAATAGTCCGCTCTGTTTTCAAATTTTCGCACTGAAAGTCAGGCTTTTGACTTTCTACCTTTTTTTCTTTTGGTCCGCTGAACGATGTGCTATTAGTAAAATCCCAATCTAAAATGATTTATCTCAACCCAAAAATCGTTTCATGGGCCCTTTCAAGGGGTCATGAAACGCTTTTCCAACTTTTTTCTGTTTCGCTTTCCTCCTCAACTCATAAATCGCGCATTCCACCAAACAGAAGACGAAAAGGGGGAGTCCCCTCTTGCTCGCACTCTCGTTTGTGTAATCCCGGACACATCCATTCTCCCCCTAGAAGATTAGCCCGTCGCTCAAAATTCAGACAAAAGTTGCTTTCCCCACCCCGTTCATTCCGAAGCTGACAGTGCTGTTGAAGCTACGTGCTCGTTAGGCCAGCCACACTTGCCACGTGAGAGTGGCAAATGTGGCTGCAGAGAATGAAGTCAGGTGATGAAAGGGAGGCGGCTGATTGGTCCGGCAAGCGCGTAGCTTCCACCACAATGTCAGCTTAGGGGTGAAGGGAATAAGTGAGGTCCGGTTGCGTGTGACGTCAGTTTGGACCCGATAACGCGCTTTTGGGACCGCGGATGTATCACAGTGAAAAGGCAGAGAGGTTGCGAAGGGGAGGAGGTACGAAATAGTCCGCTCTGTTTTCAGATTTTCGCTCTGAAAGTCAGGCTTTTGACTTTCTACCTTTTTTCTGTTGGTCCACTGAACGATGTGCTATTAGTAAAATCCCAATCTAAAATGATTTATCTCAACCCAAAAATCGTTTCATGGGCCCTTTCAAGGGGTCATGAAACGCTTTTCCAACTTTTTTCTGTTTCGCTTTCCTCCTCAACTCATAAATCGCGCATTCCACCAAACAGAAGACGAAAAGGGGGAGTCCCCTCTTGCTCGCACCCTCGTTTGTGTAATCCCGGACACATCCATTCTCCCCCTAGAAGATTAGCCCGTCGCTCAAAATTCAGACAAAAGTTGCTTTCCCCACCCCGTTCATTCCGAAGCTGACAGTGCTGTTGAAGCTACGTGCTCGTTAGGCCAGCCACACTTGCCACGTGAGAGTGGTAAATGTATCTGCAGAGAATGAAGTCAGGTGATGAAAGGGAGGCGGCTGATTGGTCCGGCAAGCGCGTAGCTTCCACCACAATGTCAGCTTAGGGGTGAAGGGAATAAGTGAGGTCCGGTTGCGTGTGACGTCAGTTTGGACCCGATAACGCGCTTTTGGGACCGCGGATGTATCACAGTGAAAAGGCAGAGAGGTTGCGAAGGGGAGGAGGTACGAAATAGTCCGCTCTGTTTTCAGATTTTCGCTCTGAAAGTCAGGCTTTTGACTTTCTACCTTTTTTCTGTTGGTCCACTGAACGATGTGCTATTAGTAAAATCCCAATCTAAAATGATTTATCCCAACCCAAAAATCGTTTCATGGGCCCTTTAAGCGTGGTATACAGTATCCCTCGAAATAGGAGGCATGAAATAAATACGAAGAATACGAACATTTTTATAAATACGAACTTTCAAACGCCAAATCAAAATTGTATGGCATCGCCTCATTAAAAATATTTTCTGACAAACCCAAACAGTTCTGGAATCTAATCTATCCTAAACCGTTCACCCCTCTTGCCCTAACCGATGACGAAAGTCAAGTTCTGTCTGACGACCAGTGGGCTCATTGCCTAAACAACTATTTTTGTTCCATCTTCACCAACGAAAATCTTAACGTCATTCCGAAGATTCCTGCCCTCACTCATCCGTCTATAAAAACCATTACCATCGACTATTCTGGGGTTATCAACGCCTTGGAAAAGCGGAAACTGTCCTCAAGTTCTGGCGATGACCTCATCAACTCAAAAATATTAAAAAAGTACAAAGCATACGTCATATTTCTTTTTAACCGATATTTTTCGTGAATCCATTTCCTCTGGTAACATCCCTCATGACTAGAAAATTAGCCGTGTCATCCCGATACGGAAATCCGGAAACCGAAATGCACCTTTAAATTACCGTCCTATATCACTGACCAGCATCGCTTCAAAAATCTTGGAACAGATCAAATTTTCTAATGCTATTAGATATATCGAATCTAATAACCTTCTAACCATAAAACCAACACGGATTCAGGAAAGAATTTTCATGCGAAACCCAACTCCTCGAATTCGTACGAAATGTTCATTTTAATTTCGGACATAAACAACAAACCGACGCAATCTTTCTTGATTTTTTTAGGGTTTTCGACAGAGTACCTCATAACCGCCTTATAATGAAACTTCACCTGTTAAAAATTGACCACTTTATATTTACTTGGATCTCTGAATTTCATTCTGATCGGTGTCAGTATTAGGGTTGCTAATAATTCAGTGTCATCTAAGTCGAGCGTAACGTCCGGCGTTCCCCAAAAGTGCGTGCTCGAATCACTTTTTTTTTTTTAAATCTGCATTAATAATTTCCTTTGTGTTTCTTCCACAGTCAGCCTTTTTGCAGATGACCGCGTAATCTACCGCATTATATCGTGCCCCGACGAGCACTCATCTCTTCCAACTGACTTGTCATTCGTTGCACATTGACTGGTATGATAATTGGCAGGTGTTGCTGAACCTAGATAAATGCAATGTACTCACCTTCTCACGCCTTTCGTTACCGTCTTCTTACAACTACAGCATTAACAATATTACACTCGGTTCATCCTCATCTTTTAATCTTCATATAACCAGCGATTAAATGGATCACCCACGTCAATCAGATTGTTGCTAAGGCAAACCGCACACTTGGTTTTCTGCGACGGATTTTAAGACTTGCACTCCCCTAATGTAAAGCGAATTGCATATCTATTTTAAGTACGTCCAAAACAAGAATACTTTGCATCCATTTGGTCTCCGTGGCAAAATTATCTTAAAGATAACCTCGAAAGTGTTGAAAAAAAGCGTTACGACTTATTTATTCCGATTATTCTTTTAACACAAGCGTGTCTGAATTGCGTAAACGAGCGAACCTACCTGAGCTCACTTTAAGGCGAAAAATATTCCGTTGGACACTGTTTTACAAGATTTACCACCATAACCCAACAAATAGAAATAAACTATTTCCTCCTCCCACTTTTTTTTTTCCGAAATTAGATAACAGCTGTAATATACAACCCATATATGCATCCACCACTTCTTGCGCTAACTCTTCCATACCTTTCACAGTTATTGAATGGAACGCTTTACCTGACAACGTATAGTCACAACTAACAATATATGCGCATTAAAAAAATCATAGGCAAATTTTTGGAATCCACAAAGGGCTAGTATATTTTAATGTAAGTGTGTTCGAACTTTTCGGTATTTTTTGTTTCTCATGTTTTGTTGATGCCTTTTTTGTTTTCTTGTTCATGGATGTTTATGCTTTTATATTGTCCTACAAATATAAGCTGCCCGTCCTTTGTATAATATGCCCTGTTCCTGGGCCTTCAAGGTACTAATATATAAACAAATAAATAAACTGCACCTTACGTGTAACATTCGCGCGTTGCATTATGGGAAGTTTCACCGCTAAAGTTAGCGGGGAAATTTTTCCTCTAAGGAAAGAGGAGGAGGGGAGGATACGGAGGAGGAGGCAGGGCATTTCCTCCCCTCCGTACCCGCCGCTCCTCCTCTTCAAGGGCTGCGCTCTAGTTTCGCATTACAGAAATTTGTAAACCTCTTTCATTTTTTTTTTCTTTTCTTCTTCTTCTTAATAGCGCGCTAAACTTGTTTTGGCATTGTTAAGGGTACACCACTACGAATTTCGATGTCCAATTTTATCGATGAAACGTAGGCAATTCCGCAAGTCGGTTGAAACCATGAGCCATGTTGTGCCTAGATTTCAGAGTGGTTCCAACTGCTCCTCGATCGCGGTCACGTGGTTTATGGGCCGCATTTACAATAGAGGGGTATTCACTGGACGCCATATTTGTGGGTGCTGTTTAGAGCGCATGCTCAGAACGTATTCACATTAATAACTTGCCAAGACCGGCAATCGCGATGGTGTGGAATACACGTTGCAAAAGAACTGTGGAAGCTCAACATCAGTATGCACTCAGCATTCGCGCACACAGCTATGGCCGTCAGTGAGTACTCCCCATAAAGCGTCGATTGCCTGCTAGCGGCTCTGCCTCTCCGCCCGCTTTTCTCCTCGCCTCGTGACAACGCAACGTATGAGCACTGGCGACCAACCTGCGAGGGGGTCGTAAGCCATTAAATTGCAAACGCTCTCCATGGCTCGAGTTGCTCTCTCTCTCTCTCTCTCTTAAATCTGTTTCCTTTTATTGCACCAATGTCACCGGTGGCGCCGCACTTGCGACAGCGGGCGACGAGGGAGACGCTGTCGCGACATTTGTTTGAGGAAATAGTCGTTAAAAATAATAATAAGGGAAAGGCTTTGACGTAACAATTAAGGCGCAAAAGCAAAAACCCTATTAATAAAACAAAACGAAAAACTACCTGATGACTCGCGAGCACTTATCTTAAAGCCACATTGTTTGTCTCACCTGTGTTTAAGTTGATAGGAGGTCTTAGGCTTGAGTTTCGGCGAACCAGAGTCGTTTTGAGAAGACTTGTCGCTTAGCGTTTGGGCTGCGTCATCATCTGAAATAGCTGTTTGTGAGCAATTGGGATTAAGGAAGTGAGAAGTACAGACATTAAGTAGGGCGGGGACCGAGGTACTCAAAAAGGTAAGATGCCGTCGAGATCTTAATAAAGGTATCTTAGCTAGAGGTTCCAAAGAAGATACTTGTCTAAAGACTCTTTTGGAGTCTCGGCGCCGTTTTCAGACGGAATTATTTCTTCGAGAAGAACCCATAGAACAAGCATTCGTTGCACCGTGTATATCCCGTCAATTGCCGTATTCCCTGTGTACGCACTAGAGACTAATGCCAGAGATTGCTATGTTTAGGCTAACCCAGGGTTTGTATGTTATTTTCTGTGCTAGACCACAGTGACCCCGACAGAAAGTTTATTATTTTTTTTTTTTTAGCACTCCATAATATGTGAGGCCAATTTTGATTACATTTTTTTAACACGGAGTGTGTTTATACGGCCGTATTTATAAGAAAAATCGTAATGTTCGGCTGTAACTCTGGACCGTTACACGTAGGTTAAACGCCAACAAGCGGCCCTGACGTCACGCACCTGCGGTGGCGTTGCTATTGACAGGGCGCATGCGCAGAAGCTACAGTTCACGCGAATCTGGTTCCTGCGCATGCGCAGTGCCCATACCTCGTGCGAAAACTTCGCGTTTGCACACACCGCTTGGGGGCTTGTTTGGAAACAGCGCGTTGGTCTATCAAGCGCACGAAACAACACGTATTAAAACATTGTTACAAGAATATACACTCGACAGGGATCGAACCTGCTACCATGTGATTATCAGCCAGATACCACACCAACTAAGCTAAACTGAGCGGCTTTTTTTTTTTTCCCCTTTTTATTGGGGACTTTTGGGAAACTGTTACCATGTTCCGCGTACCGCACTACTGGAGCCTTTGAAACGCGCTTTTAAGCGAACGCCCGTGTGATACCGTGACCGTCAGGCGTGCGCTTAAAAGCACGCTTCGAAGGCTCCAGTAAAACGGGTAGCGAAACGCGGTAACGGCTTGCTAAAAATCCCTGATGTTGAGCTAAACAGAGCAGGTGCTATATAAAAAAAAAAAAACATATCACACCAGCTTGATCCTGCTGACAAAGGCCGGGCACTATATGTTGGTCTATAAAATACAAAGAAAATTTATGTACACCAGTTTGATCATGCTGTCGAAAACCGGGGGACTTTGAATGCTGCTCCATAAAAAAATAATGAACACCAGCTTGATCATGGGGGACATTGACTACGTTGAGATATCATAGACATGAAGTGCGTGGTTGCGCTAATCCCGCACCCCCCCCCCCCCCCCCCGTTAAAACGTTCAGCATGCGATATACGCAACCCAAACACTTCATGTGTATGATAGCTAAAAAAATTACGGACCCTCGGTCTTTCTCACCATGAACAAGCTAGTCTATATTTGTTTTTCCGTGAGCCCTTTGTATTATGTGAATGCGCCAGGTTTGCCTAAGCTTCCTTGATCTCCAATGACAGGTACGTCTCCCAGCTGATTGCGTGAACACTAGTCCTCTTTCCTCGTCAGAAAGCTCGGACCCTTGGATTCTGTTCTACGTGCTTCTTGCCTACAATTGACAATTGACTTGGAATGGTCCCGCCAAAGAATCACGACGTCGTCTGGGTGGTTACAGAAGAGGAAGTGTAATTGCGTATGCATCGAACGGACACAAGCAGCGCAATTTGTCCCGTCCGGGCGGTGTTTCAACGTACGGGTGCGCTTTGGAATACTTCTGCCTGCAGGACTTGTATCGTCGGAATCTCAGCTGGTACTATACGTTCTTAGCAGAATGCATTGTTCGGTTCTAAAGAGGCTCTTCGGTTCCCGCATGTGGAACCACGCGTTGCTGAACGCATTCGTTCTCGGGCAGTGAAATTGACCTATTAACCTACAGCTGATCGATTAATGCATTCATCGCTGATTCATCTTATAACCGATTGACGGGTCAAAAGCAAAAATACAGGGTATGTTGTCACGGGCAGTATTTACGCCGCTGCTAAATACAATATATCGGTAATTTACCCACGGACGAGATTTCGTCTCCATGATTCCGTTACTTGAGCGTACACAACCGCCAACGTCTTGTAATCCCGTACTAGAACAATTTAGATGAAATTTGTCTCAAGGTTACACTATGTTTGTTGCTTAACTTTCTGCTGGAAAACGTTCTTTCTTATTGGCCTTATGTTCTGTTGTCTCTGATGCTACTGCCTACAGTAAGGGCGATCATAAATCAACAATAACACGGCGCTGTTTTCTTTTTTTTCTTTTTTTACAGTCTACCGTTTTATATTTTAATCAAATATTTCTGGTCAACAGCGCATACCTCAGGTTGACAGCAGTAAAAAGGTGTTTACGATCTTTTCTGTTGCCTCTTCTCGTTCTGCCATCAGCACATGGCATTCGAATGTATATATTGTTGCGAAGAAGACGACCGTCCATAAAGGCGGTCGTCGTCGTCTTCATCGTAACAATATATATATATATATATATATATATATATATATATATATATATATATATATATATATGTTAGCTCAACTAAGATGGCTAGAAGTTGTTACACGATGTCTACAGGACCTCCTTTGCACATATATCGCAAAGTCACGACTCGGAGAGTCTTCTAGACGCCTTCCGTTGCTGCGACGTCTTCATCGAAGAATTAATCGATTCAAGGTCAAAATATAGTCGGTTAAAATTTTTAATCGGTGCAACTTGGGTACTTTTGTTTCCTTTCTCTGAACTGTTCTGGAACGCTTTCCTCGTCGCTGCCTGGATATATCTGAAGAATAAATGAAAAACTAACAAATCAAACTACTATAGTAACTGAAGTGTCGGGAGGAACGGCATACACACAAACAGGAAACTCCAATATTGAGTTTCGCGTTCTTTGTCAAGTTCCTTCCTCCCCATGCTCCTGGGTTAAGATGTTTATATTAAAACCAGTTCCCTCGTGTACATTATTTAAAGATATCATGAAAGGATTTTTCAACTTCTTCCTCCTTAGTTTTAATGCTCAACTTAAAAGCGAAATGAGAAATCACGGGGTCGTGACGTGCTTTGGCACCGGAGGTGATGACTACAAATTTCCAGCATTCTTTTTAAACGCACCGTGGAACTTGCCATTCTCAAGTGATGATAAGTGCCGTCACGGCACTGATTGGCCACGAACGCGAATCCAAATATTCGTCAACGGATTGATTGATGACGAGCGCATACTTCCGAGTGACGCAGTGCTCGTGTCCAGTGCGTGAGCTGGGTTCGGCTAACGTGCTTGGGTACCGCGGATGCATAAAGGCTCGTTCACACTCTTGCGACCGAGTACGACCGAGAGAGACAAGACCGGTTTTTAATCCTCTTGCGACTTCTTAGGACCAGTTCCGCAGCAGCGCGCCCGGTCCTAAGAAGTCGCAAGAGGCTTAAAAACCGGTCTGGTCTCTCTCGGTCGTACTCGGTTGCAAGAGTGTGAACGAGCCTTAACGGTGAAAAGGCGGAGAGCTTTCGAAAGAAAGAAGGTACCAAATAGTCCGCTATATTCTCTCATTTTTGTACCGAAAACCAGTCTCGTGCACTAGTTTTATTTTGGCGCACTAGACGATATGCGATTAGTAAAATCCCAATTTATTCCAGCCGAAAATTCGTTTCGTGGTACCGGAAACTACGCTCGTGCACTAGTTTTATTTTGGCGCACTAAACGATATGCGATAAGTAAAATCCCAATTTATTCCGACCGAACATTTATTTCGTGGTCCCTTTCATTTCCCACATATCTCAAGATCTGGATTCTAATTAAACTGTGGGCGGTGAGGAGTTGGAACCCACGACTACTGTAGACCGTCTGTTTTCGTCATTGTTTTCGCTGTGAATTCATTGATTTACCTCATGCATTTCAATACATTTTTTTTTCCAGGAAACACTGACGGCGGGCCGGAATGGGTTGTCTGCTGTGCAGCAAAATTAACAAAAAAAAATTAACAAAAACATTTTTTTTTTTTTAAACGAATATTTAGCGCACCCAAAAACCTGTTCAAGCGGCACTTCTCCTCTAAAAATATTCCCTAAAAAGAAAAAAAAAAGAACGTTTTAAAGAACTTTTGAGTTACTCGCAGATTGCAGCTTTATTCATTGACTCCAGAGGAACAGCTCTATGCCAATAGATTCTGAGCACATGGCTCAAATCGATGGGACGAACGTCACGTGCACGGTGGAAGAAGAGAGAGGTGTCTGAACGGGCACTGCCTCGGGGACACGGAGCAAGTGTTTCGAAGGTTCACTCCCATTTCTGACGAACGCCGTGAGATGGCGCAGCACGGTGGGAGCCCGAGAAACCGTCCTTATTCGCCCACGCGTTTTCAAGGTTGCTAGGCGCCTGCGCGCCGAGCCCCTACCCGAAGGTGCCCTTCCGGGAGATACGCGAAGCCCGAGTGTAATTGGAACCCTCTTTCTGGTCTTGTTCCGCAACGTCTATGTTCTTCCGCGGTGGCCACATGTAAGAGCATGCATTCACAGGTGCGCGATGCAAGACGTGCAACGGAGACTACCAAACGCACCTGGAATCCTCATCTCAATGTGGCTGCAGTCGGAGGAGTCGCTGTCTTCCAGGTATCTGTTTGTCTTCAGGAGGTCCCGGTTCTTCAAGAAACTCGAGTACTGCGTTTCTTCGAGATCATCCGTGCCCTGACCAAACAAAAGCGAGATAAGGCTGTGTGTCTTATCCGGGTAAATAAACCAGCTGACACGTGTCACTAGTCCCGCGTTGCTCTCTTTTTCTTTCTTTTTTTGTTTTGTTTGCACAACGTCAAGGGCCTAGTCTTGAAGAGTGTAAACGCTACGTTTTGTAAACAGATGGCTTGGGCAAGAAACCTCTCAAACAGAGCACGCCTCCTTCGAAGGTACGTTCAGAGCCAGCAAATATGCACGGAAGGCTGGCTGTGTTTGTGTACTTTTCGTCCTTTGTCCGTATTTGCGCGGTTTTTTAGTTTCTTAAATAAAAATTGGGACACAGGAGGATCCCGTATCGTGTATGTGAGATGACTAATGAGGATACTGGAAATAACCTGCTTCCTTGTAACTATTCATATTTATTAACAAAAAACCACATGAGACTGAGGGAAACATAAAGAGAGAAAGGGGAGGGGGAATGACTGCGTACTCTTTGCAATACTGTCTGACTAAATATACAGCAAGCAAATGGTGTGAGCAAATACACATCTTATAATAATAGCCAAATGTTAGTCAAATTATTAAATTGTAAAAAACAACAACAAGAAGCGTTTACATTTGATTATGTCTTTATGCTTGCAGCCTTCCCAAAGCCGCTAGTCACGTCAAAGCAAAATAGGATATATTATGTTATGTCACACACGGTGAGACATGTCGTAAGCGGAGACAACCAAGAAAGCTTGGTGTAAAAAGGGACACCCCGACACTGTCCTGCAGACGCTGGTTCATGGACTCGTACGTCCCGTCAACCTCGAAGTACCATACTCGCTGGCAAGATGAGAGCGGCAGAGTTACTTCCAGTTGTCCCGCCCCCATGCGCGAGCTTCCTACTTTCGATAACACGTCGGCGTCTCGTGAGCTTCGAGCGTGCGCGCGCAGCCAAAGCACGGCGGAAGGCAATAGGCTCCCAGAAGAAGGCGCACTGTCGTTCTCATTTTGTCGGTGACTAGTTTGTTGATGTACTCATTCGTAGCTCGTCTCACGTAACTTCTAACTAGATATAAGGTGTTTAAAAGGAACCAGCCAGATTTCCAATGCACAGCTATCGGCTGCTGGATGTGCAACCTAACAGGAGGGATATAGCTAATTACTGCTGACGGCATTTTGGCACCAATTTCGCGGTCATCGCTTACCATGTCCGAGACAGACATGGTGTCACTGCAGTTCCCCAGGGAGTCTCCGAAGCTGGGAGCGCGGCTCAGGCATTTGGGACTGCTCTGGCCGATCTTCGTCAGGTCGGGACATGACAGATTCTTCATCGACTTCAGAGGCACCGACAGGGAGGCCACCTGCGCAGGCAAACAACAAGGCATGTTACTATACGTATTGATGGGAAAAATGGGAAGGAAACTCAGAACAGAAAGACAGAGCAGTTAACCTAAGGTTAACTGCTCCGTTAACTATCGGTTGACTACTTTGTACTGTGGGAGAAGGACGGAAGATGAAATGACGCACCTAAAAAAGAAGCAAAAATGTATTAAAACGGTAAAAAACGGCGCTATTTTTTGCATTCTTTTACGATGCTGTTTGCTGGATATTCTTCAGAATCCAATGGACTCCAGGCGCCAAACCGAAGAGCTGTTTTTATAGCTTTAGGCCGGCTAGCTACCAAGGCGATTTACGGTTACTGGCAGCTGGTGGTGGTTGCTCTGCAAAAAACGAGAAATTGGAGGACGTTTTGTTTTGCCGCGCTGTCGCACCATCGTGGGACGTAACACTTTTAAATTCTTAATTTGCTTTTAGATAGCATATTGTTTCAATTTCACAGTCCAGGGGCAAAGTAATGAGTAGAGCGTTGAAGCCAGGCTGTCCGCACTGCGCCAACAAGGCTTTGATTTCTAATTTAGCGTGGTGGAACTCGCTTTTCGGTTGTCCACTTTATGAATGTGCATTAACGTTTATTACAGGTACTGCATGGCTATAAAGCAAAGCAGTGAATTAGGAGCAACTTGCCCTCGTTCTTAAGTACACTTCTGTAAGTGAGCACACCGAATGTTCCGCGGTACGAACGTGGTGGCACATAATCGCCAAGTACCAGTGTTGGCGTCCTTTCGAGACAGCACTTTTGATTTCGTGGTAAGAACCTGAAGCAAAACCTTGAAATTAGATACCGAACAAAAGCATTCCTAGGACTTAATGGGAGGCTAACTTAGTTTAAAACTGGCTGAAAATTGAAAAAAAAAAAAGATTCGTTAAAGTTTTTTTTTTTTCATCACATCGTACGCTAAGACCTCTCTTGTCGTGTAAGTAAATAGAACTAGATTTCACTAGAATTACTTATAGAAATTTTATAAATCTTAACAGTCGTCAAGATTACTTTGCACGTTCCGCAGTGTAGAAAAGCCGCAGTGTACTTCGAAAATCCGCGATACAACACGACATGACGTAAGAAGCGAATGCATCTGCTCCGTTCGCCGCTAAGCAAGCAGGGCGGTGCAAGCTACTTGCATTTCGGACCAATCAATCGCCCGCTTTCTGCGCGTGAATATGCGCAAAGGGTGCAGTCACGAGGTGCATGACCGAAGGTTAATTCACCCTTTTCATTAGTATGCACCAGCTAGTAGCTGCTGCGCGAATTATCCTAGTCCACCGTTGTTTGGGCACGTACCCTGAGCATGTGTTCGGCACGAGGGTCGTGCCGGTGTTCGGCGTAGACTCGGGTCCAATCTCACACTCGTGCCCAAAAAATGGCGAACGCCAATGTTGCTCGAGGAACATTTGAAAAGAGTCTATAAGTCAACGATCACGTAGCTTTGACTACTCTATCGTCTTAACGACGAACGGAGTATGCGCAGCGCAAGATCGTCGGCTTCTTGAACAGGGGTTGTGGTTACGTAGGTATACCCACTATCCTTCCAATCAGAGCCAATCAGAACTCGGAGTTCTGGCGCCAGCGCAACTCCTGCGCAAGAAGCGGACGAACTTGCGGTCCGCATAGGCTGACATCGCAACATAGAGTCACTAAACTGACTCAGAGCATGGATTCACCAAATTGACTCAGATCTCCTGTCAGTGTCTGGTGCAGCACTCTTAGAGCATTACAGGTATAGGGATACTGCGCAACTTCTTCTTTCATCGGTCTATGATCCGTCAAGATACTTGACTAGTCAGTGACAAGAGATTATGCCACCTGAAATCGTGCTATAGGGAAACCGGAGGCGCTCGCTTGTCGTTTCAGACGGATGCTGGGAAACTCTGATGACGGCGGCGACTGATATTAAAGGCGTCACGCGACGCTCTTACGGACCAGCAAAAGAACAATGCCGGGACACGATTTATGCAGACGTCAAAGACGAGGAAAACAGGACCGTCGCGAGGGGATGGCGGGCAGGCCGTGCTTCTGTTTTGTTTCTCCCACAAGGTCGAGGTAATGCTACGTATTTATCTTAGCTGCGTGTACGTGACCTTGCGCCCAAGAGCCCAAATCGATGCATTCAATTTACTCTGCTCACCCACCTGACAAAAAGCTTTGTTGTGCTTGAACTAGGAGCAAACATGTTTTTGAGCTACCCAAAATAAATAAATTTTCGGAATATTCAGGCTTCACTCTTGGTCGGCGTGCTTTTTATTAACTCTAAATACAAGAGAGGTATTGAGGAACCTACAAAGGAAGGTTATGCCAAAACTGACATTCAAAGTTTCCCGCGCTCTCCGGTGGGGTGACGTCACATGATGTATACATTGCAACATAAACAAGCAGTCTAAAAAGAAAAAAAGAACACCGTATTTTGAGTTTATAGTTTTGTTTTGCTGGCGTCAGCATTTCCAGCATTCATTTCACACCACCCAACTTCTTGTAGGCCGTCGAGAGCTGAGCTGTACTGCCCCCATATTGAGACATCTGACGTCACGTTTTCAGGAAACTTAAATCAACACCCCTCTCCCCCCCTTTCCACACACACAGGCACGCACACACAAAAACTATTAGAAATGTTTTAACAGGTTCGTTCAAGAGCACAGACATGTTACTACTAGAACAGGAAACCTTGCTAGCTATACGTAAAGAGAAAGACTCCCTTGAAGTACCGCTGCTGCCGAATATTTGTGTCTGTGAATTTGACAACGACCTGAAACAAAACTGACTAACACATACTAATACGGGCTGAGCAAAAACGCGATCTTCGTAATTCTATTCGAAATCAGGTTCAGGCTAATAATAATTTTAAATTGTTTTAACCGCATACAGGCCCAAACACCGAGCTATATGAACGAGTGAACATCATCTTTGTTGCAACTCTGAGAACCCGTGCCCAGTGCAGTCAAAGGCGACGTCCTTGGCTAGACAAGAAGCAGAAAGGTTGGACCGCACGGTGCCGCGCGCAGAAGGCGCGATGAATACACGCAAGAACGGCATAAATTTCCCTCGGCAGCCATTTTTTTCCTGTTGTCGTTGACGGAGTGCGGCGCGGATCTGAAGCTACAGCGACCGGAACGCTCCGATGTGGCTTCCCATCATCGATGTCCAGTCCTCGTCTTTCCTGTTCGTTACGCTGGCCGCTGACGTGCCCGTAAGAACCCTTTGCGCACTGGGCACGGATTGAGGAAAGGAAAAAAAAAAATAGTCTGACTACTTTCGCGAAAGGGCTTTCAAGAGCTGCAGGATTCTCTCTATGTGTGGAATCATTCGAAACACTGAGCTTTGTGTGAAAGGCGCACGTAGGCAGCCGCCGTAGTGGGCGTCGCGGTCGAGCGCATGCTGCGGGCATGCCTTGACCGATGTTTTTTAACGCCGCCGTCACGCTGCAAATGCATCCAACAAAAGGCAGTCTGCAGACTCGTTCGAAGCATGCGTATACGTATGAAGCAAATATGTCGAGCCCTGCACATCCGCGGATTACCCGCGGATCATCCGCGTACATCCGCAGTCAACCGGCGGATGCGGATAAGAATAAATAATATTTTGTGGAGTGCTGAACGGATCCGGGTACCAGGGGCTCCGGATCCGAATTGGGTGTGAATATCCTCAGGTCCGGATCTACATTTTTTTTTTTTTTTGTACCGTGGCGGTTTTTAAACGTGTGCGACCGCAAGTGAATAAGTGAGTAATGGAGTGCGTAATTAAGTACTTAATTAAGTAATAGAGTGCATAATTAATGGAGTGCATTAAGTAATTAAGTGCATTAGTTAAGTAATGAAGTGCATAATTGAATGTTTTGCGGGAGAAAATGACACTCTTAGAGAAAAAGCTGCCACACTGAAAAAAAAATTGTTCTTTACGCCGCCAAAAAAAAAAAAAAAAGACTCCAGACTTTTATTACATATCGCTTTAGAACGTTCTATCTCACCAAAACAATGCTCTCCCTAAAAAGAGTAAAGAACGCAGGGGATTCAACCTTCCCTGCAAAGCGTGTTCTTGTTTGGCAGGAAAAGAACGGAACACGTTCTTCGAACCGCAAGAAAGTACAAGCCTCCTCGTCAAGTGAAACATGGCGTGTGGGGTCGTTTTTTTTTTTTGTTTTTTTTCGACAGTTGGCGAAGTATGGGGTTCAAAGCACGCAGTTGCGGGTTTTTATTTAAAATTGAAACCGATAGAAAGTGCTGCCATTATTGCCCATCGTGATATTTTCCCAGTGGTGTACTCGCGTCTTACCACGTATACACGAGTATATACCGCCTTTCCTCTTCCACTTTTTAATTGTATGACCTAAATAAAATGGCACAGTGTTATTAGTCTGTCGTTTATTATTTTTTTTTACGTTCAGGAAATACTCGTCTGCTCGAAATGAATGTTACGAAGCAAAAAGAAAATATATAAATTAAAACGTCCTTCTTTCGAGCGCTTCTTTTGGGCAGAATGTCCCAGCGGATTTCCATGACGATCTAAGGAACTTCGATAATGTTTTCTAACGACTCGAAGTGCCTCTGGAAAGGATGATCTCTTATAATACGAATACAATAAGACAAAATACGATGAAATGGCTTTCGCCGTATTCTGCTGACTTAAAGAGTTGTTTCCACAAATATAATCAAACGGCTAGAAATCTATAAGGTATCATCGAGACGCTTTTTGTTTTATTAATTTACCCTCGGTTTCGTGACGTAACGTGAATACGCGAATTGCGGGTCAGATGTACGGTTCCGAATTTCGGGGGTGCGGTTCGGATGCGGATGCAAGGTCTACGGAAGCGGATCGGATGCAGTCCGATACGGTATAGGCCTTTTCCGCAAGGGCGCCGCCATCTTGAATTGTCGTCACTTCCAGTATGGGCGAAAACATTGTTTTGCCGTCGCCACGCCAATAGAAGGCATTTAGGATATAAGCTTAACCGTCACACATTCTCGTTTTGAC